TTCCACCACCACACTCCACATCCACCACACTCCGCCACCACACTCCAACACCACGCTCCACATCCACCACACTCCACATCCACCACACTCCACATCCACCACACTCCACATCCACCACACTCTGCCACCACACTCCACATCCACCACACTCCACATCCACCACACTCCACCACCACACTCCGCCACCACGCTCCACATCCACCACACTCCGCCACCACGCTCCACATCCACCACACTCCACATCCACCACACTCAATTATGAATCTCAACCATCTCTGTAATTAACACATTTATTTAATTAAATAATAATGATAATAATATTAATATATATATTATAATTTTGTGTTAGGCCTAAGGGTTGCTTAGGGTCCTCCCCATTTATGAATGACAAACACTGCAGTCGACTTAGGTGGGCTACTGTGTTCTGAAAGTCACAGTGTTCTTAGCACTGTAACTTAGCTAAGGTGTAAGGTGCACACACTCCACCCAGTACCCTTACTGTAGCTGTGGCCACGTTATGGTCACACAGCTGGTGGCGTGTGGTGTGCTAATATGTGTGTTGTGGCGCGGCCTCTTATTTAGTTATTTATATACAAGAAGGTACATTGGGTTTGTGAGGATACATAGCATAGTATTTACAATGTTGTAAAGCCACTAGTACGCGCAGCGTTTCCGGCAGGTCCTTAATCTAACAGATAATTTTAAGTAGGTTAATTCTAGCAGAATTAATAAAATGATAACAAATACATTACAAGAAAAAAAATGAGATGAGAGAGATTAGTAAGTATATTAAAGCACATTGGTATATTAAAGCTCTGATTGATTACATTGACAGCTTGATTGGTAATTTAAACAAAGATTAATAGACACCATACAGCAGATTGATAGCACATATAAGAACATATCATATCTTGATATCGTCACATATCTTGCGACGCCCGGGGGGGGGGGGAGTCTTGCCTAGAGTGAACGGAGGTAAATATATCGAACAACGCATTGTATTCCAGCCATATATATACACCCACCCATGTTGTGGGGGTTGTTAGTGAAGCTCTCACTCAACACACTCGCGTGTCGCGGCAACACTCACACACGCACACACATATTATTGGTTTACCACTGTTGGTGACCTTTGCTGTATGTGTTTGATTTATTGTCAACACGTCCGGTAGCTTGCTGGGCTCGGATAGTATTTCATTAGTTCCGTGGTGTAGTGGTGTACAGTCTCAGTCTCGTTACAGTCTCCGTGGTGTAGTGGTAAGACACTCGCCTGGCGTTCCGCGAGCGCTATGTCATGGGTTCGTATCCTGGCCGGGGAGGATTTACTGGGCGCAATTCCTTAACTGTAGCCTCTGTTTAACGCAACAGTAAAATGTGTACTTGGATGAAAAAACGATTCTTCGCGGCGGGGGATCGTATTCCAGGGACCATAGGATTAAGGACTTGCCCGAAACGCTACGCGTACTAGTGGCTGTACAAGAATGTAACAACTCTTGTATATATCTCAAAAAAAAAAAAAAAAAAAAAAAAAAAAAAAAAAAGTTAATGTGTTATAGAAATATTGAACACTTGAACACAAGATTGTAAATACTATGTATCCTCACAAACCCAATGTACCTTCTTGTATATAAGTAAATAAATAAATAAACAAATGAGCATCATTCCCGCTCTCCTGTTGTAAACATGTCGAATATATCCCACAGTTCGTTCCTGTTCCTATCGCGTCGTATTGGTCGCTACAGCTGTATAATCTTGTTGTGTTTGGTGTGCTCGTGTATGTTGTTATAGGTTAATAACGGAGCTTTATGGTGGTTATATACAGTGTTGCTGGACGTGCAGGAGGTGATGGTGGACCCCGTGTGTCTCCCCAGCACCATCGCTGCCCGCCTCACCCTCCACCACAACCTGGTCCGCACCGTCTCCACCACACAAGGTCTCTCACACCCTTTGTCACGTCACGTTAAACAAAAAAGTAGTTTTTGTTTTGTAAGGAAGAGTGGTAAAGTTATATTAATGCTAATAGATTACCCCCGTCTGTTTCTAGAGTTCTAATCCTGTACCTCAGTTCTCCACCGTTATCCTGGCCGTCACAGTCACACATGTGTCCTGTCTTGATTATTAATTAGCGGTCCGTCTAATTACCACAAGCTACCACAAGCTACACAAGCTTCACAAAGCTTCCTGGCAATACGTTAGTAATGAATAAAGATGATATGTTAGGTTAGGCTGACCTAACCTAACCTAACCTAATCTAACCTAACCTATCCTAACCTAACCTAACCTAACCTAACCTAACCTAACCTAACCTAACCTAACCTAACCTAACCTAACCTAACCTAACCGACGCTTGGATCGTCGACTTGATTTGGCGTCACCAGGTTTTTATTTTCGTCTAATTTCTTTATAAAAAGATACTTTTTCAGATTAAAATTATGTTTTTTCGTGTTGTACATTCAGCACCAACATTATAATGAGTAAATATATCATATTTATTCATTACTAACGTATTGCCAGGAAGCTTTCTGAAGCTTGTGTAGCTTGGGGTAATTAGACGGACCGTTAATTAGTATCTATATAAAGCACTTATAGTAACCCCCCTCCCCCCCTTACGAAACCTGTGCATCTTGCATTAATCATGGCGGCTTTGTTTACATTTATCACAGAGTTTATGAACCCCCTGAAGCCCCACGAGGATGCTTATATGAACCTGAGAATTGTGAGGTTTCCAGGCTCCCAAACTGTTTCAAAGCCGCCGTCATTGTGGGAAGATATACGGGTTTCGTCACGGGCTGTGTAAGTGTCTCATCTCGATATTAATCTGCAAATTAGAGTGGATAATGGCCCCATGTTTGAAGTTCGGTGATGAGGTGTTTGAAGCTAATCTTATATATGTCCCGTGTTCCTGTTAACTTCCTATCACCCCCCCCCCCCCCGTGTTCCTGTTAACTTCCTATCACCCCCCCCCCGTGTTCATGTTAACTTCCTATCACCCCCCAGGTGTTCATGTTAACTTCCTATCACCCCCCCGTGTTCATGTTAACTTCCTATCACCCCCCCCCGTGTTCATGTTAACTTCCTATCACCCCCCCCCCGTGTTCATGTTAACTTCCTATCACCCCCCCCCGTGTTCATGTTAACTTCCTATCACCCCCCCCCGTGTTCATGTTAACTTCCTATCACCCCCCCCCGTGTTCATGTTAACTTCCTATCACCCCCCCCCGTGTTCATGTTAACTTCCTATCACCCCCCCCCCCGTGTTCCTGTTAACTTCCTATCACCCCCCCCCGTGTTCATGTTAACTTCCTATCACCCCCCCCCCCCGTGTTCATGTTAACTTCCTATCACCCCCCCCCCCCCCGTGTTCCTGTTATCTTCCTATCACCCCCCCCCCGTGTTCCTGTTAGCTTCCTATCACCCCCCCCCCCCCGTGTTCATGTTAACTTCCTCTCTCTTATACAAATTGTGTTTTGATATACACTGGAGATGTGTGTGAGGTATGTCTGTCTGGTGTGTGAGTGACCATGGCGGTGGAGGTTTATGAGGCCTGGTGGAGGTTTATGAGGCCTGGTGGAGGTTTATGAGGCCTAGTGGAGGTTTATGAGGCCTGGTGGAGGTTTATGAGGCCTGGTGGAGGTTTATGAGGCCTGGTGGAGGTTTATGAGGCCTGGTGGAGGTTTATTAAGATGTGTGTAATAAATTTTGTATTATGAGGCCTGGTGGAGGTTTATGAGGCCTGGTGGAGGTTTATGAGGCCTGGTGGAGGTTTATGAGGCCTAGTGGAGGTTTATGAGGCCTAGTGGAGGTTTATGAGGCCTGGTGGAGGTTTATGAGGTCTAGTGGAGGTTTATGAGGCCTGGTGGAGGTTTATGAGGCCTGGTGGAGGTTTATGAGGCCTGGTGGAGGTTTATGAGGCCTGGTGGAGGTTTATTAAGATGTGTGTAATAAATTTTGTATTATGAGGCCTGGTGGAGGTTTATGAGGCCTGGTGGAGGTTTATGAGGCCTAGTGGAGGTTTATGAGGCCTCGTGGAGGTGTATGAGGCCTAGTGGAGGTTTATGAGGCCTGGTGGAGGTTTATGAGGCCTAGTGGAGGTTTATGAGGCCTGGTGGAGGTTTATGAGGCCTCGTGGAGGTGTATGAGGCCTGGTGGAGGTTTATGAGGCCTCGTGGAGGTGTATGAGGCCTGGTGGAGGTTTATTAAGATGTGTGTAATCAATTTTGTATTATGAGGCCTGGTGGAGGTTTATGAGGCCTGGTGGAGGTTTATGAGGCCTAGTGGAGGTTTATGAGGCCTGGTGGAGGTTTATGAGGCCTAGTGGAGGTTTATGAGGCCTGGTGGAGGTTTATGAGGCCTAGTGGAGGTTTATGAGGCCTGGTGGAGGTTTATGAGGCCTGGTGGAGGTTTATGAGGCCTGGTGGAGGTTTATGAGGCCTGGTGGAGGTTTATTAAGATGTGTGTAATAAATTTTGTATTTAATGAATTTTTTATTAAATTTTTGTAATTGTATATTTTTATATTTGATATTTATATTTAATTATATATTTTTGTAATTTTAAATTTTTTATAATTTTGTAATTTTATTGTTTATTTTTTGTTTATTTATGGTGCAATAGTAACTTTAGGCATTGTACGTATTAGCTCTATATATAAATGCATCAATATCTGTATGACCGTCTTCTCCTTAGTACCCCCTTAGTACACCTTCTGTCACTGCTAGAAGCACCTCAAGGTAACCACCCCGTGTGTGTATACTTTACCTAAATAAACATTTGAATTTTGAATATAAAATTTTTTTGTTTGTGTTGTTGAGGGAGCGGTGTGGGTGTGATGGAGCTGGAGGTGAGGAAGAGGGTGAGGAGCGCCACCCTGGCCACTGTGGTCTTCGGTCACACCTTCTACCTCCTCCCTACTGGCGCCAGCACCCTCTCCTTCACCGACATATGGCAGAACAGACAGGTGAGGTTACTCACATTCCTTGAAGATACTATAAGATGCTCCTATACTTTCTTACCCGAACTTCTCTTACATGCTATGTCTCATACCCTGAGGTGACACCATATGTTTAATGGGCCTCGCCGGGGACCGGAAACCGACGGCTTGTCAAAGTTAACTCAAGTTTTCTAAGCCAAACTGTTTAGTATTGTCGTTGTGTGTACACCATTTAACGGTCCGTGAGAGTGTAGATAATCATATATGTCTGTATTTAAGGGCTATAATGGTTTAAGGGCAGGGTGAGGCCGAGGGGACGGTGGCAGGGCAGGGTCTGCCAGGCGCCCTGTGAGCTGTGGTGGACATGAATTTTATCATGAGGCGTTTTAGCAAGTAATGAAATTTTAATTAGATGCCAGGGCGAGGAGACGGGTCATATGTTGCCTCTATTATACAGTGTTATCTGAGGAGTGACTAGTCTAAGGCAGTATTTCCAACTTCAAGGAATACTTTTATAAAAACCTGTACTGAAGTCTAGGGCTTTCTAGACTACCTTCAAGGATGAAGATAGAATGATAAATTCTACCTCTCTCATACTACCATAGAATGAGAGAGGTATTGCAAAATACCTCATGGGGGGAGTTTATCGGATCTCAGGACATGGGAAGCATTATGAGAAGAGTGAACAAAGTTCATTGCTGAAGTTGCTTGAAAATATGCCTCTAGAAATATAAGGAAACGAAAAGGAACTTGATGGATGATAAGAGAAAGTAAAACGTGTCTAACTCAGGATGCAACAACCTGTGGAATCCACCCGTTTATCAATCCACCAGGACTCACGTAGATTATCACAGATACAGAAAGGCATTAAACTCAGCTATCCAGGAAATCAGATTAGCCAAAAGAAACTATAAAGAAAACGGGCTGAAAAAACTAATATCCCAAGTGGTTTTATGTCAATGTAATTAAGAGGAAAACCAGGACAAAAAAAATCGAAAAACTCTTAAAAAATAAGAACCAACGAAGTTATAATTGGCGATAAAAAGGCAGCCAAGACTCTGAATGAACACTTTACATCAGTGAACAAATCCACAAGGGCAATTATGAGGATTCGAACCTACGAACGGGATGTTCCTAGACGCGCCTTAGTCAACTGTGCCACCACATGGTCAAAAGAATTGTAACCTGGAGTGCTGCTGCTGCCACAAGGGCATCATCAAATGCACTTTTGGATTGGTCTATTTGATATATCACGCTATTGTGATTTCTGTGTATACTCACCTAGTTGTGGTTGCGGGGGTTGAGCTTTGGTTCTTTGGTCCCGAAATATTTTGTGTGTACTTTACATCAGTGTTCACACGAGAGAGATTAGGCAACATTCCAACACCCACACAAATGTTTGAAGGAGAAGAAGAGACAGATTTAAGAGATACCAGTATTTCCCCAACGTGCCAAACTATCAGAACATCATTGACAACTTAAAACAAATCTCAAGCCCAAAATGTGGAGGGAATTCACTCCAAACTTGTAAAGGAACGGGTCGAATTAATGGGTATCCACCTACCACTGAAACTCCTATTCAGATAATCTCTGGACCCAGGGAAAGTTCCTACATTGCAAATAAGCAGTCACCTTCAAGTTAAAAATAACAGAGCTCAGCAAAAAACTTGTGACCAATCAGCCTAACCTCACGTAGGTTAGGCTGCAAAGTCATGTAGAGAATCCTGTGTTCAGCTCACAGCGCACAATCTAGTCTACACAACATGGAGTTTGTTACAAACAAATCATGTATTACTAACCTTCTAACATTTTTGGAAGCGGTAACAAGCTATTCAGACAAAGGACGTCCAGTAGACGTAGTGTACATGGACTTCTCAAAAGCCTTTGACAAGGTATCACATGAAAGACTGGCAAGGAAATTACATTCATATGGAATAAATGGTAATATATTAGAATTGATAGAGCATTTGTTGGAAACGAAGAAAGCAAAGGTTCGTCGCAAATGGAACTGAATCTGACTAGAGAAATGTGGTGAGTGGAGTCCCACAAGGTCCCCATCTTTGGACCCATCCCTTTTCTCATGTACATCAATGACATATATTTCCTTTCCCATCTCATACCCTTTTCCTTCCATATCAATACGCTATGCTTGTTAGTGCCTTTGCAAGAATGTAAAAACACCAATATTATGTACTTTCACAAACACATTCTTGTAAATAGATAAATAAATCTATATAAATAAAATTGTAAATGTTCATTTTGTTCAAAATCGCTAATCTCCGAAAGTTCTTCACTGATTGCTTTGAAATTTTGACACAACATTCCATTCAAATACACGCATATTTTTATATACCTACTATATAGATGTCACATCTGTGACAAGTAAAAACATGCTTTTTTGAAAAACTGTGTTTTTCATCTGAGGGAAATCTTCGAAACTTCTTTACCGACTGCATTGAGATTTTAACACAACGTTGCATTCAAATATGCGCATGTTCTTATATACCTACTTTATACATGCCACACCTGTAACAAGAAAAAACATGCTTTGTTGGAAAAACAGCATCATCTGTTGCATGTAAAAGCAAGACACGCTGTAATTTCCAAAAGTTCTTCGCCGATTGCTTTGAAATTTTGACACGACGTTCCATGCAAATACGCTTGTGTTTTTATATACCTACTATATAGATGTCACTCCTGTAACAGGTAAAAACATGCTTTTTTTTTAAACCAGTGCAATCTGTTGGATGTAAAAGCAACATACGCTATACTAAATACATTACGATTCCATTTCAATGTTTCCGATTGCATTGTTAAACTGAATTTTCATAGACTTTGATTTATTTTATTTTGATTTAATTATTTTGTGTGACATTGCGTTTTAATTGAGCTGTGTTGTTTACCATGCCGTTCATTTCGTGTGTATAGTTTATTTGTATATTTTTTCATTGCTTTTTATTTTATTTTTTTAACTGTTCTTATTTTCATTGATGGGAATATCAGATCATTTGATGTTCCCATTTTTCTGATGGGAACATCAGATCATTTGATGTTCCCATTTTTCTGATGGGAACATCAGATCATTTGATGTTCCCATTTTTCTGATGGGAACATCAGATCATTTGATGTTCCCATTTTTCTGATGGGAACATCAGATCATTTGATGTTCCCATTTTTCTGATGGGAACATCAGATCATTTGATGTTCCCATTTTTCTGATGGGAACATCAGATCATTTGATGTTCCCATTTTTCTGATGGGAACATCAGATCATTTGGGAATGCATCGAACGGGGGGAGGAATGGTGGGGGAGGATGAAGGAACGAAGGAGTGGGAGATGGTGTTGAGGACGAGGGGGGGGGGGAATGATGGGGATGACGAGGGGGACGGGGAGTGGAGAATGGTTGGGAGGACGATGGGAAGGGAGAGAGGGAATATTGGGGGGGATGGGGGATGGAGGAGGGTTACAGTGGCTCTTTATTTTTGTTCTTCTTTCCAGCTTATTTCTGTGAGGTCTTGATTTATTGGTTCCCAGTTAATGTCTGTTATTAAAATTGAATTTGCTAAATTCTCCTCTTGGATTTGTGATCGGTTGTGCAGGTCTATTGTTTATACCTGTCTGACCTTCGATTATTATATCCCAGTAACTTGTATTTGAAATCACTATGTTTGTAATCAGTTCATTGTTGATAATGGTCGAGGACGGACTGAAACGTCGTCGTCTCTTCATTTTCAGATGTGTGAGTTGGGTGTCAGATGTATGGGTTGGGTGTCAGGTGTGTGGGTTGGGTGTCAGATGTGTGGGTTGGGTGTCAGATGTATGGGTTGGGTGTGAGATGTGTGGGTTGGGTGTCAGATGTATGGGTTGGGTGTGAGGTGTGTGGGTTGGGTGTCCAGATATGTGTGGGTTGGGTGTCCAGATATGTGTGGGTTGGGTGTCCAGATGTGTGTGGGTTGGGTGTCCAGATGTGTGGGTTGGGTGTCAGATGTGTGGGTTGTGTGTCAGATGTGTGGGTTGGGTGTGAGATGTGTGGGTTGGGTGTCAGATGTGTGGGTTGGGTGTGAGATGTATGGGTTGGGTGTCAGGTGTGTGGGTTGGGTGTCAGATGTATGGGTTGTGGTGAGATGTGTGGGTTGGGTGTCAGGTGCATGGGTTGGGTGTCACATGTGTGTGGGTTGGGTGTCAGATGTGTGGGTTGGGTGTCAGGTGCATGGGTTGGGTGTCACATGTGTGTGGGTTAGGTATATGGACTCCTGAGCCTTGATAGTATGACTCCTCGCCACAAGGTCTATAGTCCCCTAGCCTAGGGTATCTCCTCTTCTAAAGTTGGTTCTACTATTTGTTGATTTAAAGGAAATCAGTCACACACACCCGTAAGAGGTCACTTGGGTAAGTGTTCTTCGACACTGCTTCCCTGAGATTCTCTCTAGATGTAACCCATTTGCCACATTTTTTTGTTTTATTTTCCTTTTAGGTGTCGTAAATTGAAGCCACCCAGGAAGGTGATGTTTAGGGCAAGGTTTATGAAGTTTTCTAAGCACGGTAATATCTTCATTAGCTGGTGTTTGACACTATATATAACACTATTTATACACCATCTAAAACACTATCCCCGACACTGGTAAACCATTATAGTTTACTTCATGCCAGAATACAATATCATGAAACACTTAAGAAATTACCCGTGTAGAGATTAAAGATTTAAATACGTAATAATGAGAAGGGAATTTGTGATCAAGCATTGGATTAATAATATTGTTTGTGTTGAAGTATGTGGCGGCGGTGTCGGAGCAGCTGGCGGCCCGGGACCAGGCCTTGTTGGTGCGGGCGGTGGCGCCTCCTGGCGCACTTACCCCTACCCTGGCCATCCTCCCTGCACCTCACTCCTCAGGTCAGTACACTCCTAAGGTCAGAACATTCCGGTATTGGAGTCCTACTTTCCGTGAGAACTGTACTCCCATATTCGCTATACTTTTTGAATAATTATACTCTCCACACTTCTCTGCTGATAACTGTACTCTCCACACTTCTCTGCTGATAACTGTACTCTCCACACTTCTCTGCTGATAACTATACTCTCCACACTTCTCTGCTGATAACTGTACTCTCCACATTTCTCTGCTGATAACTGTACTCTCCACACTTCTCTGCTGATAACTGTACTCTCCACACTTCTCTGCTGATAACTGTACTCTCCACACTTCTCTGCTGATAACTGTACTCTCCACACTTCTCTGCTGATAACTATACTCTCCACACTTCTCTGCTGATAACTGTACTCTCCACACTTCTCTGCTGATAACTGTACTCTCCACACTTCTCTGCTGATAACTATACTCTCCACACTTCTCTGCTGATAACTATACTCTCCACACTTCTCTGCTGATAACTGTACTCTCCACACTTCTCTGCTGATAACTGTACTCTCCACACTTCTCTGCTGATAACTGTACTCTCCACACTTCTCTGCTGATAACTGCTCTGCGCTTTATCTTTATTGATGTTTCGTCTACCTACAGTTCTCTTTGTTGATCCTTTTGCTGTCTATCGTTCAGCTGATTTCAGTAGTTAATAATTAAGTCTATCACTTGTTGTCTGCAGCAGGTTGTTGTGTGTATGGTGATATGTATGGTGTACAGTGTCTTAGTGAGACTGTGTATGGTGTACAGTGTCTTAGTGAGACTGTGTATGGTGATATGTATGGTGTACAGTGTCTTAGTGAGACTGTGTATGGTGATATGTATGGTGTACAGTGTCTTAGTGAGACTGTGTATGGTGATATGTATGGTGTACAGTGTCTTAGTGAGACTGTGTATGGTGATATGTATGGTGTACAGTGTCTTAGTGAGACTGTGTATGGTGATATGTGTGGTGTACAGTGTCTTAGTGAGACTGTGTATGGTGATATGTGTGGTGTACAGTGTCTTAGTGAGACTGTGTATGGTGATATGTATAGTGTACAGTGTCTTAGTGAGACTGTGTATGGTGTACAGTGTCTTAGTGAGACCGTGTATGGTGATATGTGTGGTGTACAGTGTCTTAGTGAGACTGTGTATGGTGATATGTGTGGTGTACAGTGTCTTAGTGAGACCGTGTATGGTGATATGTGTGGTGTACAGTGTCTTAGTGAGACTGTGTATGGTGATATGTATGGTGTACAGTGTCTTAGTGAGACTGTGTATGGTGATATGTATGGTGTACAGTGTCTTAGTGAGACTGTGTATGGTGTACAGTGTCTTAGTGAGACTGTGTATGGTGATATGTATGGTGTACAGTGTCTTAGTGAGACTGTGTATGGTGATATGTATGGTGTACAGTGTCTTAGTGAGACTGTGTATGGTGATATGTATGGTGTACAGTGTCTTAGTGAGACTGTGTATGGTGTACAGTGTCTTAGTGAGACTGTGTATGGTGTACAGTGTCTTAGTGAGACTGTGTATGGTGTACAGTGTCTTAGTGAGACTGTGTATGGTGTACAGTGTCTTAGTGAGACTGTGTATGGTGTACAGTGTCTTAGTGAGACTGTGTATGGTGTACAGTGTCTTAGTGAGACTGTGTATGGTGTACAGTGTCTTAGTGAGACCGTGTATGGTGTACAGTGCCTTAGTGAGACTGTGTATGGTGTACAGTGTCTTAGTGAGACTGTGTATGGTGATATGTATGGTGTACAGTGTCTTAGTGAGACCGTGTATGGTGTACAGTGTCTTAGTGAGACTGTGTATGGTGTACAGTGTCTTAGTGAGACTGTGTATGGTGTACAGTGTCTTAGTGAGACTGTGTATGGTGTACAGTGTCTTAGTGAGACCGTGTATGGTGATATGTATGGTGTACAGTGTCTTAGTGAGACCGTGTATGGTGATATGTATGGTGTACAGTGTCTTAGTGAGACTGTGTATGGTGATATGTATGGTGTACAATGTCTTAGTGAGACTGTGTATGGTGATATGTATGGTGTACAGTGTCTTAGTGAGACTGTGTATGGTGTACAGTGTCTTAGTGAGACTGTGTATGGTGTACAGTGTCTTAGTGAGACTGTGTATGGTGTACAGTGTCTTAGTGAGACTGTGTATGGTGATATGTGTGGTGTACAGTGTCTTAGTGAGACTGTGTATGGTGATATGTATGGTGTACAGTGTCTTAGTGAGACTGTGTATGGTGATATGTGTGGTGTACAGTGTCTTAGTGAGACTGTGTATGGTGATATGTATGGTGTACAGTGCCTTAGTGAGACTGTGTATGGTGTACAGTGTCTTAGTGAGACTGTGTATGGTGTACAGTGTCTTAGTGAGACTGTGTATGGTGTACAGTGTCTTAGTGAGACCGTGTATGGTGATATGTATGGTGTACAGTATCTTAGTGAGACTGTGTATGGTGATATGTATGGTGTACAGTGTCTTAGTGAGACTGTGTATGGTGATATGTATGGTGTACAGTGTCTTAGTGAGACTGTGTATGGTGATATGTATGGTGTACAGTGTCTTAGTGAGACCGTGTATGGTGATATGTATGGTGTACAGTGTCTTAGTGAGACTGTGTATGGTGATATGTATGGTGTACAGTGTCTTAATGAGACTGTGTATGGTGATATGTGTGGTGTACAGTGCCTTAGTGAGACTGTGTATGGTGATATGTATGGTGTACAGTGCCTTAGTGAGACTGTGTATGGTGATATGTGTGGTGTACAGTGCCTTAGTGAGACTGTGTATGGTGATATGTATGGTGTACAGTGCCTTAGTGAGAATGTGTATGGTGATATGTGTGGTGTACAGTGCCTTAGTGAGACCGTGTATGGTGATATGTATGGTGTACAGTGCCTTAGTGAGACTGTGTATGGTGATATGTATGGTGTACAGTGCCTTAGTGAGACTGTGTATGGTGATATGTGTGGTGTACAGTGCCTTAGTGAGACTGTGTATGGTGATATGTATGGTGTACAGTGTCTTAGTGAGACCGTGTATGGTGATATGTATGGTGTACAGTGTCTTAGTGAGACTGTGTATGGTGATATGTATGGTGTACAGTGTCTTAGTGAGACTTCATGAGTGGAGGGTGTGTGGCGAGTAGGGTCTAAGACCTGGACCACGTGTACGCCACCATCGCTACTCTATAAACAAACCCACTCTGACCTAACCCAACCCATCAATTTAAACCCAACTTTACCTGACCAAACCCATCCTAACCCGACCTAACATAGCCTAACTTGATATAATCTAACTCAACCATAACTACCCTAACCTAACGTAACCTAACTTAATGTAACGTAACCAAATCTACCCTAATTTATCCTAACCTAACCTAACCTAATATAATCTAATCTACCGATGGGAGCCGGTCGGCCGAGCGGACAGCACGCTGGACTTGTGATCCTGTGGTCCTGGGTTCGATCCCAGGCGCCGGCGAGAAACAATGGGCAGAGTTTCTTTCACCCTATGCCCCTGTTACCTAGCAGTAAAATAGGTACCTGGGTGTTAGTCAGCTGTCACGGGCTGCTTCCTGGGGGTGGAGGCCTGGTCTAGGATCGGGCCGCGGGGACACTAAAGCCCCAAAATCATCTCAAGATAACCTCAAGATAACCCTAACCTAGTCTAATCTAGTCTAATTTAGTCCATCCTAGCATAACCTATCTTAACCTAACCTAACCTATCCTATCCTAACCTAACCTATCCTATCCTAACCCAACGAAAATAAGAGACAAAATGTTGTGAATTATGAATGTGGCATGCACGAGGTGTGTGACGTGTGAAGTAATGTTGATGTGGGGTACAGGTGTTAGAGCCTATATACTGGTGTAAACATTGAGCCGGTTGTGAGGTCAGTTTCTCCCCGCCGCCGCCGCGGCCGCCGCAGCCCTGTCGCTGGTGCACGTCGCGCCTGCGGACCTCCTCCTGGCCGAGCGCCATCTGGACGGCCACCACCAGGAGGTTCCTGACAAGGTTAGCTCTATAGTGCATGAGAGTAACTTTGTAATATCTATTCAACATATTATATTAACATGCTTTGTAAGAATTTGTGTTTTTGTATATATATATATATATATATATATATATATATATATATATCTTAGAATATATATATATATATATATATATATATATATATATATATATATATATATATATATATATATATATATATATATATATATATATATATATATATATATATGTCGTACCTAGTAGCCAGAACGCACTTCTCGGCCGACTATGCAAGGCCCGATTTGCCTAATAAGCCAAGTTTTTATAAATTAATTGTTTTTCGACTACCTAACCTACCTAACCTAACCTAACCTAACTTTTTCGGCTACCTAACCTAACCTAACCTATAAAGATAGGTTAGGTTAGGTTAGGTAGGGTTGGATAGGTTCGGTCATATAGCTACGTTAATTTTAACTCCAATAAAAAAAATTGACCTCATACATAATGAAATGGGTAGCTTTATCATTTCATAAGAAAAAAAATAGAGAAAATATATTAATTCAGGAAAACTTGGCTTATTAGGCAAATCGGGCCTTGCATAGTAGGCTGAGAAGTGCGTTCTGGCTACTAGATACGACATATATATATATATATATATATATATATATATATATATATATATATATATATATATATATGTTGTACCTAGTAGCCAAAACGTTATACTCGGCCTACTATGCAAGGCCCAATTTGCCTGATAAGCCAAATTTTCCTGAATTTATATATTTTGCATTTTTTTTTTCTTATGAAATGATAAATCTGCCCATTTCATTATGTATAAGTTAATTTGTTGAAATTTGAGTTAAAACTAATGTAGATATATGATCAAACCTAACCAACTCTACCTAACCTAACCTAACCTATTTAAACCTAACCTAAACTAACACAACTAAGTCAATAATTTATGTTCCTAATATAATATAATAATAATAATTCAAATACACCAATTGGAAACAATTTATTGAAAATAAAGAAAATCAGTCGGCCTATTTAGGCAAATCGGGCCTTGCATACTAGGCTAAGAAGTGCATTCTGGCTACTAGGTACGACATATATATATATATTAATCCTAAGGGACAGGATCAATATATCATGCCATGGTTCAATTAAGGCACAATCGATCAACACACCAGGCATAGTTCAACAGCATTCTAAGACAGTGGATGAAGACACCAGGCCACGAGATTACAAGGTCCACCTCGAGGAAGACCCGAGAAAAGGAGCGAGAGAAGGAGCATGAACCAACAGGTAGTGCTATTCGCTGGGAGACATGGCTCCTACAGGAGGGCGAGGAGTGAATACGTGACCACCAGAAGAGAAGCTTTGTGTAAATGACATGCATGTGTGAGCAAATGAACAACTGGAACTACATTCTTAGCCACTACACAAGACATCTCAGTGAATGTCAAGTGTTCTGCTTTAAAAAAAAAAGGAGACAAGGAGACATACAAAAACAATAAGGAAATGTGTGAGAGGGAGCTCACTTAGGCAGCAAACATGAGTAAGAAGACTTGGGAAAGTGTACACAGAAATCTTTACATAGTAAAGCAACAATCCACATTAGCTCCGACCTCCTGAGCACCCCCTTGATAGACCTAACCTACCCTCCAAACCGACCACCTCCTAACAAGACCCGTATCAATGGAAGATATGAGAGGAGCTTTAAAGAGCATCCGCAACAAGGCCCCAGGACCATTGGGGATCAAAGCAAAGCAGATCCAACTCCTCCCAGGCAATCTCGTGCACTTCCTTCTCAACATATTCAACGCCATGTTGGCATCTGGACACATCCCCGTTGCCTTTAAAACGGCCAAGATGATATTTATTCCCTAACCCAAGAAAGACCCCCACCAGCCCGGCAACAACAGCCCAATCTCCCTCTTAGACACAATTGGCAAGTGTTTTGAAAAACCCATGTCCAACCGTCTCAACTACTATATGGAGTACAACAACTTCTTCACTGAAAAACAGTTCGGCTTTCGAGGACAACGGTCAGCCAGCACGCAATAAACATCATCTACGATGCTGTAAGCTCAATTCGCCAGCAAAAACAGGTAGCCCTGATTGCGACGAGAGACGTACACGAGGCCTTCGACAGCCTATGGCACGATGGCCTTGTGTACAAACTAGCACACTTACCAGCCCAAAACTGGACCCTCCTCAGGCTGCACAGAAATTTCCTTAAGAACAGACAAGTTACTCCCAGCTTCAAGGCGAAAGCGGCAGCAGCCTTCACCAACAGCTGGAGTCCCAAGGGTCGTGCCCAAGCCCAGTCCTCTTCAACATTTTCGTAAATGACCTGCCCCAACCACATTATAGGGACACCATTATCATCCAATTTGCAGACGACGTAACACATGTAATAACATCTAACCCAAGCAGCCAAACATGCAACTAACCCGTAAGGCGAACATAGAACTAGCCAGGACTGCTAACTAGGAAAGAAAATGGAGGATCACCACTAACCCAGACAAGATCCAAATAAGCACTGTCGGTTGTATGGCCTACACAATCGAAGATGAGCGGGGGATAAGGATCAGGGGTGAACCCATAGCCATCTCAAACACCAACACAGTGCTTGGATACAACCTCAACAGGTTACTCAACTCCACCCAGTACGTCTCCCAGAAGACAGCGATGGCCCGGGGTTGCCTGTCGAGGCTATTCTGCTTCAGGCAAGCCCCACCCCACATCAAGCTCCACCTGTACAGAATGATCATAAGGCCTAGCCTGGAGTACCCTTACGTCCCCCTGAACCTCACCAACAGAACCAACATGCTGAAGATCCAACAGGTCCAAAACAAAGCACTTCGCTTCGCTGCGGGCCTGTCGCTGGCGGACGGGGTAAAAACAGACCAGATTCATGAGACTCTCAACATGATGCCAATGAACACCAGGCTCAGCTACCTGGCCAGAAGGCAGCTGTACCGCATGAAACACATGCCCCAGGCCCCGAAGACCCCCACGAAGCAGTAAACACCACCAGTGAGTATGAGATCCACGAAACGCCACACAACCAGAAGAATCACTCCAACAAAAAGTGATCAGACCTTCACTAGACCTCAAATACTAAGTGGTCTCCCAGACGACCCAGATAAGTGAACCACACCGGACCCGATTTATACTTAATAGAAAAAAAAAATAAGAAATACAAAAATACAAACAACCAATAACAAAAAAACTATTTTGTGCTTCCAGAAGAGTAACCGCCCTGATGTTGCTAAGATTAATCTCCTGCAGCCAGCTCCAGCGGCTCTAGGGCTTCCATACACCAACCAGAACACAAACACTAGCCACCCAGCCAATGTACTGACAACCCAACATACCAATTACCCAAACAAACGACACACACATGTCAACCCATGGTGGACAGGCCACCGAACTTTCAAACCTCCTCTACACCCACATCCTCTTCCAGAATTTCACCTCCCCATCCCTCTACCTCCCCCATCCTTTCCAAACCCTTTGGACATCAAAGCTGAAAGTACACAGCAAGCACGAGGTGCTCCCGCAACCCACACACTGCCAACAGGAGCAACACATGAGCTAAGAAGCACTATTTATTTATTTATTTATTTATTTATTTATATATATACAAGAAGGTACATTGGGATTGTAAGGATACATAGCATAGTAATTACAATCTTGTAAAGCCACTAGTACGCACAGCGTTTCGGTCAGGTCCTTAATCTAAGAAAATTTTAAGTAGGTAAATACTTGCAAAATTTATAAAAAATGATAACAGTTACAAAGCAAGAAAAAAATACAAGATGAGAGACTTAAGGCATATAAGACTATGTCTTATTGTTAGGGACCAGAAACCTGTTACGTTTATCAAGGTCCTTCCTAGGACTGTCTTTCCCCAAGATACAACCCACAACAGCTGGCTAACTCTCAGATATACCTATTTACTGTTAGGCGAACAGCGGCATCAGGTGTAAGAACCGACTACGCAGGAGTCCATCCTGGGACGACGTTGATGACGGTGCTACACCGCACCACGGGTGCAGCTGGAAGTGCAGTTGTTCTGACAATGGGCGATGGCTTGTACTTTGAGTGGGGAGTCCGTATAAACAACTGGGCCTCTACCCTTCAGACCGAACTATTTGCCTTGATCCTTGCACTGAAATGTGTACAAGTCTCAAAACTTGATACATTAATTGTAAGTGACTCCTTATCATCCTTAAATGCTCTCAACTCTTTAAGACATAACTGTAACATGCTCGTGTCCGAATTAAGCTAGGCACAAATACAACAAAATTATTAAGGATGGTAACAGAGTCCATTTCATGTGGTCTCCATCTCATGTTGGCCTCCGAATGCATGATAGAGCTGGTAAGTTAGCCAAAGAATCTGCCTTTAAAGGAGCCGTTGAGTGTAACCTTGGATTGTCAATGAGCAATCTGAGAGCAGCAGTACACCGAGAACTTCAACAAGATCTTGTAGATCTGAGGCAAAGTGAAATTGACACCAGTAATTCCATCATCATACTATGATGCAAGAGGAGCCACACATCTTTGGATCATCCAATAAAATCAGCAGACTTCTAGATATTACTACTGCTCGGCTTAGACTCGGTTACAATTAAAGTATCTCTGGGAATTCTCATTATCTGTTGATGTAGACCTAACCAAATGTAAACTGTGTCAACAAAATTATTCGCACACCCTCCGTCACTATGTGATGGAGTGCGAAACGTGAATTTAGTGACAAATCTATAACCAATGTTCCAGCGATGTGTAAATATTTCATTCAAAATGATCTGCTACCAGAAATTTTAGCCAAATATCCCCAGTTTGCTAACTGTAGGTAGTAACTGAGTGATTGTAACCAATCAACCACTGCCCACTGGATGGGGGGCGGTGTGCAGGACAAACATATCAATTGTGACACTAGCTCTCCACATATGTCAGTTGCTTAATTTAGAACCTGTATTTGAGGTCGATTTCGAACCCATTGTTGATGTGACGACTTATATTGAATTTTGTAACTAGCTCATCAAGATTGTAACTTGCTTAGCTAAATGAATTGTGGGGTTCAGTCCCTGAGCCCATTATGTGCCTCTGTAACCCTTTCCACTACCGCCCACAAGATGGGTATGGGGTGCATAATAAATGAACTAAACTAACGGTTAATTTATTTTGCAGCTTGTATATCCTGTGAGCGTAGTGGAAACGCTCGAGTCGCTCATGAACTGAACCCACAAATTCTTGGTGTATATAAGGAGGAACACTAAGCTTAATCCAAGTGGCATAACTGGCAGGATGGTGTAATGTGGGTGAGCGTAGAGAGACAGGGAGTCACGGTCAGCTGTACCCGGGGCGGGGGAGGTGTTGGCTTACCCACACTAGTCTTATCTTCCCGCCCTCCGTCCCTGCGGCCTGCTGGTGCTGCTCCTGGCGGGGTCCCTGGGTACCTCACCCGCCTTCCCGCCCCGGCACCCCACCCGTCTCCCGCCCCGGCACCCCACCCGTCTCCCACCCCGGCACCCCACCCGTCTCCCGCCCCGGCCGGCACTCCACCCCGCCCTCCCACACACACTCTACAGACAAAGTGTGGCACACAGGCCTAAAATATAAGATATCTGAGCTAGGACTTCCTGAGAGATATACTGCTACTCTACTGCTAGGCTTAATATCAGCAGCTACTTGGGTGACATAATAGAATTGAAAAGTGGAGTACCACAAGGAAGCTGCCTCTCCCCCACTCTATTCAACATATTTTCTGAGGTTGGAAGAAAACGTGCTCAGATTGGGGACTTGTTTATTTTATAATGGTAAATAATAAATTAATAATAAATAATAAATTAATAATAAATAATAAATTAATAATAAATAATTATTATTATTATATAATAAATAATAATAACAAATAGTATAATGATAAGCAATTATTTTTAATGAATCAAATAGCTAATTAGGGTGAATGACAAATAATTAGTGACTAATGCATAACAATAAAGTATTAAAGAATAATTATAATGAATAATCATTATAATGATAAAGTATTAAATCAATTACAATTAATAGTTACATCTATAGTTAGTAATTGAAAGTTACATTATTTGAATTTACACTAATTACAATTCATGGTAATATTTCTTAGCTATCTGCAGGCTTATCACTTTGGAGGTTCCGGCGGAGCACCCCCAAAGATACTGCAAATGCTTAGCAAGCTAGAACAAGTGCCCCTTGAGCCTGTCTGTGCGTTAATTGTCCCTTTGAAAAGAAAACAGGATACAGAGGATGCTTGTCGGGAAGAGGGGCCACGCAGTCTGCAGGCAGAGCTTATATAACCTCGGCTCATTGCGCGCGCAGCTTGGGCGGTTAAAGTCAGCTTCCAGTTGTTTTTTTTAGTTTAGTTCATTTATTATGCACCCCATACCCATCTTGTGGGCGGTAGTGGAAAGGGTTACGGAATTCTAGACATACGTTTTCTCTTCCTCAGAAAACCCACCGTTTTTGGGAAAAACAGTGTTCTTATACACCTTACCTACCCCAACCCCAACATGGAGAATACATCTAATACGCTGACGATGTCACCCAAATAATATGCCAACCGGGACCATCAAAGTCGCTACTAGCCGACAAGACCAAGGCACCAATTGAACTCATAAACAACTTTGAGAAGCAATGGAAAATTAGCACCAACAAACAAAAGTTTCAGATAATACACATTGCGAAAAGAAACCCGGACCCCATCATCCTTGACAACCATCCGATCCAATATGCGGAGGTAGGCAGAATACTGGGACTTATGATAAATAGAACAGGGATACAAATTCATGTAAGGGACCGACTAAACAAAGCCAAAGCAGCCGTAAGAAAACTGAGGAGATTCCGAAGCCTCAGTACAAACATTCAGATCCACCTATATAAGGCTCTAGTTGGGCCGCATCTAGAGTATCCCCCAATACCACTACACACCATAAAGAAAACTAACATGCAGAAACTGCAAGCTGTGCAAAATAAGGCGCTAAGGAGAGCAGCAAAACACCGTCCACCATAGGATCAGACAATCCAGGAACTCCTGAACATACAGCCACTAAACATCAGACTGCAACACCAAGCCATCAGGGTGTGGAAAACCATCGAAATGTTAGAGGACCCAATGTTAGACAGGTTACTCCAAGATGAGACGCCCCACTCCCACAGCTGGTGGCCCAAGGTGAGACGCCCCGCTCCCACAGCTGGTGGCCCAAGATGAGACGCCCCGTTCCCACAGCTGGTGGCCCAAGATGAGACGCCCCGCTCCCACAGCTGGTGGCCCAAGATGAGACGCCCCGCTCCCACAGCTGGTGGCCCAAGATGAGACGCCCCGCTCCCACAGCTGGTGGCCCAAGATGAGACTCCCCGCTCCCACAGCTGGTGGCCCAAGATGAGACGCCCCGCTCCCACAGCTGGTGGCCCAAGATGAGACGCCCCGCTCCCACAGCTGGTGGCCCAAGATGAGACGCCCCGCTCCCACAGCTGGTGGCCCAAGATGAGACGCCCCGCTCCCACAGCTGGTGGCCCAAGATGAGACGCCCCGCTCCCACAGCTGGTGGCCCAAGATGAGACGCCCCGCTCCCACAGCTGGTGGCCCAAGATGAGACGCCCCACTCCCACAGCTGGTGGCCCAAGATGAGACGTCCCACTCGCACAGCTGGTGGCCCAAGATGAGACGCCCAACTCCCACAGCTGGTCGCCCATGATGAGACGCCCTACTCCCACAGCTGGTGGCCCAAGATGAGACGCCCCGCTCCTACAGCTGGTGGCCCAAGATGAGACGCCCCGCTCCCACAGCTGGTGGCCGAAGATGAGACGCCCCGCTCGCACAGCTGGTGGCCCAAGATGAGACGCCCCGCTCCTACAGCTGGTGGCCCAAGATGAGACGCCCCGCTCCCACAGCTGGTGGTCCAAGATGAGACGCCCCGCTCGCACAGCTGGTGGCCCAAGATGAGACGCCCAACTCCCACAGCTGGTCGCCCAAGATGAGACGCCCTACTCCCACAGCTGGTGGCCCAAGATGAGACGCCCCGCTCCCACAGCTGGTGGCCCAAGAGCCGTGATTTATTAGACGAAAACCCCGACCCACAGTGTATAATTCCCAGATGAAATACTGACCAGAAATCCTTCCCCCAATAATTGGAAAAATTGAGTATGTATGTGTCTATGTATGTGAATATGTGTAAAGTTGTGTATATGCATATGTATATAGGTATATGTATGTGTATGTATGAACAACTTAATAAATAATAAAATAAAGAGCCTTAAACAGAACAACATGTGTGGAAGCATCGGAGTGTGTATATATGAATGCTACACAGTATTCATCTATAGACATCCATATATGGTGAAACACATGTGAAGAACCTCTCACACACTCACTGCTCCCTGACATGAGGGGGGCCAGCTTAGCTTAGCTGCCAACACCCACACATCGTGTCAGCAAGGCGGACAGCCCGCCTGCTTTCATACCTATCACTGTATTTCCCACTTCTAAACTTCCCTTCACCTATGCCTCACCTTCCTCTTTACTTCCAAAAAACACACACTCCACCCTCCCGTCTCCCACACACTCCACCCGCCTCCACACACACCCCACCCTCCTCCACACACTCCACATAACAACTGCTTGGCATGAAACAAAGGTCCTTTAATACGGCAGTATTGTAATCTGTGTACGACGCCTTGCGCTCATTCACGTGACTACTCCTATGACATACAAACCAACGGGATATGTACGCTTGTCTGGACTAATGAGAATCAGTTCCTCTTGGTGAGTTGAGTGTAGGTTTGTGCAGTGGGTGTCACGGTAGAGGCACTCGTGAGGCACTGGTAGAGGCACCCATGTGGCACTTGTCACATAGTGAGAACGGAGGTAATGGGACTGGTGGTTGCAGGTGAGCAAGGAGATGGAGCAACGGTTGGGGTCCCTGGACGTGTCGGACGTGAAGCTGGTCGACCTCACCTCCACCCTCATCCCCACCCTGGTCCATCACTTCACCAAGACCTCCAGGGTAAGTGGGTACTGTGTCAACACCTGCAGGGTAAGGTGGGTACTGTGTCAACACCTGCAGGGTAAGGTGGGTACTGTGTCAACACCTGCAGGGTAAGATGGGTACTGTGTCAACACCTGCAGGGTAAGATGGGTACTGTGTCAACACCTGCAGGGTAAGGTGGGTACTGTGTCAACACCTGCAGGGTAAGGTGGCTACTGTGTCAACACCTGCAGGGTAAGGTGGGTACTGTGTCAACACCTGCAGGGTAAGGTGGGTACTGTGTCAACACCTGCAGGGTAAGGTGGGTACTGTGTCAACACCTGCAGGGTAAGGTGGGTACTGTGTCAACACCTGCAGGGTAAGGTGGGTACTGTGTCAACACCTGCAAGGTAAGATTACATACAGTGCACAAGGCGAAAGAAGATGACAGAGTTAAGTATACCTTTAACATTAATACTAGCTCCATCCTCTTTAATTTGCTCCCTGTGGGGAATCATGCTAAGATGGTGAACCCGACCCGAGGCTGGAGACGCCACACAAAGATGATAATAATAATAATAATAATATAAGATAAAAACCCACTCTTGTGTATTTGTAAAATTTATGTAAAGAATTTACACCAAGTCTTTCGTACTCTCCTGAGTGCTTTGTCAAGGTCTGAGTGTGTGCAGGCTAAGACGAGACTTACATCTCAACGTCTAATCAAGATTAATCACTCGCTATTGAATGGCGGCTTTCATCTGATAATTGCTACTGGTGTCGTAACAGGGAGGAAGTGGCCGCGGCGGTGTACAGCCCAACACAGCCCTGGTGGACGTGAGGAACACCCCGGTGGTGGCGCCCGGGCTGCCCCCTGGCCGGCCCCGGCCGCATCAACACCCAGCCTTCACCACCAACTTCCAGCCGGATGCCCCCCTGGTGGTGGCGGACCGCGACCACTCCTCGCGCCCCCGGGGCCGAAGTCACGCCCGCGGGCGAAGTCACGCCCAGGGGCGGCGTGGCTGGGTGACGGCCCAGAGCCTCAACTTATCTCGCTCCACCTATTATTAGCTGCCACGTACTACCTCCCACAGGATTTGTGTGTTTTAATTTGGGTTGAATTTCTTAAAACTGTATTTTGGTCCGCAATTGATTTTATATTTTTGTGCCGCAATTTATTTTGTATTTTTGTTCTGCAATTTATTTGATTTTTTTGTTCTGTAATTGAGTTTATATTTTTGTTCTGCAATTTATTTTATATTTTTGTTCTGCAATTTATATTATATTTTTATACTTGAAATTTATATTGATGGAATACTTCTACCTTACGTCTTTGTGAAGCCTCTCGCCAAAATAGGTATATAAGCCAATAATATATATATTGCTTGACTATTTTCATCTCTTGTAATTTGAATTTATAATAATAAACCAGATGTATATGTTTTTTGTTTGTCCACTTGTGGAGAGAAAGCATATAGCATTCACGTAATTGGACCATCTGAGCCTCGAACCCCAGACCACAACAGCAGCAGCCTGCAGCTCTACCTACTGAGCTACCTGCAGTACCCACAATAGAGGAGGCTCCAAGAGACACCAACCTGCTGTCCAATTGAAACTTTAGGCCAATATCAATGGTCTCGATTTGCCAAATAGTACTTCACATGCAGCCCTTTAGTATATATATATATATATATATATATATATATATATATATATATATATATATATATATATATATATATATATATATATATATATATATACACATACACATACACACATACATACATACATACATACATACATACATACATACATACATACATACATACATACATACATACATACATACATACATACATACATACATACATATGTCGTACCTTGTAGCCATAGTAGGCCGAGAAGTGCGTTCTGGCTACTAAGTACTACATATATATATATATATATATATATATATATATATATATATATATATATATATATGTCGTACCTAGTAGCCAGAACTCACTTCTCAGCCTACTATGCAAGGCCCGATTTGCCTAATAAGCCAAGTTTTCCTGAATTAATATATTTTTTCTAATTTTTTTCTTATGAAATGGTAAAGCTACCCATTTCATTATGTATGAAGTCAATTTTTTTTATTGGAGTTAAAATTAACGTAGATATATGACCGAACCTAACCAACCCTACCTAACCTAACCTAACCTATCTTTATAGGTTACGTTAGGTTAGGTAGCTGAAAAAGTTAGGTTAGGTTAGGTTAGGTAGGTTAGGTAGTGGAAAAACAATTAATTCATGAAAACTTGGCTTATTAGGCAAATCGGGCCTTGCATAGTAGGCTGAGAAGTGCGTTCTGGCTACTAGGTACGACATATATATATATATTTTTTTTTCCTTCGTGGTCTGACATTGTCATATATATATATATATATATATATATATATATATATATATATATATATATATATATATATTTTAGTAGCAGTCTTTCTTGTAAACATATATTATTAAATATGACCGAAAAAGTAAGATTAATAATTCTAACGCGAATTTTCTCAATATTTCTTATGTTTCTTTTCACTGCCGATGGTAATTGAAAAATCAATTCTCCAAATTTAATTTTTATTTCTAGTCTGACGCGACACTTGAACGCGTTTCCTAATAACAGATTACATTTTCAATGACTTTAGTTTACACACACACAACTATAACCTGCAAACACTAAACAGAGTTCTACTACGCTATCATTTAAGATTGATGATTGATTGATAAAGATTAAGTCACCCAAGAGGTGGCACGGGCATGAATAGCCCGTAAGTGGTACAATTTTTTTTTCTCAGTATTCTGAGGTTGCATTTAACTATCAAGCTGTTATCGCGGGGGAGGATACTGCTTCACAGTCTTTATGAGGGTGTCCAGCTGCTGGACACCTTTGTTGACCAGGAGAGTGGCTGTGTTGATGGCTTCAGGGTGGCCACTGCATGATTCAGGAACTCTTAAAGCTCTTCTAAGGTCATTGGTTGCTTCACATTCCAGAAGATAGTGAAGTAATGGCTTTTCTGTGACAGTTTGGCAGAAGATGCACTCTCTCTGTCGGGGTTCACCAATCTCCCAGTTGCATCTGTAACCTAGACGTAGTCTATATAACCTAACTGCTATTTCCCTGTGGATTCCTTTTGGGATATTTAACCTTTCTAATTTGGTTGCCTGAAGATACCATGTTGCAGATGGCGAACCTTCAGCTATTCTCTGGTGTAGGTAGGCTTTGTTGAGATGTGAGAGTTTTTTGGTGATGATGTTTTTTATGTTCTCTAGGCTGGGTTGAATTGTTTTATGTATCACTGGATGACGAGTTGCCAATTTAGCAATTTCATCAGCTTTTTCATTTAATGGGATTCCAATATGGGATGGGATCCAGTTTAAAGTTATGTTGAGTCCTTTGACTTTAGCGACTGCTCCAAGATATCATTTAAACAGCTTTCATCTTATATACCTGCATTTGGGTTAGGTGATATGTTACAACAGTTTTGGATGAGGTGAACAAAATTTTCAACACAAGATAGAGCAAACTTTCAACAGAAGACAGAACACGGTGCATTGGGTATAAATTGGGTAAATTAAAGGGAAGAATGGAAGTAACTGCAAAGAGCCTATTGGCCCATATTTCTCAATGCTTCTATATTGGTGCGGAGTCTTGAAGTGGGTAGAATCAAGAGTCTTGAAGTGGGTAGAATATAGTTGTGCATTAATTGGCTGTTGATTGTTGGTGTTGACTTCTTGATGTGTAGTGCCTCGCTGATGTCAAGCCGCCTGCTATCGCTGTATCTATCGATGATTTCTGTGTTGTTTGTTAAGATTTCTCTGGTGATGGTCTGGTTGTGGGAAGAGATTATATGTTCCTTAATAGAGCCCTATTGCTTATGCATCGTTAATCGCCTGGAAAGAGATGTTGTTGTCTTGCCTATATACTGAATTCTTTGAGGCTTACAGTCTCCAAGTGGGCATTTGAAGGCATAGACGACGTTGGTCTCTTTTAAAGCGTTCTGCTTTGTGTCTGGAGAGTTTCTCATGAGTAGGTTGGCCGTTATTTTGGTTTTATAGTAAATCGTCAATTGTATCTTCTGATTTTTGTCTGTTGGGATAACGTTCCTATCAACAATATCTTTCAGGACCCTTTCCTCCGTTTTATGAGCTGTGGAAAAGAAGTTCCTGTAAAATAGTCTAATAGGGGGTACAGGTGTTGTGTTAGTTGTCTCTTCAGAGGTTGCATGGCGTTTCACCTTCCTTATGATGTCTTCAACGAAACCATTGGAGAAGCCGTTGTTGACTAGGACCTGCCTTACCCTACAGAGTTCTTCATCGACTTGCTTCCATCCTGAGTTGTGGCTGAGAGCACGGTCGACATAAGCGTTAACAATTCACTCCTCTTGTACCTGTCTGGGCAGTCACTGTTGGCATTGAGGCACATTCCTATGTTTGTTTCCTTCTAAGGTATCTCTCTCTCTCTCTCTCTCTCTCTCTCTCTCTCTCTCTCTCTCTCTCTCTCTCTCTCTCTCTCTCTCTCTCTCTCTCTCTCTCTCTCTCTCCCCCCGTCTCTCTCTCCCCCCCCGTCTCTCTCTCCCCCCCCCTCTCTCTCTCTCTCTCTCTCTCTCTCTCTCTCTCTCTCTCTCTCTCTCTCTCTCTCTCTCTCTCTCTCTCTCTCTCTCTCTCTCTCTCTCTCTCTCTCTCTCTCTCTCTCCCCTGTCTCTCTCTCTCTCTCTCTCTCTCTCTCTCTCTCTCTCTCTCTCTATATATATATATATATATATATATATATATATATATATATATATATATATATATATATATATATATATATATATATATATATATATATATATATATATATATATATATATATATATTTTTTTTTTTTTTTTTTTTTTTTTTTTTTTGAGATATATACAAGAGTTGTTATCGTAGCGTTTCGGGCAAGTCCTTAATCCTATGGTCCCTGGAATACGATCCCCTGCCGCGAAGAATCGTTTTTTCATCCAAGTACACATTTTACTGTTGCGTTAAACAGAGGCTACAGTTAAGGAATTGCGCCCAGTAAATCCTCCCCGGCCAGGATACGAACCCATGACATAGCGCTCGCGGAACGCCAGGCGAGTGTCTTACCACTACACCACGGAGACTGCAATTTGATATGTGGATGCACCACGGAGATTTGTATATAATACAAATAACGTGTGGAAACGTCGGAAAGCGTGTATACGAATCCCTCCAAACATACGACGTTGCTACAACGTTCGAACAAACACCTAACAAGTTGCAACACCCAATATAACAAGTTTTAATAGCGTTCTAATACGTCAGAAAAAGTCATGCCAATGTGTAACAACTTTATTACAAGTTGTAACAAGCGGAAAATCGGGACAGATCCGGTTCGTGTTTGCTGGAATGCTACACAGTATTCATCTATAGACATCCATATATGCTGAAATACATGTGAAGAACCTCACACACACACACACACACACACTCTCTAGGGAGCCGGTGGCCGAGCGGACAGCACGTTGGACTCGTGATCCTGTGGTCCCGGGTTCGATCCCGGGCGCCAGCGAGAAACAATGGGCAGAGTTTCTTTCACCCTATGCCCCTGTTACCTAGCAGTAATAATTGTACCTGGGAGTTTGTCAGCTGTCACGGGCTGCTTTCTTGGGTATGGGTGTGTGGTGTGAGGGGAAAAAAATAGTAATAGTGGAAACAGTTGATTGAGAGTTGAGAGGAGGGCCGAAAAAGCAGAGCTCAACTCCCGCAAGCACAACTAGGTGAATACTCACAGCTCCCTGACAAGAGAGAGCAAACTTTGAGCATCCACATATCGTGTCAGCAAGGCGGACAGGCCGCCTGCTTTTATATAACTCTTATACAGTCCCTGTGGTGTAGTGGTAAGACACTCGAAATGGGCGTTTCGTGAGCGCTTTGGGCTGGGTTCGTATCCTAGCTGGGGAGGATTTACTGCGCGTTAATCCCTAACTGTAGCCTCTGTTCACCCAACAGTAAAATGGGTACCTGTTGTTAAACGATTTGGCGGGTCGTATTCCGGTTAATATTAGGATTTAGGACTTACCCGGAACGATATGCGTGCTAGTTGCTTTACGAGAATGTTAGAACAGTATATATAAATAAAAAACTTGTAAATTTCCAATTCACTTCTAAACTTTAACCTGTGCCACTCTATCGTCTTTACTGCCCCCCCCCCCCCCCCCCCAAAAAAAAATGGAAACGAAGTCATAAATCGTCCAGTGTTCGTGTATCACCATGTCTTTCACATAAATAACCCGATACAAATATATAGGTAGTATTTAGATTTTATACTTCATAATGCACAACCGAAAATTATTAGTCGTTAAATAAAGTATTTATCTGCTGCTAATTTTGCAAACTTAAATCGAATATGAAAGCCAAGTCAAATCCAGTGTTCAAACGGAAGGTTCCCGTGTTTACGTTTTGCCGGACGTTGTCAGGACGCTCGGGAGGGTGGACCCTTTATCTCCACCTACCATTAAGGAGAAGACGAAGACCCTTCACGCAAACTGCACGTACCGTCAAGAAGAAGACCCTTCACGCAAACTGCACGTACCCTAAAGACGAAGAAGAAGGATCGTTGTCGCCCCTCAACTCACAAAAAGAAGTTGTCAACAATTATTATATTTTGGTCCATGTTTCAACGGTGAGCGGCACATTATATAGTATAAGTGTTTATAGTTTGTCAAGTCGTATTCATTTATGGTATTTTAAGTAATAATTACGTTTAAGGCAAGGGAAAGTACTGGGCCTAGCCGAACTACCTACTATAGGGTAGCTACATAACGCTACCCTGCTACCTAGCAGGGTAGCGTTATGCACACTTGCTCACATAGCACACTCATGCTCACACCAGCACACTCATGCTCACACCAGCACACTCATGCTCACACCAGCACACTCATGCTCACACCAGCACACAGTAATGATTATACTGACACTAATGTTTACACAGGTCCTCGCGGCCGAGCAGACAGCGCTCGGGGGTCATACTGTAGTTCTAAGGGTCTGGGTTTGATTCCCCATGGCGAAATGGTAAGCTATTCGCCCAGCGTTTCGCGAGCGCTTTGGCCTGGGTGTGTATCCTGGCCTAGAACGATTTACTTGACGCCAATCCTTAACACAGTTCACCCAACAGTGAATGGGTACCTGGTTGTTAAACGATTTGGTGGGTCATATTCTGGAGAAAATTAGGATTAAGATTTGCCCAAAATACTATGTGTACTAGTGGCTGTACAAGAATATAAGTACTCTTATACAGTGGTACCTCCATTTACAAATTAAGAACATAAGAACAAAGGTAACTGCAGAATTTCTATTGGCCCATACAAGGCAGCTCCTATTTATAACCACCCAATCCCACTCATATACATGTCCAACCCACGTTTGAAACAATCGAGGCACCCGATCACCACGTTATGCGGTAATTGGTTCCACAAATCAACAACCCTGTTACCGAACCAGTATTTACCCAAGTCTTTCCTAAATCTAAACTTGTCCAATTAATACCCATTGTTTCGTATTCTGTTGTGGAGTGACGTCATCGTCTTGAGAACAATGAATATTCACCAAAATTCATAAAAAGTAGAGAAAATTGCCAAAAATGGAGAAAATCGATACTGCAAAGAGGGCAAAAAATCAGGGAAATGAATCTACCGCAATTTAAGCTTTATTAATCTCTCTTCATACAGCAGACACAGCACCGCTCCTGCGCCAGGTAAGTCCACTACGGGCTCACCATAGCCCGTGCTACATGCCCCACTCCTGTGCCAGGTAAGCTACGGGCTCACCATAGCCCATGCTACTTGGAACTTATTCCAAGTAGCTGAATCTATAACAACAACATCTCTTCATATAACAGGTTTCTAATTTGGAGAATTAACTTTGTCATCCTACGCTGGACACGTTCAAGTGAATTTATAAAATATCTATAGTACAAAAACTAAAACTGAACTGCATGATCTAAATGAGGCCTAACCAGAGCAAGATATAGCTGAAGAACAACACCAGGTGTCTTGTTACTAACGCTTCGATTAATAAATCCTAGTGTCCTATTTGCCTTATTACGAACATTCATACATTGATCCTTTGGTTTTAAATTCTTACTAATCATAACTCCCAGATCCCTTTCACAATCCGGCTTTGCAATCTTTACACCATCTAGCTCGTACTGTATCTTGTAACTATCATCATTACCTAGCTTCAAATTTATTTATCAAATTTCCCAGAACTGAATTTAATTGGCTCCCAGAAACGGGTCGTAACTCAAATTCGGAACTCGAAAGAGAAGCAAGCAGTGAGCTTGCTTGTCTTACTAAGAATTCTAGTAAGGTCCTAGTGGTATGGCTGCAAAATATGGGAAAGAGAGTACCCCAGAGAAGTCATCATTGCCTGATGTTATAATGGAAGGGGACTCCCCTGCCAAACAGTAACACCACCACCTCCTCCCTCTCCTCACCGTCTTCCATATATGCCAACAAGAGTCCTCAATAAGGGTAAGATATACATATTGTATTGTAGCTAGTACAAAAAGAGTGGTATTCAGTATAAAATGTATTTTGAAGTTAATATTTTTGAGGGTGTGGAATGGATTAATTCAATTTACATTTCTTATGGGAAAATTAGTTTAGAGTTAAGAATTTTTGAGTTATGACCCATCTCTGGGAACAGATTAAGTTCGTAAGTGGAGGTACCACTATACAGTACTGTGGGGCCTCGACCTACGATGGTAATCCGTTCCCAGAGACGGATCGTAAGTCGAAATATCATAAGTCAAAGCAATTTTTCCTATAAGAAATAAATGGAATTGAATTAATCCGTTCCCCACCCTCCAAAATATTAACTTACAAATTCATTTTATACTGAATACAATGTTTTTTCCTAACTACAATACAGTGCACATGTTTATCTTACCTTTATGGAGGACTCATGATGCGTATGGAAGATGATGAGGAGGGGGAAGGAGGAGAGGTGTTCCTGTTTGGAAGGGGAGTCCCCTTCCATTATAACATCAGGCAGTGAGGACTTCTCTAGGGTACTCTCTCCTACGTTTTGCCTGCATACCACTAGGACCTGGTTGTGATTCACTGCTTGTTTGTCTCACTAAAAACGTTTCGAGATATTTTTGTTTTTCCATGTGTTTTAATTTTTGTCTGTAGTGAGGCATCACAGTGTCATTAAAAAGGTTAAGGCAATGGCCTACTGCACTGTGATTTGGGCGAGTCGTTTCAGCAAAAGTTTGCAATTCTTCCCATGCTGCACACATTTTCTTAATTAATGAGAAAGGGACATTCTGTAATGTCTCCTCCTTCCCTGAAGAAATTTCCTCAGCTGTCTCTTGTTGCTGCTCCTTGTGAAGTTCTTCGGTGATCAGTTCTTCGCTGTGTTCCTCCACCAGCTCGCAACACACAACACTCAGAAACACTATGAATGCCACTTCTTTTTCTAAATTTCTCAAACCATCCTCTGCTCCCCTTAAACTCTTTCACATTTGCATCACTCGTTCCAGGGGTTTTCTTTAAAAGGTCTTCATGCAATTTCCTTGCTTTTTCACAAATGATGGCCTCTGAAACTCTATCACCCGTTAACTCCTTGCTGTGTATCCAAATTAATAATAACTGTTCAACATCCTCCAGTGTTTGTGTTTTATGTTTCGTGGTTATTGATACACCTTTTGCCACTTTAGCACTCATAATGTCCTTTTTCTTAGCCAGTATGGTGGATATCGTTGACTGAAGATTTGTTGTACTGCCTAGTTAGTTCAACAACCCGCACACCATCTTCATATTTATGAATGATCTCTTGTTTTGCTTTATGGTCATCCTTACATGGGTTTTCATATGTTGAACCTTACCACTGACTTTCTTGGGACCCATGGCATGATATATACTGTAATAATTGTTTTTATGTTCAAAAAACAAAAAATCGCCACAAAATGGAATTTCTCATAGGCATGATTGTCACTAAGCGGGCAGCTGTAGTAAACTGAGGCAGGTCGGCCTGCATGACTGGGAACCATGTGCTTGGTCGACCCAAACGTGTACCAACAAATATCGTTAGTCAACGACATCATTGTATGTCGAGTCGCATTTTTCGATGAAATTTACATCGTAAGTCGAGGTGCCACTGTACATGGAAAGGTCATAATTTAGATAATTCTAAAGTTTCTCCTCATTAAGTGCTGCATATTTACAATATGGCTCACATTCAAAAACTGAACCATTACCAAATTTGTCCTATTTACAAAACTACTCTAATAGAAGTATAGTACCCAACAGTTTATACAGTTTCATGATTTATGTAAAAAGTTTGTGCCATCTCATTCAATTTAAATTATATTGTATTGTGAAAGTTTGAGGCTTGAGAAGTTCTTGGTCGCCTTTGGAAGATTAATAAACCAAGATCCTCTTAGGGAAAACATTTAACATCCTTGATGATATCACAGGGAATAACAAATTTACACTGTAAAGATTATTTAATGGTTTTCAATTACAAATTTACCGCCTGTACAACAGTGCCTTTCACCCTGCTGATGTTGAAAAATGCATCGGGTAAACTGTATGTAATTTCTGATTATAGGAACACTGGTGTTAGTTAGATACGCACATTCTGTATTAACAAACATAATTTACAATTCCATTAATAATACTTTATACAAAAATTTACCTTTTGATCACTGCTTTAACATTTCCCAAAAACATTTATTATTTAAGAGTATCAAAGCTAAATACCTTTGTGACATTTATGTTTGTCAAGCTTCTCGTCCATGACACGTCACCAAGAAGCATAAACAGTTTAATGCAAGTTTCAGTCCTAAAAAACTGAAGACCGTCTTTGATTTGGGATTCGGTTTGATTGGGAGGTAGATTGAGTCAGTGGACCCTGTTACTGTTATCAGGTGTTGCTGCGTGGTCACGTTTTGTGGCTGGATGGGACAACCAGCTAGTTGCCTGTGTTCTCGTTCTGTTGTCTTAATAAACTACTGACTCCATGATGTAATAGTCACTTTCAGTATCACTTTCTTTATTGTATTCATCTGTTATTTTTTTATTTAACTTTTTAAAGTTTTGTTAGCTTTTATTTCATTTTATCAGAAAAGTGAATTTTAGTAGCAGTTAATTTAAACTAATAATTAAGAAATTTTATTTGGAAAGTTTGCAATTTTTATTACTAAATATAATTGAGTTGTGCATACTGTACCAGGCTGTATTTGAAGAAAAAATGCTCTACATAATCTTTCCAAGTCTTACCATAATGTTCATATACCCCCCATGACATTTATCAAATATACCAGTAATATAATATCTGGAATGCCTCCGTGAAATTTCTAAAGATAAATTTTACTCATAATCTTTCCTAAATAATACTGTATGACTTGGAATAGGTTAGGTAATCCAGTTAGTTCTGCCTGATAAGTATCTAGTTTAATATAAGCTGTTCATTTTTTCCTGTATGACTTATGGTTTGCCATTTTCTTTCATGAATAGTGAATATGTATGATTTTAATTTCTAGACAAAATACATGAAAGAAAAGCTTGGTGTACTTGAAAAATATTATACAAATATTTTCCTTGCAGTGTGTAGACCATCAAGATGGAGGATAGTCTGAAGCTGTGGGTTAGCCATAGGCTTCATGATGTTATGGGGATGAGTGACTCGACTGTAGCTGAATATCTCATACGGATAACGCAGCGACTCCCCAGTAAAAACCACGTGTTGGAAGAGCTCAGGGAAGAAATTCCAGTGGATAGTGCAATAGAGAAATTTGTTGGTGAGCTTTGGGACAAAGTTAAAGGTAAGTACAAATCAACAATATGAGGTGGTTAATTAAAATGAATATACAATATTTATTTTAATAGAAGCAAATTGATTAACACAATAAACAAAAGTGCTGTAACTTATTGAAATGACAAACTAGGAACACACTATAATTTGTGCAGCATTATCCTCATTATTTTAAAGTTCAAGTTCATATAATGTTTCTCATGCTATGCATTAACTTTTGCTGCTAAATATTCATAACTTATTCATTGTTATCAACATATTGAAATTTTAGCTTTCATTATTGAGGATTAGGGTAAAGGCGGGGGGATGGGGTTGGAGGGATTTCTCTTAAAAAGAAAAAAGAAAAGTATTGTGTAAGGCTCAAGTTATTAAATGACATTCATCCTTTCACACCAATCCTGCCACTTGGCAGCATCCCAAGACTCCAGTATTGTACTGTATTACAAAGCTCTTACAGTACTGGCACAATACAGTATTGACAACTGTATCTTAGCCATTGTAGACTAAGTTGATGCAAAACAAAACTTTAACCCATTCATTCCCTACAAACAAATGTAAACTCAACTATATTTATTCCCTATTACAATAAGAAAATAAGTGTCAAGTGTAATTAAGTGCCTCTTTTTCTGGTTGGTGCCTTGCTAGCTTCTCAGTTTTGCAGTTAGGATCATTCTAGGATACTGATCCTGGAATAAGGATCAATGCCCACATAAGGCAATGTGTGCCTTTAGTACCCACTTACCTTGCAGAGGTTACCTTGCATTGGTTCCAGTAATTAACGTCCCCGTGACCCGGTCTCTGACCAAGCCTCCTGGTTGTTGGTATGGTCAGCCAGGCTGCTGCATGTGGTTGCTCTCAGCCTGACATATGAATCACAGCCTGGTTGATCAGTTATTAATTGGAGATGTTTATAAAGCTCTTTTGAACAGGATTACTGGATTGGCCAGTAGTAACCAAGAGTATTGCTTGGGATTGGTCTCCATTTATTCCCAAAAGTCTGTCGACCTTGGCCACCTACCCTTCTTCAAACTCCTCAAGTTTATTCAGGAAATGTTGGACAAATGTGTGATTTGCATGACACATTGTCTTTGAGTGCAAGCCTGCCTGTTTCCTGTGGCAAAGAAGGGGTCTTCCAAAAAGAATGAGTCTCAGTCTTTTGGGGGTTAACATTTTATTTTTTCAGCTTTCCAGCTTTCCACATAAGCACATTAGCTCTGGGTCATTGTTTTGTTCTTCAACCCCCCCCCCCCCCCACCCTCCCATTCAGCCTTGGTTTTTTTACCTTCTCTCCAGTTGCTCTTGATGTGTAACCTTACTGAGGGTTTGCCTTTTACAGATAATTAGTGGCCATTCCTATCAGGGTGGTTCATGAGTCTGTTGATTTTTGTGCACAGAATTTCTATGGTTTGGGTTTGAGATTGCTTCAGTGCTTTGCATCAAGCTAGCCAAGGCATTGTTCTGTTTGCTTTGATTCATGCCAGAAATGCAGTTTTGTTTAAATCTAAGTACAGTACTGTACATAGTACTGTTCAACAATATGTACAAAGAAGTCAGAATACCTTGAGCATGGTTTTCTTCCTGTAGTTACAATTAGGCAATTACTGTACATAGATTACAAATACTGTATAGTTATGAAGCTGCAATAACTTATATTATATAGACATACTAGACCTTACACAAAAAAAATCCCTAAGAAAAAGTTTGCTAAATGGACTTTTACAGTTGCTATTTACTATTATATTTATATACTGTAATTACTATTTTTCTTGCCCTAACAATTGTTTCTCAACAAAAATTATTTTATAGGTGCTGCTGCTAAGCCTGGTGCTGCTACATCTAGCAGACAGGATGCATCTGCTGCAAAGAAACGAAAGGTGGAGGAAAGCTCTGACTCTGAAGGTGAAGGACCTAAGCTACTGAAGGGTTCTGGAGAACAAAATTCTGATGATGATGAAGAGAAACAGAGACTAAAGGACCTGCGTGACCGTGATGAATATGCTGAAAGATTACGACTGCGAGATGAAGAGCAGACAAAAAATTTGGCTGATAAAGGGGATAAAAAGGCATTTGAAGAGGCTGCAAAAAGATTGCAGTTAGAAAAGGAAGATCGTGAAAAAATCCTTCCTAAACTACGAGTGGAATCTCGCCGAAAGTACCTTGTAAAGCGCAAGGATGACAAATTAAAAGAATTGGAAGCAGACATTGTAGATGATGAGTATCTCTTTGAAGAGGAAGCTCTTACCGCGAGGGAGAAAAAAGAACGGGATTATAAAAAGACTGTTCTTCAGTTGGCCAAAGATTATGACAAAGTAAGAGAAGCAGAAAATGTTCAGAGGTATGTAATGCCTGAGGAAGGTGGAAGTGTTGATGATAGATATGTAGAAGTTGATGAGAGAGAAAAGAAACGTGGTTATGACCAGAAGAAATGGGAGGAAGATCAGATGAGAGGAACATCCCTTTCATTTGGAGCAAGAGACAAGGCTCAGAAATATCAAGAGCAAGAGAAGGAATACAATCTTGTTTTGGAAGATGAAATTGAATTCATCAAATCACTTCCATTAGCAGGTACGCTTAAAAAGAAGAAAAAGAAGAAGAAGAAGAAAGAATCAGATTCTGAGCATAGTTCTTCATCAGAGGAGGAGGAGGAGGAGGAGGAAGATGAGCAAGAACCTAAGTTTTCTGAGGCACAGAAGAAGAAGCTTTCAATAGATGAAGTAAGAAAGAGTTTACCTGTGTTTCCATTCAGGGAAGCTTTGCTAGATGCCATCAAAGAACATCAGATACTAATCATTGAAGGGGAGACTGGGTCTGGTAAAACCACACAAATACCACAATATTTGTTCGAGTCTGGATTTTGTAGCGACGGCAAGAAAATTGGCTGCACTCAGCCGAGAAGAGTTGCTGCAATGAGTGTAGCGGCCCGTGTTTCTGAAGAAATGGGCAAAAAGCTTGGAAATGAAGTCGGATACAGCATTCGATTTGAAGATTGCACCAGTGATCGTACAAAAATAAAGTACATGACAGATGGTATGTTATTGAGAGAATTTCTCATGGAGCCTAGTTTAGATGGTTACAGTGTTATGATTATTGATGAGGCCCATGAAAGGACCTTGCATACAGATATACTTTTTGGCTTACTGAAGGACATCACAAGATTTCGCAGTGACTTAAAGTTGCTCATATCAAGTGCCACTTTAGACTCGGCAAAGTTTTCAGATTTTTTTGACGAAGCTCCTATTTTTCGAATACCAGGCAGACGATACCCAGTCCATATTTATTATACAAGAAGCCCAGAAGCTAACTATATTGATGCTGCTGCTGTGACAATTTTGCAGATCCATATAACTCAACATCTTGGAGATATTTTGTTGTTTCTCACAGGTCAGGAAGAGATTGAGGCCTGTCAAGAAATTTTAACAGAAAGAATCAGAGCTCTTGGAAGTAAAATTCGTGAACTAATAATATTGCCAATATATGCCAATTTGCCTTCTGAAATGCAAGCCAAGATATTTGAACCAACACCACCTAAAGCAAGAAAGGTTATTCTTGCAACAAACATTGCTGAAACATCCCTCACTATTGATGGTATAAAGTATGTTATAGACCCTGGCTATGCAAAGCAGAACTATTTTAATGCAAGGAGTGGCATGGAGTCACTAATAGTAGTTCCAATATCTAGAGCATCAGCTAATCAGAGAGCAGGCCGAGCAGGAAGAGTTGGCCCAGGTAAATGTTTTAGGCTTTATACTCAGTGGGCATTTGAGAATGAAATGGATGAAAATACCATTCCAGAAATTCAGCGGGTTAACCTGGGAAATGTTGTTCTTCAGCTTAAATCCCTTGGTATCCATGACCTCATCAACTTTGATTACTTGGACCCACCACCAGCTGAATCCCTTATCCTTGCTCTTGAACAGTTATATGCCTTGAAAGCTTTGAACCACAAAGGTGAGCTGACCTCTACTGGTAGAAAAATGGCGGAACTTCCAGTGGATCCTATGATGTCACGGATGATATTAGCTGGTGATCAGTATAAAGTTGTGGAGGAAATTCTCACAATTGCTGCAATGTTATCTGTAAATGGCTCTATATTTTATAGGCCTAAAGATAAAGCAATTCATGCTGATACTGCACGAAAGAATTTCTTTCATCCAGATGGTGATCACTTAACTCTAATGAATGTTTACAATGAGTGGGCAGGAACAGATTATTCTTCACAGTGGTGTTATGAGGTCTTTATTCAGTATCGGTCCATGAAAAGAGCGAGGGATATTAGAGACCAGCTTGTTGGACTCATGGAACGGGTAGAAGTACAGTTAACTTCCAATCCTGGTGACTCTGTTAATATCAGAAAGGCTATTACTTCGGGATATTTCTACCATGTGGCAAGATTTAGTAAAGGAGGTATGTATAAAACTGCAAAAAAAAATCAAACTGTGATGATGCACCCACAGTCGTGTTTGGTAGAGGATCTGCCGAGATGGGTTGTATATCATGAGTTAGTTATGACAACGAAGGAATATATGCGAAATGTGGTGGTTATTGATGGCAAGTGGCTTTTAGAAGTTGCTCCTCATTACTACCGTGATAATGAAGTACACGACACAACTAGTAAGAAGATGCCGAAGGTTAAAGGGAAAGCAAGAGAGGAGTTGCAGAAAGAATATAATTAGTACAGTACAAACTCCAGTTGAAGTATAACATAACATTTTCTCGCACACACATTGTATACTGAATACTGTGTGTATGTGTGTCTATACTGTATATCATAGCTACACGTCACACTTTTATAAACAGAATGAGTATACTTGTCACTGTTGGAAAATTACTTATTTAAGTATAAGCTTTGCAATATACTAATAATTGAGCAGAGTACTGAACCGGGAAAAACTGTAATTCGACAATTAATGTGATTTGTTTATAAAACATTAAATTCTATTTTTGTATAAATATATGGACAAATTAAATTGTTTATTTATGTACTCCTTCACTCATAAAATTTGATATGCATCAAAACCAGCGAGCATCAGAAATATTACAGGAACAACCATGGACATCTTCAAGAGGAAACTAGATTGTTTCCTTCAAGGAGTGCCGGACCAACCAGGCTGTGGTGGGTATGTGGGCCTGCGTGCCGCTCTAAGCAACAGCCTGGTGGACCAAACTCTCACAAGTCACGTCTGGCCTCGGGCCGGGCTTGGGGAGTAGAAGAACCCCATCAACCAGGTATGCAGTATTTTATGTAAAGCTAAATTAAAGACAAAATAATAGTACTGTAGTGTATCCTATCTTCATGTAGTACTGAATTGACAAGTTACGGGCAATTTTGACCAAAAGCTAACTGGGACTCGAAGGGTTATTGAGCACTATGTGCAAGGTACTTGAAAGTAAAAGCAATGATACTGTTTTTAGTAAATTAATTACAGTAGTAACTTTTAAAAACCTATAACCTTGTTTGTTTTATTGTTTAATATCATTAAAAATTTGTGTAAAGGTTCCAATCACTCCTTTGATTCATGCATTACTAGCAGCATACCAAGATATATTTTGTAGAAAAGGGTATAGAGTAGGGAGGTGTTTGCCCATCGCAGGTATCCCTGAGAGCTCACGGTGAGCAGGCACCAATATGACAACAGCAAACACGACATGATTTGAGGCACATTAAAGAACACGTGACAATTAGAACATCCTTTTTGAATTCATGTACAGTACAATTAACTCATTCTATGTGATGGTATACAGTATTAAGTATTGGTGATATCTGGTGGTTCTTCATAATAGTTTTATTTATTTATTTATTTAAATATACAAGAGTTATTACATTCTTGTACAGTCACTAACACGCATTGCATTTCGGGCAAGTCCTTAATCCTAGTATTTCCCGGAATATGACCCGCCAAATTGTTTAACAACCAGGTTATCTCCAGTAGATTTAAAATGGTAGTTTTGCTAAATTCCCAGCCATATTGGCGTCTTCTTAAATGAGCGTGCGAACGCTGCCGCTAACCGCACTTGTCCCATCTCCTGTAAAGGTATTCCTTATTATGACTTTTACCTAGTTATTCATTCCTCTATCCTTGCCTGTTGGCAGGGTTGTTGGTCTTCTATTACTGGTAACAAACTGTGTACTCTTAAGAGTCATGTGTCCCTGTAGCCTTCCTCCTACCACCATAACCGGCGGTGGGAAACAGCTCCAAGGAGGTTACGTCTTGGCCATAAACTTTTAACTCGTGGGCACTTAATGGGGTGCCGCCCTGCTCCCCTATTGTCCAAACTGCACTGTCCCTCTTACAGTTGTGAATGTCCTGACTTCCAGGACAAATGTGCCTTTTGCTTCTCGACCGTCCCTCAGTCACTTGTCCCTTGATAGAATTCTTGGTGAATCGGACACACTTGATCTCGTTCACCTTATGCGTTTCTGTTCTCATATTGGCATCTAGTGATATTTAGTGCCCTATGATTAATCTGCACATTTGATGGTGCTACATAGCCTTTCCGGCTTGGTGCCTTCTTTTGATAATTACTTACTTAACAACCAGGTACACATTTTACAGTTGGGTAAACAGAGGCTACAGTTAAGGATTGGCGACCAGTAAATCCTCCCCGATGGATATGAACCCAGGCTAAAGTGCCGCGAAACGCCAGGCGAGTGTCTTACCATTACGCTACAGGGACTGCTAAAGGTTTGGGTACCATGCTGGTTTGCTCAGTACAGTATATTGTACTGTATGTTTATTGTTTTGACTTTAATATTGGTCAATACCGTACTGTACTTTAATTATTTTTTATCTGGATAAATTTAACAAAGCAAATTTGCACATAATATATGTATAATGGTTGGGAAAGGAATTTATATAGCAGACATTAGAAAAGGTCATGGGGGGCTGACTATTGAATCAATTTAGCTCTGCTCATATTCAGTTCAACAGTTCGTTCATGTGAAGTCAAACTCTACAGTACATGAATATTACATTCAATGAAAAATACACTCTTCCTTGTATGAACTTTAATAATGCCAAAGTTTTTCGGACTCAATTATGTTCAAAATTTGGGAACTCTAGTCAAGAATAGCAATAAGTATAGGACACTTTAGTGTAAAAGATGTCCATATTAGAGATGACATGCTCAATTGGACTTGCTGCAAAGGACTTTATAAGAAACATTTTATTACACTTTTAATTGTCACTGTGAAGATAAAACTTATCAAAGGTAAATATAACTAATACTGAAAGCAGTGGATATAGATAAACTGTACAATGTTATGAAAATATAATACGTTTTCAGTGAGCTCGTGTAAAGTGCATTTTGGCATGGTTTTCATTGTGACCCAATTTTTTATTTCACTTAAATTACATCATTAGCATCACCTGTCAAATATGACAATGTTCTATGTGATGTTCATTAGATCCCAAAATGTCTACACCCAACTACATCTAATACATCTCAGAACTAGACTGAAAGCATTAGAAATAATACAAAATGAAGTCATGAGGATAATTCGTGGTCCCCAAAATGCTGAAGATTCATCAACATGAGGGAACAGCTAAAAATCCCCCATCATATATGAAAGAATTATGCAGCTGAACACAACCTTCTGTAGCAAGATCATGTGAGATTCAACCAGGGGCTAGATTCACAAAGAAGTTACGCAACCACTTACGAACCTGTACATCTTTTCTCAATCTTTGGCGGCTTTGTTTACAATTATTAATCAGTTAATGAACTCTGAAGCACCAGGAGGCTGTTTATAACAGTAACAACAGTTGATTGGCAAGTTTTCATGCTTGTAAACTGTTTAATAAATGTAACCAAAGCCATCAAAGATTGAGGAAAAATGTACACATTCGTAAGTACTGTACCTGCGTAACTGCTTTGTGAATCTGACCCCAGCACTGCTTAGGAGAGAGAAACTGTCTGGTGGGGTTGACAGACCAGTAAGTGCTGCTAATTCAAATCAAATTACAGTATATATTTCTATTGTGTGCAATGTATCACTTACCTGTATTGTTGGGTACAGATAGTGTGGAATTAAAGTGTTGTGCACATCCATCAGAGTAATGACAATCCAGAGCTACTCAAAACATCACTATTGATTTTTTTTTAAATATGGCTACATGAGCACTATGCTTACACTGATGGCTCTGTTTTACTGTCAACAGGTTGCACAGTACCAGCCCATAAGTTCTTCAGAAACAACATGTGTACACAGTCTTGTTAGTGTAAGACTAAACAACTCACTTAACTTCACTACAACTAGCCACTAATACGCTGGAAAAAAAGCTGAGGCTATGCAAATTTCCTTGAATTTTATGGCATAGTTTGTTAGTTATTATTCAAATTGTATTCTTATCATTCTAATTTTATGCTCTGTTTTCTCAATACAATGTATGTTGACACTGACTTCATGTCTCTCCAGGACCGCCGTGATCGCTATTGTCTTGCTATCTGGCGCGGTCCTTGCAACATCCTTCCTCTCGCCTCTGTCGTGCTTTGAATCTTACCCCTCCTGTGGCTCCTGTTCCTCTTCACCCCTCCCTCTTTCTGTCTGACTGTCTCGCTTACAGGACTCTCTTTCCATTCGTATTTCTAACGTGTCTCCTCATATTGTTCCTTCCTTGCCCCCATGGAGAGTCCCCTTTCCAAAATTTTGTACTTCCCTGACCCGGATCAATAAAGCTTTCACCCCTCCTACAGTTCTGAAACGCCTTTTCCTTGAGCACTTTTCTTCACACTTCCGCTCTGTTCCCATTTTCATCGATGGGTCAGTCTGTGGACGGTGTAGGCTACACTGTTGTTTTTCCTGACCGCACTTATATGTGTCGCCTCCCTTCAGAGACTAGCATCTTCACAGCGGAACTTTATGCTATTCTCTATGCTCTCGGTCTCCTGCTTTCTCACTGTCAATCCTCCTTTGTGATTGTAGTTGACTCTCGTAGTGCCCTCATGGCTCTCGGGTCCTTTAATCCTGTCCATCCGGTGGTCGTTTTGATTCAACATTGGCTGTTTCTTATCTCTAGTAAATTTAAATCCGTAGTTTTCCTGGGTTCCCAGCCATATTGGTGTTTCTTTAAATGAGCGTGCGGATGCTGCCACTTGGGAAGCTATCCGCTCTTGTCCCATCTCCCGTAAAGGTATTCCTTATTGCGACTTTTACCCAGTTAATCATTCCTCCATTCTTGCCTGTTGGCAGGGGTGTTGGTCTTCTGTTACTGGTAACAAACTGCGTACTCTTAAACGTTGTGTCCCTGTGGCCTTCCTTCTGCCACCGTAACCGGCGGTAGAAAACGGCTCTAGCAAGGTTGTGTCTTGGCCATACTCGCTTAACTCACGGTCACTTAATGGAGCTCCACCCAGCTCCTTATTGTCCAAATTGCATTGTCCCTTTTACAGTCGTGCATATTCTTGTTGAATGTCCTGACTTCCAGGACAAGTGTGTGTGTCTTGCTTTCTGACCGTCCATTGCAATCACTTGTCCCCTCAATAGACTTCTTGGTGAATCTGATACTTTTGATATTGTTCGCCTTGTGCGTTTCTGTTCTCGTATTGGCATCCTTGGTGATATTTAGCACCCTCTGATTATTCTGGACATTTGATGATACTACATAGCCTTCCTGGTTTGGTGCCTTCTTTTGATAATTACTGTACTTACTTTGTCAATACAAAAATCATTTCTAATTGTAAGCTACAGTAGGTGCATATGATTTTTACCGCTGTACTCCTGCTCATTTGTATATTTGTGATATATTTGTGTATACAAATCATGAAAAAGATTAAAATATAAATTGTTTATGAATAAAACTAAATATAACATTAATCAGAAATAATATAATTGATGCAGAGCAAGTTTCAGAATCTCCCTCATATGGTTATCGTCTCAAGTAATATCCAACATGACGGACGAGGCGACTCAAGATGACTGTAACAAAGTTAAGCTAAACATAAGTACAGGTACAGGTATTCCACTCTACAGTACTGTAAAAAAAAAAAAAACACACACACTTCAAGAGCCTTAAGAACAATATGTAATTATAGAAAACATTCACCAATGTGATAATGTAACTGCCAAAAATTGGGCCCAAATATCGTTATTTATGGCAGGTAATGGAAGGTGATTAATCGTCCCAATACTTTGTACAACTGTAAACTCTTTGAAGAAGAGCTAAGACACAAACATTATATTAATGAATGCCCAGTTACAGTATCAATAATTTTAGATCACATGGCATGAGTTACTGGGAGCTTTTTATATATTGTTTTCACTCACAGATATTAAAAAAGATATTCTCATACTTTACCTAGTCTGCTAATGTAGACTACTCATCCTGTAAGATCATGAGTATCAAATGAATGTATAGTTTGCTCTTGACCTATGCTTGGTAAACCCTTGTAAGACTGCTGTGTACCCAAGCTTAAAAAATATTACTGTGTATATATATACAGTAATTGAATTATGTATACAGTATATATAATATATATAACATTATATCAAGTTATAGAAGTGTCTGCTGTACAAGGTACAAGACTTTCATTGATAATGGCCTTTGACCCACTATAATCAATGTATATGTACAGTACTTAAAACCTTAACCAAAGCCTTACCCACTGCCGAATTCTGGATGCTCGAGTGCTAACATGAACAACTGCCGCCAACAGACTTGCAGATACAATAACACACACAGTTCAAGAAAAAGATCTTGTAAGAGCTCGGTAATTTGGATTCTGGTAACCCAAATCTTTAAGTAATTTGAATGAATCACGTTCAAATTTTTTACCTTTTAACCTGAATAAGAATTCTAATTTCTAATTACAGTATGTACTGTGTACCAAAATTTCTACTGAACATAAACCCAAATAAATTTAAGTTCAAGTGACTGACTTCTCCACTCGAAAAAAAATTACCTGTAAAAAATCTGACTAACTCAAATGTCTGGCTAACCCAAATGGGGGTGGCCCCATATAATGTGGCTTACAGTGTAAACCATATAATAAATGAAGTTAAAATGCAATAAAATAAACGACTGTATAAGATTTAGATATGATCAAGATATATATTTTTTTTGTTACTCAAATACCAAGAAGTATTTTCAAGTCAACTTGGAAAATCATCTATACGAGATACAGCACTTGTGCACCAGAAAACACTTCACTATAATAGTACATTTACAGTATTTATATTTGTCTCTCTTGTGACAAGAATACACACACACACTCCTGTAATTTTTTACAAGTTTGCTTGATAACATGAAGCAAAGAAGTTTTTAACAGGCATCAACAATCCATTTTACCAAATTGTAGTGACAGCCATTTATACTGTACAGTAAGTGCCATATCTGTCTAGCTCTAAGAAAGAATAGGGATAAGTTGAAATTTCACTTCTATAAACAAATTACTCTTTGTTTTTGTTTTATACATTGATTCTAAAGTTTTGAACAGATAGTAGACACATTAGCTTTGGGAGCAATTGTGGGGTAAGCACATCCTGCTATCTAAAGGAAGTTGCAAAATTTTGTTTCTACCCATTTTTTGACAACTTTTACTTTCCATAAGCCATTCTTAATGCAAGCAGAGACTTCTTCATGCACAATATACTGTACAATTGTAGCTAAACCAAGAAGGAAATTCTTAAAAAATATACTGGGTTCATTTAAATTAATGCATGAAGTCTTTTGTCATTTTAAATTAACAACCAACAACCCCTTACCCTCTTCCAAGGAAGAGGAGTGTCCACTTGGAATTATAAATGAAAGGATGTGTGAAGATTGATTATTACTTGTTTATAGTACCTAAAGTCATACAAGAAATTAAAAGAAAAATATATTCATGATACTGTATTCTCTTTAACTAATGTGAAATGTTACAGCAATGAAGTATTTGCTAAACTGCACTTAAGTACAGTGACAAGTTCAGAAAAAGTCAAACCTTGGACCCCTTGGGTTTCTAGGTCGCGTGGGCATGAAAGGAGGCTGAAAAGGATTACCAGGTCTAGGACCTATTGGCCCTAAAGGAAAAAAGGGGCCAGGTATTTCTGGAGTAATGCCAGGTATCTGTGGAATCTCACCAGTAAAATATGGACTGTCTGGGTCATAAAATGGGTTAGGCTGTGGATGAGGCTGAGGTGGATAAGGATTTGGCCCTCTAGGCTGTGGATACCCTGGCATAAAGGGTGAAGTCGGGTATACTCCTGGGATGACATATTCTAGCCCTTCATCTTGCAACCGCTTCCACTCTTTGCGCCGATTCACTGCCTTTTTATATTCGGCTTTCCAGTCTACCAAACTTCGATGAGTAGAGCCTTCATAAAGGTTACTGAAGTCTCTCTTAAAGAGATTTTCCCACAATTTGTTATCATCCATGACTAAATGTAAACGGTGACACGTCTCTCGTAACTTGAGGATAGAGCAATAATCCAACATGCTAGCAATCATTAACAATAACTCATGTGGTAGTCCAGCTAAATGCCATGGGGCAGGTACACCTAAGGCTCGGTGAGCAGCAACTTGCAGTGGATGGAGCAAGCAGTCTCGCATAGTGCGTGTTAACTGTGCAACACGAACTAGACTACTAGCTGTAACTAGTGAACATGAGGAATCTTTGGCATAGTCCCCAACTACTAGACGGACACTGATTTCACTCTCTTGTTGGGGAAAACTAGCCAAGACTTGCTTTACATCTCCCATTGTAACAAGAACTAGTGTGCACTTGAAATCTGTTAATGAATCATTGCTATAGTGGAAAGTAGCTACCATTTCATTCCACCCAGCTGGTGGTCCTGAATTGTTCTCCATATGAAACCCAGATTCCAGCATAATGAGATGGACCAAAAGATTGACTGCTTGACTCATTGATGTAGGACTGCACTCATCAAATAGTTTCTTTAATGTTGATGGTGGCTGTCCATCTTTTGATTCTGACAGAAGTTCTCTTTCATTATCCAGTTCAGGAACAATGTGACTTTCTGCTGTACCTAAACCTGCCGATTCTTTTTCTTTGGTATCCATATTTTCACTACCCTTGCTTTTTCTCTCTGAAGTAGCTGCTAAGCCTTGAAAGTCCTTTTTGAATGAAGAATGTGCCTGTGAAGAGGCTTTAACTTCTGCAGTAGCTGAAGGAGGCAGCACAGTAAGCATATCACTAGGAACAACACCTAAACTCCGCAAGCTAGCATCGTCTGGACCAACAAGGGGATCTGATCCATTGAGACTGACTGCTAAGGGTTCTCTGAAAATAAGAGAAAGATAAACATTTTAAGTCATTTTTTTTTAACTTTTGGAGTAAAATGCCAAACCTAATTACAAGACAATGAATTAAATAAAACCATTGTTTGTGTTTTGATCCCATCTGGTTAATCAACAGTATAGGGAGTGTTGGTATAAATAGTACACTGCTATAAAAAGAGCTGAGATTGTGGTTAGAGCAATAAATAGTGGTTAGTGATGATGAGTTGATGTGAGGTGTGGTGCTGGGGAGGTGAGATGATGTGAGGTTGGGGGAAGGGGAAGAGGGTAAGGAGAATGATATGTGTGGTTTCCCCTAATGCTAGACTTCATATTCTATTTACAACTATTTTGTATTGATCTGGCCAAACAGCAACAATTAATATGGTAAATTATACAGCAGTAAATACAAATCCATAAAATGCCCAAAGCCATTCTGAATCAGCAGAAGCTGACATCAATTTCTGTCAATGCAATTATGAAGAAATGTAAGCACATTTTATCTTCAAAACTACTGCCAATCTTTATGATAATTAATATTTATGTATGTGGTCTGGTTCAAATATACTCATGCACAAATTTTAATTACACATCTTTAATTGTTCTTGAAACATACAAAATATATAATTGTCTCTATTGTATGGGTTCCTAGGGTAATGTTCGCATCTGAGACTATTAGGAAGATTTTTCTACCATCTGGACATGTGTACAAAAATTTTGGTATAGCTACAATAGTTTTTTTTTTTTTCCGATTTTCCAATGTTCCAGCTTATATCCCATTTTATCAATCACTGTATTATAAAATATGCTGTTAATGTAGTACATGCCCAATAATAAATTGGACCTTTCTTGCATTACCACAAAGAGTCAAAGCTCAACCCCCGCAAGCACAACTAGATGAGTACTTGTTTCGGTAAAATCATTTGTTGCTGTACGGCACCCAGACTACCAGACATTGGCACTGAAAAAATCCTATAGTGTAACGCCTGCACCAGCAGCGTGTTCTTCTAAGGTTTCCCAACGTCAAGAAAATGTCATACTGAAGTGCCCTGTCCTAACCTACCAGAGGACCCAAAACAGAAAATGGGACAGCATATCATTTTGCAAGCTGCTACCATTTTCTAATGCTACTGTAACTATATCACTGACAATTCTAATTTATTAATTAATAAATTTAAAATCGACTGTACTTCATTTAACTTCCAAATTTGTAAATTCTTAATGTGTATCAAATTCACTATTTCTATCTACTTTGCTAAATAATAATTGTATACTTACAATAACTCAAATTACTGCAAATTCTCAATGATTACCTGGATCATTTATAGTTTTAAAAATTTTATTTGTTTATTTGTAGTTATAATAGCTTACAAATCACTACAAAATTTAAATGTACTGTATATATATATACAGTGGCAACTCGACTTACGATAATTTCGAGTAACGATGTAAATTTCATAAAAAAATGCGACTCGACATCCGATGGTGTCATCGACTTACGATATTTGTTGGTACACGTTCGGGTTGACCGAGCGCTTGGTTCCCGGTCACGCGGCCGACCTGCCTCAGTTTACTACAGCTGTCCGCTTAGTGACAATCACGCCTATAAGAAATTTCGCTTTTGTGGTGATTTTTTGCATTTTGAACATTAAAGTAATTATTATATATCACTCCATGAGTTCCAGGAAAGTCAGTGGTAAGGCTCAACATATGAGATCCCATGTAAGGATGACCATAGAGCAGAAACAAGAGATCATTCGTAAATATGAAGATGGTGTGCGGGTTGTTGGACTGGCTAGGCAGTACAACATATCTGTCAACGATATCCACCATACTGGCTAAGAAAAAGGACATTATGGGTGCTAAAGTGATGCATTATTACAGACAAATGTTAAAACGAAGGGAAAAACAAATGTCTCTTGACAAATTTGTAGTGAGGCAAACAAGCACTGAACCACAACCAGGTCCTAGTGGTATTCTGGCAAAACGTAGGAGAGAGTACCCCAGAGAAAACATCACTGCCTGATGTGATAATGGAAGGGAACTCCCCTTCCAAACAGGAACAACTCTCTTCCTCCCCCCCTCATCACTATCTTCCATGTGCCATCAAGAGCCCTCCATAAAGGTAAGATAAACTTAGGTACTGTACTGTAGTTAGAAAAAAACATTGTATTCAGTATAAAATGTATTTGTATGTTAAATTAATATTTTGGAGGATGGGGAATGGATTAATTCAAATCCCTTAATTTCTTATGGGAAAAATCGCTTTGACTTACGATCCGTCTCTGGGAACGGATTAGCATCGTAAGTCGAGGCCCCATTGTATATATATAATTTATCACTTACAGCTAAACTTTCAAATTTTTTGTTAATTTATATGTTACCTTTCTCTTTGTATATCTAAACTCACACATTAATATTTAGAGTTGTCTGAAATGCTGCACATAATTAGTGTCATTATTAAAATTAAATATAGAAATACTGAACAAAGTAATCATTGATATCATATTGTCTAACATTATTTTATAAACAATTATTTTTATGGACACTGTTATTAATGAAAATGTTCTCCAGTGCCAAATCACTCTTGCAATCAGTGTTGACATTATATAAGTAAATAAATATTATAACTAGCTCACCTCAAATGAAAATGGCTCATTTTAGATATTGTTGTAGTTAAGCTCTTTAACCAATCATGCTATAAAATAATACTGTATATATATACATTAAACTGCAAAACTAGATTATAAAAACTAACTTCCTTAGCTATATGAATTTGGGATTCTGTTCTCGAATCTATTATGTGTCTCTGTAACCTTTTCCACTACTGCCTATAGGATGAGTATGGGGTGCTCTACTGCCTACAGGATGGGTATGGGTGCTCTACTACCTTCAGGATGGGTATGGGGTGCACTACTGCCTACAGGATGGGTATGGGGTGCACTACTGCCTACAGGATAATTATGAGGCGCTCTAATGCCTACAGGATGGGTATGGGGTGCACTACTGCCTACAGGATGGGTATGGGGTGTACTACTGCCTACAGGACGGGTATGGGGTGTTCTACTGCCTACAGGATGGGTATGAGGTGCACTACTGCCTACAAGATGGGTATAGGGTGCTCTACTGCCTACAAGATGGGTATAGGGTGCTCTACTGCCTACAGGATGGGTATGGGATGCTCTACTGCCTACAGAATGGGTATGGGGTGCTCTACTGCCTACAGAATGGGTATGGGGTGCTCTACTGCCTACAGAATGGGTATGGGGTGCTCTACTGCCTACAGAATGGGTATGGGGTGCTCTACTGCCTACAGAATGGGTATGGGGTGCTCTACTGCCTACAGGATAAGTATGGGGTGCTCTACTGCCTACAGGATAAGTATGGGGTGCTCTACTGCCTACAGGATGGGTATGAAGTGTATAATAAATGAACTAGATGTTCAGGAGACAAAAACATGAATAATCTATTGAAATTGAATGACACAAATGTGCGGTAAATCAGACATGACAGGGCTCATCTCACTGAAACTTTTAAATACTGACAAATTTGGTAATCCAGATGACTCCTTTAATTAAAAGGCGACATGTAAGACAAACAAGGAGCAATGGATTCAAGCTCAACAAGCCACAGTGTAGGACTGAGAAAAGGAGACGCTTTTTTCACCCACAGTGTTAGAAACCCATGGAACCTCTTACCCGCCAAAGCCATAAATGTCACAAAACACTTTCACAATTCAAAATACAGCGGGATATTATAAAATCCTCAGAATGAAGTATAACATCATTAGGACAAACGTGGGGACCTTTGACACGCCACCAGCTTCCTGTCCTTGTCGAGTTCACTAGTGAGATGGCGGCCCTCAGGTAAATTCAGGTAAACTATTGAGACTGACTGACTTTGTACAGTAAGCTAACCAATCATGACCTGCCTCACCTATGCCAGTAGGCCTACTAACTACTTATTTGGTTGCGATAAACCCCGGCAACCCAAATTTGTTTTGCATAAATAATTATTATTAGATTTTCCCTATGGGCAAGTTTATTTGGCAATGTCAGTCATAGAGTGAAAGAAGATGTCATCACAGGGAGCACGTGTCTACCCCAGTAGGTAGGTAGACAACCTCCCCCAGTAGGTAAGTAAACAACCACCCCCAATAGGTAGGTAGACAACCTCCCCCAGTATGTAAGTAGACAACCTCCCCCAATAGGTAGGTAGACAACCTCCCCCAATAGGTAGGTAGACAACCTCCCCCAGTATGTAAGTAGACAACCTCCCCCAGTATGTAAGTAGACAACCTCCCCCAGTATGTAAGTAGACAACCTCCCCCAGTATGTAAGTAGACAACCTCCCCCAATAGGTAGGTAGACAACCTCCCCCAGTATGTAAGTAGACAATCTCCCCCAGTATGTAAGTAGACAACCTCCCCCAGTATGTAAGTAGACAACCTCCCCCAGTATGTAAGTAGACAACCTCCCCCAGTATGTAGGTAGACAACCTCCCCCAGTATGTAAGTAGACAACCTCCCCCAGTAGGTAGGTAGACAACCTCCCCCAGTAGGTAGGTAGACAACCTCCCCCAGTAGGTAGGTAGACAATCTCCCCCAGTATGTAAGTAGACAACCTCCCCCAGTAGGTAGGTAGACAACCTCCCCCAGTAGGTAGGTAGACAACCTCCCCCAGTAGGTAGGTAGACAACCTCCCCCAGTACATAAGTAGACAACCTTTTGCAGTAGGTAAGTAGACAACCTTTTGCAGTAGGTAAGTAGACAATCTCCTGCAATAGGTAAGTAGACAACTTCCCCCAGTAGGTAAGTAGACAACTTCCTCCAGTAGGTAGGTAGAATGCTTCCCCAAGTAGGTAGGTAGACAACCTCCCCCAGTAGGTGGGTAGACAACCTCCCCCAGTAAGTAGATAACCTCCTCAAGCAGGTAAGTAGACAACCTCCCCCAGTAGGTAAGTAAGGAGACAACCTCCCCCAGTAGGTAAGTAAGTAGACAACCTCCTCCGGTAGATAAGTAGACAACCACTCTCCCCCGGGGGTCAGACAGTCCAGGGGGTAACCACACCCCAAGGTCACACAATACACCTCCCCCTCTCCTCCACTCCATTACACTCACTTGACACTTTGATTGTAGGTGTTTTCCACAAACTTCCGGATCTCATGCTTAAGATTGCCGAGCGTCTCGTCTTCTAAATTCAGTATAAACTTGTGGGTGCTGGAGTACTTGACCTTAACCCTCATCTCTCAACTGGTGGTGAACACGAAGTAAACAATAGCCCCCGAGCCCCTACGGCCCCGGGCGGTAATCAGGAAATATATCCTGAAATATTAGTCTTGCCCGAAACGCTATGCGTACTAGTGGCTTTAGGTATTGTATGTACTACCTCTATCTTTAAATCAAACAGAATGTTTGTACGGTAACGCTGCAACTATGTATGTACTGTTCCTAAATAAATTATTATTATTATTTATCATGTAGTGGTACGGGTACGAGCCACCACCTCGTACACTAGACGATTCGCCAACGATTTTTTTTAAATTCTACCTAACTTAACCTATTTATGTATTTATTTATATATATACAAGAAGGTACATTGGGTCTATGAGAGTACAGTCCATAGCATTGCCCGAAACGCTATGCGTACTAGTGGCTTTAGGTATTGTATGTACTAGCTCTATCTATAAATCAATCAGAATGTTTGTAACTGCATCTATATGTACTTTTCCTAAATAAAATATTATTATTATTATTATTGATGTTTTTAAATTCCTGTAAAGCCACTAGAACTCATAGCGTTTCGGGCAGTTGGTTGGACTACCAATCTAACCTGTAACGTACGATTATGTTACGTTGTTGGGTAGATTAGATACATAGTGTTTAGTGGGTTTTCATATTTATTTAGTAGTCTTGGATACAGCAGTGTCGTAGACGTTGAGACGGAGCTTGGAGCAGAGCAGAGAGCTGAGTGTGGCCCGAGTCGCGGAGCTCTATGCGGGAGAGCGTGGCGGCTCGATGGGGAATCGTGAGTGTCTAAACTCGATGGGGAGCGAGAGCGTTGTAGCTCAATGCGGTCGTAACCTGGGTCATAATAAATTAACTAAACTAAAGCTCTGTATCGAAACTGTAGCGTTCTGGGTAGGTTGAAACTGTACACACTGAGTGCTACATTCTTGAGGTTGAAGAGATGTGGTAAATCCATTGCTTCTGTACTGGAGTTATCTGAATCACTGTGGAAATTGTACTCCTGGCTATTCGATTGATTGATTGATAAAGATAAAGCCACCCAAGAGGTGACACGGGCACGAATAGCCCGTAAGGTGGCTATTCGATTGATTCATAAAGATTAAGCCATCCAAGAGAGGTGGCTATTCACTTCCTGCTTGCTTATATTTGGTGACAACACCTCAGCTTCCTCCAACAGGATGGAAAGAATGTTACCTGTAATTAGGGAAAGGATTTGAATAGTCATAATCAGTGCTAATTAGTTTGTCATTAAGGTAATGAGAGGCTGGAGCGAGTATAAGGTTTACTCGCTACAAACCTAACTTACCACAGCCTAACTTAACCCAGCTCAACATAACCTAAACTAACTCAGCTCAACCTAACCTAGCCAAATTGAGCGAAATACAGTCTAACCTAAGCTAATGCATTCCTAGGATAGCAATATACACCTTTTTAACAAACAGAAAACGAGCGTCGTCGAAGCATTTCATGTCCGAAACAAGTTCAAATACGTTAATAAGGTAATGAGATGCATTTTATTGGAGACAATAAAATACTGTACATCTCCAAGGGTTAGTTAGTTTAGTTCATTTATTATGCACCCCATACCCATCTTGTGGGCGGTAGTGGAAAGGGTTACAGTGGCACATAATGGGCTCAGGGACTGAACCCCACAATTCATTTAGCTAAGCAAGTTACAATCTTGATGAGGGATAGAGTAACTTAGGCTATTTCTACCCTCCTCTACTTAAAGTCCCTCAAGGGGCACACAAATCCAGTGAGTACAAATCCACAAATCACAATGCAAGAATTACATTTTACATTGCAGGTTAATATCGTAAACACAGCATATAAGTGTTACACTCTTGTGGCAAAGTGTTTGTAGCGCCTAAGTCTGTCCAACCGTCTTGGTCTAGAGCGACGGACTCCCTTCATGCAGATCGGCGTTCAATCCCCCCGCGACCGTCCAAGTGGTTGGGCACCATTCCCATCCCTAATCCTTATCCTGATGGTTGATTGATTGATAATGATTAAGCCACCCAAAAGGAGGCACGGGCATGAATAGCCCGTAAGTGGAGGCCCTTTGGAGCCATTACCAGTACCAATAGCTGGTACTGGAGATCTTAGATGCCTTATCATGAGCTCTTCCAAGTGCTATATAGTCATCATGGCTTGGCGCTTTCCCCTGATAATTCCCTCCCTCCTAAGTATTCTATCAGACCATTATCACATCCAAACAATTTGATGCGCTTCACTCCATAACCCAATTGGTGTCTTTAGTCTCTGGCTCATGGCATTAAAACAACTTGTTGGTCTCTAATCGTGCATTAATTTATCATAAATGTAGAAAATTAAATATTTTTCAAATATCCATTAAAACAAAGGAATTAGATCTTCCTTGAGTAATAAGTATTATTTTCTGAATATTGGGTTGGGGGTTGCCATAATATTAGCTTGTTTAGAAGGAAGTTGCTTATGTAACAGTTTAAAAATAAAATGTAGGCATTTATTTAATAAAATTTCAAGAGTATTAAAATACAATACTTAACTTTCAATTGAGGATAGTAAATACATTGTAGCAGAAGCTGCTCTTAATAGCGGGACCGCAGCATCATCCGGCCAGGTCTGCCAACACTTCCCACACACTAGATACTTATCCCGTAATTTTTCTATCACACAGTCTGCCGATTTGAATTTTAAATATCAATATTACAATTTTATAATAATTTACAATAAGGTATATGAATCCATAGAAATGTAATTCACATTTTTGGCAAAATCAGAGATTGGTGAGCCTGGCGGCTATAAACAGAGAGAGGCGGCCGCCATTACTGGGAGCGCGGGAGGCGGCCAGGTACACCAACACTTGTTTACCCTCTTGCTCCTCACACAACCTTCCCACGCCAATGCATTCCCAGAGAAACGAAAATATATTGAACCAAAGGACGCTCACTACAGTTTCGACAGTGATTTAAGGTTTATTGTTTCTGCTTGCGAGGTAAAAAATTGTGATATCAGGTAGCGGCAAGTTGAAAAAGGAAGCCTCTTAATTAGCTGGCAGAAGAGCGAGTGTTGCTTAGTGTCTGTAGCCAGGCAGTGACGCCACCGTCTGTGTGGACCCAATGTTGCTCTGAGGTAATGCTACTAGCTTCAGGATGAGTTTTTATCGTGTCGAGCCTAGAGACCTTAGAATGCAATAAGAGGACATTTTACTATGCTATGACGTGCTTGCTCCCCTTGCTTGTTACCATTTTTATCCATAATCACACTGATGTGTTACACTGTAACAAGCAATAGCGCTTGTCTTTAGAGGCTGGGTGAGCATAATGCTTCAGAAGCTTAGCTATGGGTTTACAAATAATTGTAAGGTTCAACGACCCAACTTCAGACATGCTTTTAACCAAATATAAAAATATTCCAGAAAAGCCTGTCTGTTTTAGATCCAGGTTCTGAACCTTATTCCTGTTGGGTGATGAACAATTTTTATATATTGATAGCACTCGCAGGGTTTATCAGGCTGTTACCCCTTTAATTATAAGAGGGCAAGACGTCACTTGCCCTCTATAGTTTTAAATACTTTGTTCTTTTATCTTATTGCATAAAGCGTGGTACTGTAGGTTATTGCTAGTATGTAAGGAAACTGTCTATAACTTATGTATTTTATGATCTATTATTCCTCATTTTGATCAATGATATGCAAAACATGCTTCTGTAATGACATACTTGGTTTCTAGATATTTGTCTAGGTATTTCAGAGCTACCTTACCTTGAGGTTAGCTTCAGGTAGTTCTGAGAATCACTGTCCCCTTGGCCTGGTTTCTGACCATGCTTCCTGTGGTGGTCTGGTAAACCAGGCTGTTAGATGCAGTTGCTGCTGCTTACAGTCTGTTGTTTGAATTACAGCCAAGGTGATCAGCAAACGTTTGAAAATGTTACATCAAGTTTCATTTTGAACATTGTGAGAGGTCAAAATAGAGGGAGGGTGTTAGAAAAAGTCTTTGGCTCTTAATGCTGAGAATTTTATTTTAGCATACACATTGCACTTGTACTTTTCAAAAGGGTTATTTTGCATTTCTTGCCATACATATCTCTTGGTCTTGTAAGGAATTATTTCCATGTTAGATTTGGAACCAGTCCCTCCAATATTTTCTAAGTATGAATTATTGTCTCGCCTGTATTCTGAAGAATACAGTTGAAGAGATTTTTTAGCAGTCTCAATAATTTAAATTTTTAATTGAATAGATTTGGGCAGCAAAAGTTCAATGCATGTTCTCAGGTCAGCCATTTCTCCAGCTTGCAATGGGGCTGTTAGTGTACAAAAATATACCACCCTAGATAGCATTTGTCTTATAAAGTACCATCATTGGCTGGCTGCAGGCATCCCAGGGGGGCTGAAACTGGTATTAAATACCTTAATGTACAGTTTCTCATTTTGTGGCATCTTATATTCCTGGACATGGTAGCAGGGTGTCAGTTCTCTTTGGTGGTGTTTTCATATTATTTAATGTTATTTTCCTCTCCCCTCCCCTTCCGTCCCTCTGTATCTTTAAGCTGGTTCCCTTCCCTTCAAGGGAAAGGGAACTTTCGTGGCTCAACGTCCTCACGAGGTCGAGCCCCGAAATCATCGCAAGGTAGCCCTCCTCTTTTCCCACTTTGTGATTGTTGTTTGCTAGTTTATTGTGCATCCCATAATAATAATAATAATAATAATAATAATAATAATAATAATAATATATATACTGTATAACTATCTTGTCAATGTTTGCTTGTAAACAGTTCCACACATCAAGTCTGTGTGTCTAATGTTGCATTTTTGATACTTTAATTCATAATTTTCTGCTTAGTTGACAGAATTGTGATAATAACATAGAAGAAATGTCGGTCCATCCACCCCCAAAGAGGAAAGAAATATACAAGTACTCGGCTCCATGGACACTCTACAGCATGAATTGGTCTGTACGACCTGACAAAAGATTCAGGTACAGTAAGTTAACATGGTGCCATACCTTGTGTAGGATAGCACAGCACAGTATTAGTATTAAATGACTATGATGAGAAACATGGTGCTGTATATCAACACCATTTCTATGAAATAGAAGTCAGGCCTCAGGGTCACTTGCCCAAGTAACAATAGAGTAAGGAATGAAAATATAATGGAGAGATGTGACGTGTAAAATTAAATTATCCGGAAAATTTAAGCGAGTATACAGCACTTAATACTATTGCGCACCCGACAGGCGCGCCACAAACTTAGAGGTCATGCACCCAATGTGTGGGCGAGCATGTGGGCGAGCGTGCAGGCAAGCGCAAGGCGACGCCTAAATGTGTATACTCGTTTCAGTTTTCTCACCTTATTTCTCGTGCTACGTCGTTCATTTTGGTATCATTGTGTCCGCAATTAAATTCCCTACAGGTGTGCATGAATATAATGTCCAAAAGCCTGGCTTGCCTCCTCGCAGAAAAGCCTAAAGTTACCCATAAACGAGCACCAATTTGTATACTGCAACCTAATGTGTCATTCAGTTTGATAACATCAATTTTCGTGTTACGTCTTTCATTTTGGTATCAAATTGTTCGCAATAAAAAGGCGCGTATTTTAAAACTAGTCCCATAACAATAGAGCAATAACTGGAATTTTAACAAATATTTTAATTCTGGAAGCTCATCATCACAAAATTATTTATATCTTTCCAGTGTTCTGACAATTTTTGTGTTACATCTTTCATTTTGGTATCAAATTGTTCGCAACGTAAAGGCGCGCATTTTAAAACTAGTCCCAACTTAATAGCACAATAAATAGAATTTTAACAAATATTTTAAAATTTTGACCAAAAACCTATTTATAATCATATAAGTGTTCGTACATCAAGTTTCATGTTACATCTTTCATTTTGGTATCAAATTGTGCGCATTCTAAAGGCGCTTAATTTGAAACTATCCTGAGGGCGATCGGATAAAAAATGAATTTAATATAAATATTTTTGTAGTGGATGTGAGTCCTGTCCAAAGTTAGGACTCTGGAGAAAAAAAATGGACTTGACACTTATCCAAAGTGAGCGATAGTGTTATTAAATGGTTTGGGGCCATGGTGTTTACATGGATAATAGTACTGTAGATTGGTGAATAGTGTATTCGAGGGAGTTCAGTAGTAGGAAGAGGGATGAAGAGATTGGTGAATATGGCGAGTGATTAGGTGAGGGAGTTGTGATTGAGTGTGAACTGTGTATGGGATATGGTAATGCTGGCTCAAGTTGATTTGTGAATGTATTTGTTTGTGCTAGACAGTATACTGTATATATATTGTGTAGTATTATATATGTACAGTTTATTCATGAGAATCATGAGGGGAAACTACATAATTCTAATGATGTAATGAATAGACAAGTATTATTTTAATATACAGTATCTGTATGTGTGTGTGTATATATATATATATAGATATAGATATATAGTGGCGCCTTGATTAACGAGTTTAATGCGTTCCGGCACCGAGCTCGTCATGTGGAAAACTCGTTTTGCGAAATAACAACAAAACTGTCGTCGGAGATGTCTGAGAACCATCAGGAACGCTCGTTAATCGAGCGAAAGCTCGTCAGTCGAGACATATTTTCTGTGAGTGGCTTGCTCATTACTCGAAATGCTCGTAACTGAAGCCGCTCGTCACTCGAGGTTCCACTGTACTGTAATATAATAAAACCTTTCACTGTACAACATTTTTTTTTTCTTTTTCCTCCAAACTAATTTCTCCCCATGCCATTAAGGTGTGAGAAAAACTCAATCTTACAAGTCTGCTCGTAAATTAAAAGTAAGATATGTAATCAATCAGAACACTGGATGAGTAATTTTGTGCATAGGCCTTTAGTATAATGCTGAATTTATTTGGAATTAATTATTTATACTCTTTACCTTAAAACTGCTTAATAGATTGAGTGCCTTATGTCACCTTCAGGCTTGCGGTGGGAAGTTTCGTGGAAGAGTACAACAACAAAGTTCAAATTGTTCAGCTGGATGAAGACACGTCTGAGTTTGTTGTTCGCTCCACATTCGACCATCCTTACCCAACTACGAAAATTATGTGGATTCCTGACAGTGTAAGTATTATGGTATAATAGTGAAAGATTGGGGAGAGTATAAAAACTTTACTGTTGTATGACTGTTGCGTTGTTAGTGAGGTATGGGGAGTTGGATCCACTTTAATATTGAAATACAGTATCACTTTTAGTCATATCCTCTTCTACTAAGATTAAGGGTGTTGACTTTCAGTTTGATGTTTACTGTTATCTAGCAGGATTAATGTACGTAATTTAAAAAGTCACTAAGGTGGGGAGCCGGTTGGCCGAGTGGACAGCGCACTGGACCTGTGATCCCGTGGTCCCGGGTTCGATCCCGGGCGCCGGCGAGAAACAATGGGCAGAGTTTCTTTCACCCTATGCCCCTGTTACCTAGCAGTAAAATAGGTACCTGGGTGTTAGTCAGCTGTCATGGGCTGCTTCCTGGGGGTGGAGGCCTGGTCGAGGACCGGGCCGCGGGGACACTAAAAAAGCCCCGAAATCATCTCAAGATAACCTCAAGATAACCTCAAGATAACCTCAAGAATATGTGTTGAAATGAAGTCAAGAAAAAATACCCCCCCCCCAAATAAACAAAATATAGGGATAATTATAATGATTTAGAATATATATTTTATATAAGTGAAAAAGCCCTAATCTGGTCTCTAATCATCAAAACAACCTAAAGTGTCAAAGAAAATAGAGTTTGAAATCTGAGAAAAAATCACCCCCAAAAATTCAGTCCCAAGTTCTGCGAGTTGTGACTGATTTATTTTTGAACCAATTTCATTCTATCTTCATATAATTAGGGAAGGGTATGTATGCACTCTCTAGGATGTAAAGGTTACAACAAACTCGGATAATAAACAAAGAAAAAACTAAAATCTTAAAAAAAAAAAATTCCACTAAATAATATTTTTGGGACATTGATGAAAGGAACATATATTAACATTGGACAATGTATTTATATGATATATAACAAAATAGAGCATAACAACATAGTTATTAATATAACACTTTAATGCGCGTGTGCCCCGTGAAAAAAAATAGCACATTGTGCGCGCGGCGTTTTGGGCTCTTGAGCGTAAACACCAAAAAGTGTGTAATCTTTTCACTCTCCTGACACCAATTCTCGAGCTACGTATTTCATTTTGGTATCAATGCGTTGGCAATAAAATTCTCTACAAGATCATATATATAACATGTCACCAAAGCATTAGCTATCCCACCACGAAATAAATAAAACGTAGATCACTCGCCGTGACGCCCAAACAGCAACAAAATGTTCATACTCTTTTGTTTGTTGTCAGCTCCACATTAGTCCTACAGCGTTATATTTTATACCACTGAACTCGCAATAAAATTCCTTACACAGACATATGCATATAAATGTAGAATCATGATCGCGGCCCACACCTAGAGTGTGTGAAGTGGGCGATTACCCTCGTTGTGTCAACAACTCAATAGTCTCTCCTCTAAGTTACAATACAATGCCGTTTTCTCAAATAGGCCATGTGCCTATTAGAGAAAACGGAAATTTAATGGCAAACATTTTCATACTAACCCCAAGTCAATCGAATAAGAATTGGATTTTATATGTTTTTTTTTTAGACCGGCCGGCTATTTACGGCGCGATTGCGGAACCCGTTAGCCAAGTGGGCCGCATCTCTTTATTACTGCATTATCCCTCAGTTCCAGTTATAGGAGCTGTTCTCCTTATCAACAAAATGTTTTTGTTTTTAAAAAATTTGTCTGATCAATTTCTGAAAATATTTTGATGAAAGTTTCACGACGCTGAAGCCAATAAGTTGGAGATTTGTTTAACATTTTTTAAGTTTTTTTACATAATTCAAATATTTTTGTGCTTCTGGTTCCCCCAATATGCGCGATTTAAGGGTTAAAAAGCATTTACCAGTCCTCTGAACATTTGTGGAGTTCAGTTCATACCTGGCATTGAGAATCTTTCCTTTGTGACAAATTGAAGTTTCAATCTATACTAACTAGAGAGATGCATGACAAGGTGTTATATGATAAAGGTTTTCAAGTGGGTAAAAAGTAAAACTTCCACATGGTTTCTCATTGATTACTCCTTAACATCTATTTCATATTAAGAGAGAAAACTTTTGAGTAGACCCCTTAGTTTACATAGCTCAGATTTTTATGAGTAAAGCTGAATTTCCTGTTCAAATTATTAAATGATATTGGGCTCACCTGCCTTAATTTTTTAAACTTTGATTGTGTAACACTACATAGTGGGGCCATTCCAGATATTGAAATTATAAAATAGTTTTGTTATTTGTTGTTCATGCTGCACAATGAGTCATCTTGCATGTTATTTGTATATTGCGTATTATGTCCATAGACTATAGTGCTTAGTGTGTGGTGGTGGTAGCTGCCCATAATGCTGCTGAGTGTGTGTGTGTGTGTGTGTGTGTGTGTGTGTGTGTGTGTGTAATTACCTAAGTGTAATTACCTAAGTGTAGTTACAGGATGAGAGCTACGCTCGTGGTGTCCCGTCTTCCCAGCACTCTTTGTCATATAACGCTTTGAAACTACTGACGGTCTTGGCCTCCACCACCTTCTCACTTAACTTGTTAAAAAATGAAGATCTCCAGATGACATGGGCTCGAGCTGACGACCGTCCGGCTACTGGTGGCAGACCCCACTCTGAGGCCGTGACTCTTCCTTAAAGAAATAGAGAGTATAGTTACATTATGTATACTAGTTGAAATTTTATTTGCATCCAATGAGTGTGTACTCACCTATTTGTGCTAGTGGGGGATTGAACCTTGGCTCTTCGGTCTCGCCTCTCAACTGTCAATCAACTGGTGTACAGATTCCTGGGCCTAAAATTGTACACTTGTTTGGGCTCGAGCTGTCGACCGTCCGGCCACCAGCGGCAGACCCCACTCTGAGGCCGTGACTCTTCCTCGTGTGTGTGTGTGTGTGTGTGTGTGTGTGTGTGTGTGTGTGTGTGTGTGTGTGTGTGTGTGTGTGTGTGTGTGTGTGTGTGTGTGAGATAGGTGGTGGTTAAGATTGCTAAACATTTTCAGTACTGTACAGTATCTACATTTTTGGCTACTTTTACAGTTACACACTGAATTCAACATGGTTGCTGTGTGCTTATTACATTTTCTTACTTGTTTGGGGGTGGAAGAGTTGAATAAATACAATTGAGTTTGGGTTTGGATTGGTTACTTAGATGGTGGCACAGTATGTCCTCACACAACACTACTCGCACACACAACTGTGGACGCGGCGAACATAGCTTTAGTACTTTTAATCGTTGTCCTCTAGTGTATTACTTATTTTGAACAGGTTTTGATAATGATGTACAGTATATATGTTTTTTTTTTAACAGAAAGGTATATATCCTGATCTTCTGGCTACTAGCGGTGACTACTTGCGTGTGTGGCAGCAAGGAGCAGATGGCGACACAAGAATGGCATGTCTATTAAATAATGTAAGTTATTTAATGATGACATTTTTGTAATGTGTGCATGTCCTATATAACTATCTTCATCATATATTCACTTAACCCTTTGGCTGTGCATCTAGAAAAGGTGTCATTTCTGAGGGAAGCTCCTTGTGGCTTCCTGAAGCTGTACATTGAATCCCAGCTTACATTACTGATGAGCATATCGTGACCCAGTGGTTTAAGGTGTGTGCTTGGGAGTACCCAGTGTACAGGTTCAAATCCTCGTCATGGCTTCTGATTTTCTCTATCAGTATTGATAATAATAATAATTATTATAATAATAAAATAAGAAAAAATAAGATTATATCTTAGGTACAGTAATTTTCATTTAAGATTTAACGTCTTGCTCAACTGATTCGTGTTATCCATAATTACTTTCCTTTTCACTTCTGCAGAATAAAAACTCAGATTTCTGTGCTCCGTTAACATCTTTCGATTGGAATGAAGTTGAGCCGAACCTGATTGGAACCTCTTCAATTGACACAACATGTACCATCTGGGGGCTGGAGACTGGGCAGATGCTGGGACGAGTTAATGTGGTCTCTGGGCACGTGAAAACACAGCTAATAGCTCATGATAAAGAAGTGTTTGACATTGCATTTTCAAGAGCTGGGGGCGGGAGAGACATGTTTGCATCTGTCGGTAAGTTGTTTTGTATTACCATTTTATAATTGTTTACAGGAGAAAATGAGATGCAACTGTCAATTGGCGATATACCTTGCCTTGTGTAGACCTAAGGTAAGGTATGTTATGAATATAAAGATATAATATTAACGTAAGAAAGTGAATATGTTAAAGTTGAGTAAGCCTAATCGTATATGAGAAGATATATACACTCGTAACCATTTACATTGATTTAAATTCATGTATGTAAGCTATGTTGTTTTTATAGGTGCTGATGGCTCGGTAAGAATGTTTGACTTACGGCACTTGGAACATTCGACTATCATTTATGAAGATCCTGCACACACTCCTCTGTTGCGACTAGCATGGAATAAGCAAGACCCTAACTATCTTTCGACTGTAGCCATGGATGCCTGTGAGGTAATGTCACTGTTTTCTAATGTTATTTCAAAGGAATATTCTGGGTTCAGGAAAGTGAATCTGGGCAGTGCAGTTTGCAAATTGGATGTATTAAATGGAAAAATATTTAATAAATATAAGTTATTTAATTTGGAAAGCTATAGAATAAAGGCAGCAATTTAGTGGATTACGTTTTATTGAGGGCGATGCAAATCATTAGGATTGTAAGAATATACTGGAGTGAAGTGTTGAAGATTAGTGATGATAGGAAGCCAACATAATGAAAAGAGAAAATTGAGGTAGAGAATAGGTCTCATGAGTGCATAAATTAATCCAATAAGTTTGGAGAGTATTTTGGAGGAAGACCAATCAATAGGATGATTGGAATCCCTCACATGACAGAAGAGAGCATTGTTAGTGTCTGTAGACTTAACACTTCTCTTGTGTTCTTTGAGTCTGTATTCTTTGTGAACTCTTGTGTTCTTTGAGTTCTTTGGTCTTCCTCCAAAATAATCTTTCCTGCCTCTACTCTACACAGACGCCGTCTTGTTGAATCTGCTCTAATACACAATGTACCCAACATGAACTTGAGTCCTGGCTTTGTTGCTGTGGACTCTTCCCTTTCACAGTATATACTTAAATGCTCTTAATGTTTCTAACAAACATGACCTAACATAAGCGTACCCTTCCATTTATCTTTCTTTCTCTTTCCTTATCTTTCTCTCTTCTCTCTTTTTTCTGTTCATTGTTTTCTCTTACGTTCCCTTACTCTATCCTCTTCTTATTCCTATTACTATCTCCTTCTCATTCGGTGGTTAATAGGAGCTGCCTCGTATGGGCCAATAGGCCCTCTGCAGTTCTTATTCCTTCTACTATTCCCTCTACTACACCTTACTTTGCTCCTCACCTCTCTCTTGCCTATTTATTGCTTTTCTTTACTTCCTCATCACAATCGACTTGAGAATGGTCCAGGACGGACTGAAACGTTGTCGTCCCTTCACCTTCTAGTGTGTGGTCTGGTCAACGTAAATTTGTAATGTTTCCACTTATACTTGTTCTCTGCTCACACCACACTGAGATTCTTTCAGCCGCTTTTATTCATTTACATAAAAAAAAAAGATTATAATAAATTGGCCAACTGTCCCTAGAAAGGATTGATTATATATTTCCGATTAGATTCAGCAATTGAAAGTTTATTGGCCGGTTGCATGGGATAATTAACGAGATAAACGCTATCTAATTTGTTATTAAACAAAATGGCAGTTGGGTTGTGTCCTTCCCAACAGAGAACTTAATACATTTTAGAGAAAGTATAACTGAGGTTATGGGATGGAATGTTTTGCTGTGGGTACCCATGATCCTTATCTTTTTTTCAGTTTTTATCAAGAAATAATTTATCAAATCTTCAAGGAGCATGTTGTCTAAAGTATTGTCTAATATTTTAATGATGGGTTTTGGTTATACTGCTATGTCCTTGCTTCTGTGGCACAGTTCATGTGGCACTGTGGCACAGTTCATTGATAGATTGTTGTTGTTGTGTTGGCTTGTTAATGTTTCGAGGACTGAGTGCTAATAAATTAACCCCAGATTCTAAACATTCTGCATTCCTTAATAGTTCATTTATAATAAATTTCAACAGTTTTAATCTTTCCCATTACTGTATTACACTTAAGAAACTATGTTCAAGATTTTCTGAATGAATTTTTTTAGTGTTTGTTACATCTTTTATTTACAGGTAATAATTTTAGACGTAAGAGTTCCATGTACACCTGTGGCTAGACTCAACAACCATCGAGCATGTGTAAATGGCATAGCATGGGCCCCGCATTCATCTGTTCACATTTGTACTGCAGGTAGGTGTCTGTGAACCTTATATGTCTTAAAACAAATTGTGTGTTTGTATGTATGTAAACACATATGCACAAATATACATATACACTTTCTTGCTAAGGAAGAAAAAATAAAAAAATATAGAGAAAATTTTTGCTAGAATCTTTGAATTAACTCTTATGGTTATATGTCACAATAAACTGAGATATATTGTGTGTATACCAGGAGAAGCTAAAAGAGATTTCACCTGTGTTGCCAGTATGTCACAAGATCCATTTTCTTAAATCTGTATATTTTGGGGTATATTCCCTGGTTGTTCCTTGAAGCTATCTCATTGACATTGCTTGATCTAATAATGATGGGTTACATGAGTGGCAGGAGTTGGGTTTGGCCTACCGGGGACCAGAGCCACAAGCTGGTCTCCCCTCACAGAGGCTCAGAGAGTGACAACTCGAGGGTTGACAGAAAACAGAACCTTAAAACTGCCAAACAAATTTTGCAAATGATTCAAAATAATAATCAAAATTAGCTTGAACTCACTATTACTGATGGCCACTGCCAGGCGGCACAGCCCTCGGCCGGTTTCCCTGCTCAGTTCTGTCACTGAAGTTCTGGTGGTCTCTATTACCGGTAGTGCTCCGTTCACTGCCGTTCATTATGATTAATTGAATGCCCTGGAGTTGGCTGTATGGTGTTTAGGGACCCAAAATTAGAGGTGTTGGTGACCACCTGGACTAATTCTGTACCTCCTTTTCCTCCTGCGGGTGTGTGGCTCACCTTGCTTCTGGTCTCCCATATCCTTGGTTCTGACACCAAAGCATCTGAGGAGTTTTGAGTTGGGTCAAGGTGTAGCTTGGCCTTCTCCCGCGGTGACCCCAGCCTCTTCGATAGCAGAGGCAGTCAAGCCTTCTGGTCCCACTGTGGCTTCAGAGTTTTCTCCTTCACAACTGCCACCCCACTCTGACCCCTACTCTTTGGAAGAATGGCTTTCTGGCTCAGGTAGTGGGCAAGGACTTTGGCTGTGATCCAGAGCCTTCAAGACAGGCTTCAGGGATGGAGGGAGAAGTCAAAGAAGTGTGGGTGCCTTTTCAACCTTCATGAACTCTGGTTTTCTCTGTGGAGGGTCTTTTGCTTCAGGGGGAGAATTTTGTATCCCCTTCTATGAGTATGATCTCTTGTCTGCTCCCCCACAGGTTCGATTTCTGATCCCTTTCGGTACCTTGGAGTCATCGTATTTCCTGAGGTTTCTGTCTTCCTGCATTTCTCTTTCCGTGGCTTACACGGAGCTATTTTGGTGCCTCTTGCAGAATTTGGAAGCTTTCGTTGATAGACCTGCCCTCTTTTGAGCATGGGTTTTATCTCAGCTTATTAGCTGTGTATGAAGTTCTGGGTACATCCTGGCTGACTGATAACCCTCCTCTTTTCCTTGGGGGCTTGGCAGGAGGGTCTCTTGGATTTACAGGCTTGATTGCCCAGAAGTTAGTTCCATCTTTCCTGGGCTAGGCTTCTTATCCTCCTCTCGGGGACTATTTGTTTGTTTTGGCACCCTCCAAGGACATGGGTAAGTGGCAACTCCATGTGCAGCAGCCAGTGTTGTCCAGGGCTTATTGTGGATACTACCAAGAGCATACACAATTGGGGGGCAGTTTTGTATGTTTGGGTCCTCATGGAGGGGTTCTCTGGGCAACTCTGAGGATGTGGTTTCGCATGGATCTTCCCCAGGCGTGGAGGCCTTGGATCTGGTTCCGGTCTTGATAACCTTGGAAAAGATGCTCACTTCACTCCTTCAGAAGGGGTTGGCAGAGTTTTTCCTGGCTTGCCTAGTGTGTTGACAGGCCTTGTTAGTCTGGTCTTTACATTTAGCTTGGTCCCTTACCCTTTTGTCTACTTTCTCTTTCTGTTCCTCTTTCCTGAGGTCTGGTATGGTTGTTTAATGACATTCATCAGAATATCGTTGAAGTTGCTAGAGGTACTGAATTTCATAAAATGGAACAGGCTGATGCAGTTCAAGTGTTACTCTTAGGATAAAAACCTTACAAATGAGGAATTGATTCAACTAAAGAATGAACTAATTTAGTAGAAAAAAGGGTGATGTTTGTGATGATTGTCGTGAGACTTGGCCAAAGCTTGCAAACCTATTGCAGCATAATCCAGAAAGATGTTATCAAAAAACATGGCACTAATATAGCGTTAACAATAGCACTTCAATGGCACATTTTAGTTTCTTCTGTGGTGGTTATATTCTCAGTTTTCAGACACTAAAAAAGGTCATTCTGGTTTCTGAAAGTCCCTGAACAATTTTATTTGCATATAAAATACCTGACACTACATTAAGTGACTTGAGATAGTACTCCATGTTTTATTACTGAAATGTGAACCTCCTTTCAGGTGATGATCATCAAGCATTAATATGGGATGTACAACAGATGCCTCGGGCAATAGAAGACCCAATATTAGCCTACACGGCGGCAGAAGGAGAAATAAATCAAATTCAGTGGGGAGCAACACAACCAGATTGGATTGCTATCTGCTACAACAAGTGTCTTGAAATCTTGCGAGTGTGAGTGGATGTGAGTGAGGCATACTGTATGTTTGTATTTTGTCTGCTGTAATTAGTTTCCCTGATAAACGATGCTCATAATTTGTGTTCTGCAGGAAATTGTTCTGGTGATGGTTTCAATGTATTATTAGTTCTCATACTGCTTGGGTAAAAGAAAGGAAATGTAAATACGCCATTTCTTCTGAGATTCTGTCAGTTAATCATGTAGGAATTCATTTACAGCTGTAGTGTAAATCAGAAAAAACCAGCATTTAATAAATAGTTGTGGGAATGCAGTACTGTATTGGTAAATTAGTTGCTTAGTTTGTGCAGTGATTAGTTGTAGATATGGGGTCTATTGTCTGTTGGAACACATTAGTACTTACATGTGCATTCAATTTTTATGAATCATTTTTCCAGTTATTAGTTGCACATTAAACCTTAAGGTTAACACACCTGAGTTTTGCAAGATTTCTAACATGTGAACCCAAGGAAATTAACGGTAGTCGGAGTGCTGCCTTTCTCATCATGATCATACAAACTGGATGCCAACATATGATACAAATAATGACTGTCTTGGTGTATGTCCAGAAGTTGTACATATTTTGTTAAGTTTTTATGATTTTTTTTTTAACACATCTCAGTGCTTACGGAGGATGAAGTATTGTCAGATATACTGGATATTAACATTCGTTCGTTGAGTGTGATGGAGCTTGAGATGGAGCTGCTAGAAGATGAAGCAGCTGACAGGAGTGGTGTGCCTGATTGTTGAAAGCACTCGCAGAGAGTATTTATATTGCCTCCAAACCCTTCTCTTCACCTGGCTCAGTATTAACACAATTTTCTAAAGCTGTGTGTGTGTGTAAGAATTTTGACTGATGTAGCCAGAGTACCAAATTAACTTATTATAGTTACCAGCAAATTAACATTTACTTTTTCATTACAGTATTTGTTAAACGGGCTTTCATGTGCGCTTTTTTTTTTGTTTTTAAAGAGAGAACATAAAAGCAATTTGTTAAACAATGGACAAATAAATATCATGGAAGGATGTTCATTAGACAAACTTGAAATATGGTGATATGTAATTATGCAGTACAATGTTTGTGATGCTTTACAAATTTATAAATGATATACCATTTTCTTTTTATTTATGCTTTAAAGGTATGGAAGAAATTGAAATAAATAAATAAATAGATAAATAAATAAATATATATATATATATATATATATATATATATATATATATATATATATATATATATATATATATATATATATATATATATATATATATATATATATATATATATATATATATATATATATATATATATATATATATATATATATATATATATATATATATATATATATATATATATATATAATAATACACACACATACATACATACATAATATTATTTAAAGTCATCAAATCATAGATTCTTATATTTTTAATGAACACAGTCGACTGGGTTTTGTGCAAGGTGTATTCCAAGACGCTGCAACTCGTGAAATGTAGTTAAGGATCTTGCAGGAGACTAGGATGCATTTGAGGAGCCCAAATTTTATTACAAAAAACCTATTAATTATTAGATTTTTATGAAACTTTCCAGTTTTTAAGATGACCTGGTCAGATTAACTGGTGAATCATTTTTTTAATTGAAATTAGAGTACTGTACAGTATTGTACTAAACAACCATAGAATATAAAAAAAAAATGTGGTACTGTATAATCAATGGCTTACCTAACACAAAAATGCTTTGTTGGGTTAATATTTTTGGTTTCATTCAATATTAAGGTGACTAAAGCTATTGGTAACCACTTGTGGCTGTTTGAGGTACCTTATGGTACAGTATAACATTTGTACAACATCATAGCAGGACAGTCGGGACACTAGTATGAATAGCGGTTTTCCTCATTTTGTTTCCAATAAATGCAAAATTAACAAATATCCTGATGTTTATTAATACTGTGCTTCATATTACCTGAAGCAAGTTGTGTTGCATTATCAGCACTAAAGGATTTGCAAATGGAAATGAAGGGACTCTTGTCATTGAATATATTACAATTTAATATATTATACTGTGTATCCAGGACAATATCCCAGACAGACCAAGGACAGATAAACTGTCTCAAAGGATACTACTGTACAAGAAAATATACTCCCAAGGCATCTTGCCAGGCCCAAGTTTGGTTCAGCAAAAAGAATTGATAAAATTGAGTTTGTTAACGTATATATAGTACTGTACAGTATATTTGTTACGGAGTTTGGCTTGAATGGATCGTGGCTACACCGAAATCAAGATTTATGAAAGGAGGATGATAGTCATTATATCGTGATTAGTTGCTACTGAAAATAGTGGAAGATTTTCGGTTGAGTCCACATTTTTGCTAGACGTTACCACAGCCCCCACCCCCAAAAAAAGCCAACATGTTTATATATATTACAAATTCATTTTTACAATTTATTTTGGTATCTAAGTATTCTTAAAAACATGTTGTAATAGTTGCACTAATAATAAGTTTAACCATAAAGTAGTGGATATTACAAAGTTGATTGCAGCAGACATTCTTTGCATCACAATGGGTCCAGAACGAATTGTACCACTATAGCTAAGCTTTGCTGTATTGTGATTATTTTGTTTAAAATCACTTAAAATTAAGAAATTTACAGAAATACAATTACATGCAGGTATCAATAATTGTCAATAATTTTTGCATATGTGGGGAAATAACTTGTTGGTGCCAGGTGGCAACTTGCAATTGCAAACTAATGTTGACATAATTATGGAAATGTTTCAGTTGTAGAATGCATTCTTTATTCATTTGTTAATATTCTACATAAACTCGTGCAGTTTTGTCAGACATACACCAAATATTTCTAGAGGAGCCTCTTGGTGGCTGCCTGCAGCTATCGTGCTGGGGTAACTTCCTCTACAGAGACACATCAGCTGCAGGAGTCTGTTTTTGTTGGTTTATGGTTTAAGGGGAACGATGGATCAAGGGATCGGATGCGCCCCAGCTGCCCAATACCGGGAAATAGCAAAGAGGGATGGGATCCCTACAGTCTCTTCAGGCCACAGACCCTACAGTCTCTTCAGGCCACACACATGAGGAATGAAGCAGAAAGTATGGCGAAGGATGTCATAACGGACGTCTTCGTCTCGCACCTGACCGTTAAGGAGAATGGGAATCGTGAGGCGGAGAAGTAGGAGTCCTGTATGGTCCACCAAATACCAGGACCTGGATTCATTAAGCAGTTATGCAAGTACAGTACTTATAAATCTGTACACCTTTCTCAATCATTGGCGGCTTTGTTTACGTATATTAAACAAACAGTTTATTAGCCCAAAAGCACTACGAGGCTGCTTACAACAATTATAACATTTGACTAGGAAATTTCAATGCTCGTACACCATTTAATAAATGTATACAAAGCCAGCAAATTTTAAGGAAAGATGTACAGGCTTTTAAGTAGATGCATAAATGTATGTTGAATCCTGGCCCAGATCCATAACCTAGTCCCCCTCTCAGAGGAACAGGAAACTGGGGATTGTTATGATTACCCACTTACCAAAGAAGCATCCAGAAAGTTAGTGAAGCCATACAAGCAGCTGCAAAGTTCACATAAAACAAACCATTGAAACAGTCAAATATTGATTTGTCTGCAAATGATTAACTCAAAACTAGCTTGAACACCCTAGTTGCAAATGGCCGCCACCAGATGGCAACCGAAGCTCCAGGCTCTTGTGTCATCCACAAGTCAATTCGGAGTTGAGAAACTACGAATGAATGCACCTAGAAAGGGCTAAGGGACTCGTGGGGAGCCATTGAGGCTCTACCAGAAACATGCACTTCATTATACAGTATTCAATGCTGGGATTTTTAATAGAATTGAAAACCAGAAAAACCTTGGATATTTTCACGAGAAAACTGGGCTGTGGTGGATACGTGGGCCTGTGGGCTGCTCCAAGTAACAGCCTGTTAGACTAAGCTCTCACAAATCAAGCCTAGCCTCAGGCCGAGCTTGGGGAGTAGAAGAACTCCCAGAACCCCATCAAGCAGGTATGAAGCAGGAGTCCTTAAGGGTAATTAATACCAGGTGTCAGAAATGATGTTGACAAATGGTTTAGAAATATTGCTTTGCAAACTCATAAATCACCAACCTCTAATCTTCATCCTCAGCCATGTTATTGTGACTCATCATTTGCACTAGCCATACACAACTGATCATTGGTCTCAATTTTTACCTTTCACGTCAGTGGTCTGTGTAGTGAGTTGCTGAGCATAAAACCCAAGGATCGATCTGTATTTCTTCTTTTGTATTACGAAATACATCTGTACCCCTTTTTCTCTCTGTGCAGTTTAACTTTACCAGTATAATAGTTAAATGATTTCTTTTCTCTCAGGTTTTTGTTGTCCTTGAGTAAAAATAATGTTTCATTGATAACATTCAGGAATTTTTGAGTTGGAAATCCTTGATAAGGAGGGATTTAAACCAGTGGAATATTGATCATGATGTGTGTGTGCTTTAGAGGCAGTTCAGCCACTTGTTATATTCATTTATATTTGATTTTGAAAATGTAATTATTAAACATGGATAAAAAGTTAACTGATTACACATTAAGTCCAGGTAATTCAATTAGAAGCCAACAGTCTAAGGTTAGCTGTAATGTGAATGCTGTTTAAATGGCTAGAAAAAACTGAAAGGGTAAGATTAGTAATTCTAACACGAATCTTCTCAATATTTCTTACGTTTTTCTTCACTGTCAAGGGAAGTTGAAAAATGAACTCTCCAAAGTTAATTTTCACACTTAATTTATGGTTTGATGCCTAGAAGCGTTTTGCAAGACACTTCTTACATTTTCAAAGACAATTTTACACATACTCTGTTAATGCTTAAACAGTATTCATTTTTAAGGTGAGGTGATAGGACATGAATCAATGGGTACATTGCGTGTTTTATCTTCTTGCTTCTGTGTTGGTTCGGGGTCTTGAAGTGGGTAGAATGTAATTATGTGTAATTGGCTGTTGATTGCTGGCTTTGACTTTTTGATGTGTAGGGCCTCGCTGATGTTGAGTCTCCTGTTGTCAAATATCTGTTGTCGACAGATACGACGGCAACAGGAGACTCGACATCAGCGAGGCCCTACACATCAAAAAGTTAAAGCCAGCAATCAACAGCCAATTACACATAATTACATTCTACCCATTTCAAGACCCCGAACCAACACAGAAGCAAGAAGATAAAACACGCAATGTACCCATTGATTCATGTCCTATCACCTCACCGTAAAAACAAATATAAGCATTAACAGAGTATGTAAAATTTAACTGAAAATTAAATTTGGAGAGTTAATTTTTCAACTACCCTCGACAGTGAAGAATAAATTAGAAATATTGAGAAGATTCGTGTTAGAATCATTAATCTTACCCTTTCGGTCATATTCAACAACATATGTTTACATGAAAGACTGCTACCAAAATATACTAATATATATATATATATATATATATATATATATATATATATATATATATACTTCAAAGTTATTTTATGTAAAAGAAACTGCTAGTTTGTAATTACCCATAATGAATTCCAAATATAATTATAGGTTCAAGTCAATGTTGTGTGCTGTAAAATAAAACTAAGATTTTTACAGTGGTGTGTGCAGATTCTCTACTGGACCTGTTAGAAACCCCATTGGATTTTCATCCTGTTGAAGCAACAACAGGACAATAGGTGCATGAGAATCAACAGTAAGCAGAGTGTAATGTTACGTATACAGTTTGATTAGTACAGTCAAATATTTGCTTTCCTGTAACTTAAGTTAATGTTTAGCCCAATTTGCATCTCTTATTGAACCATGTTGAATTTTTTATTTTAATGATAATTTTCACATCGGTTACTTTCTGTTCATCGGTGTTGTATTAAACGGTCGTATTTTGAGCTCTTGATGGATTATTGTTAATGATAATTCAAGAAAGCATAGCTTGTTTTTATTAAGGATGCCATACATTACAGGTATTTTATATTGAGGGATCACCCTTACAATTATTTTTTTTCAGTTATTGTTGAAAGCAAGTGCAAGTTTTAGTCTCTGCCTTTGTACATATCATATGACTTCACAATTAATTTTTTATGGTATCATTTGGCAAATTGCTCATATTGCAGTAACCAGCATGCTGCACCAGTCAGTTTACACCACCTCCAAATGTTTATCATGTCTTCAACTACACCCAGCTGTGATCCCCCCCCCCCTCCCCTCCCACTCTTCATATCCACTCTTCATATTCTCACCCAGTTACCATAAATAAAAATAAAAACTTATTAGATCACATGAATTATAATGGTTTATGAAATATATTCAGCCAGTATGTATGTATGTGTATATATATATATATGTATGTATATGCGCACTACTGCATAATAAGTAGAAATTTGAACAATGTAAGTAATCTTGCTGTGGTTTTGCAATTAAACTCTAAAATGCTTACAGGCTTGGGCAGCCAACCAAATATATAGGGGCAAGGGGCTGGGTATGAATGATAAAAGATATTGGAGGAACAGTAATGTTTAAATGAGTTGAGAATGTGTAGTGTAGTGCTGATGTTGGCAAAGAAACCGAACCTTAATTTGTATTTGCAGCATTTTGTGTATATTTCTTGCAAGTCATAGAAGTGTGTTGAGAGGAGAATAGAAACACTGTAATCAGCATGACTTATGTCCTTGTTAAATAAGGTTTGGGTATATTTAAAGTGGATTCTGACACTAGAGAACAAAGTGTAATAAAAAATACTCTTGTAGTCTTAAAACTAAATTTTAACCTGTTTTGTAGTTTCTGTTGATTACAGTGGGAGCTGCAGTACTTTTGAACAGTTGAGACACAGACATCGTAGGCAAATAACAATTACAATTAACTCCTTTCTCAGTTGTTAGGTAATGTTGTTATATCAGTGTATATAGGTTAATAATCCTTACTTTACAAGTGGTCTAAAAGTTTCAATAAAAGATGTCATTCTTCCACCAGGTAGCTTGGTTTTAAAATAATGTTTTGCCATTTATTACGACCCCAACGGTAAAATTGCATAAGAGATAGACGATGGGTATATTTGAATGTTGCATGTATAGTACTACAAAGATTATCCAAGTCGGGATAAGTTGCAGTTTCTTCTTTTTTAAAAATTATCAGGCTTTTAAGAAATCAAAATTGGCATAGCAAGTGTTCATAGGACATGTATATATAGGACATCCTCTCCCACAGTGTTTACACTGTATGTCATCTGTAATCATACTCAAGGCAATAATTATTTCAATACATGAGCTTACCACACCCACCTCTGCTGCCTCGCTAATGATCCACCCCTTGACCTTGTGCCTTCTACCACTCGTCACATATCCCCTACGGATGTGAGCGCGGATGGAGGAGAGGTTTCGCCTCATATGACACTTTACTTCAAATATAATTATTTAACACTTGAGCAAAAGTATAAGAATTTGCTCGCTTTGCTTTGGTTCAAAATAAATATATATATATATACATACATACAGTACATATAAAATGAGATAGAAGTTGAAGGTTTATGTATGGTGGATATGGTATTGTAATGCACTAGATCCACTGTATTGTGACTGGAAAAAGAAGTACAAATATTGGGTAGATGAATGTAGGACAACTTGGCACTTGCTTATTTTCCAGTTAAGACGTGTGTGCATTCTATTGTTTAGAAACCATAAACCATCTTGGTGCTGTTTTGATGCCATTATTTTATTATTTGTTTCTGGCATTCTGTTGTATTGCGTGGTTTGATTGCTCACAAATACAACCCAGTGCACGTCTTCTAACAGACAAAGGCATTTGGCATTCTGCACCACCACCACAGTTCAGTAATTGGTGTTGCATTTATTTTAATATTAAATATACTTCTCACAGACTTTTACCCCACTCCCACCTCACTGTTGAGTCAGACAAGCATTTACTTTATAATTCAGTTGAAGAAACGGTTAAATGATCTCAGATTGTAGTGTGTATTTGCCCCTTAAATATACGATTGTATCTTATTTCACATGAGACTGTGCACATACGACTGATCTCATTGAAGATAATTCCTGAGGATTCATTTTAATAGTACAAGACTGTGCTGTAATTGGAAAATAATATTACAAGCTACAACCATTTTGAATTTTCTGTTTATCACAGTAACATTAGTGTACATACATTTTAGAGTAATTTCTCTAACATTTTTGGTGTAAAGTAGATCCTTTGTATGAGAAAAGTATTCATAGTTTTATATTGTATGCAGAGTTCTGTTAGCAGTATTGAGCATTTTGCGCTGACATTCAAGTTGTTTTGCCAGCCGAGCTGAGTTAAGATAAAAAAAATTAGTTTATACTGAAATGATCTTGAGAAATTATAGGGCTTACAGTTGTCATTTAGTCAAGCATTAAAGTCATTAATGATGTTATTAGGGAGACAACTTGGGTGTCAGTTAATGTGCAAGTTTATAGTATTGAACTTGGAAATCGTTAATTAGTCTATTCATCCACTGTACAAACCATATCATCACCAAAAAAAGATCCTGCTTGTGTTGTTTCAATTTTGTAATTTATGTAATAAGTTTTAAGAATTGTATAATACATTTTTTATATTATATTTTACTCTTATTATCCTGCAGGAAAGAAGGCTTAGAATCCTATATGCCTACCCCATCACCCACAGGTGATTGGTGATTGGGGGGGCCTGGTAGCCTGGTGGATAGCGCGCAGGACTCGTAATTCTGTGGCGCGGGTTCGATTCCCGCACGAGGCAGAAACAAATGGGCAAAGTTTCTTTCACCCTGAATGCCCCTGTTACCTAGCAGTAAATCTCTCACTTGAGAGTTAGACAGCTGCGTCCTGGGATGTGTGTGTGGTGGAAAAAAAAAGTAGTAAACAGTTGATTGACAGTTGAGAGGCGGGCCGAAAGAGCAAAGCTCAACCCCCGCAAACACAACAACTAGGTGAATACAGGTTGTTGAATATCCAATTTTGTGATCTTTAAACTGAAGATTTAATATGCATTGTGTATCAAAGCTATACTTATATTATAAGCTAGTGCCTGGACACTTGATGTTTTTAAATGCAGTACTGTACACCTCATAACCACTTTGTTGTGCATTTATTTACATTTTGATGCTGATGCCAGTTAAGGTGAACTCTGAGGGGTCCGTTATCTTTTTTTTTGTGGTTTGAATTTCTATTGAGAAAATAAGTCTAAGACATGCCTTTTCTATCCACACCATTTCAAATCCAAAACAAAGGCTATGTAGTTTTATTTTATTTTATTTCATTCTGTTCTCTAATAAAATGCATGTTCTAGGTAACTAATGCTAGACTGTAAGTGCTTGGAACGTATAGAATACACTGGGCTCAGTAATCCAAATTATTTGGGGCTCATCCCCACCTTATTTCAGGTAGCCAGACATTCGTTTTATTCAAAATAATTTACCAGGGAAATCCAAAAATTAACAAATTTGAATTTGTTTGGGTTTTCATTTAGTAGAAATGCCAGTAAGCCAAATTTCTATTAGAGTTAGGAAGTCAAGAACCTAAACTCATTTATTTGGATTTTTCATTCAGTATAACCTTTTAATCCAAATTCCTCAGGTTAAAAGGTAAAAAATTTGAATTTATTTGAATTGTACTCAGATTTGAGATACCAGAATCCGAATCATAGACTTACGGTACTGTAATTTGATTCAGTAATAAGAATAATTACTAAACAAAAACAAAATTCTCATTATATCTTCCTAGATATACTGTGATCGTTAAAACTGGTTTTAGACAGTAAAAAGTTAAATACAGTATACAAATTTTTTTGTCTTCATTCTGTAATAAAATGGCCCAAGTAACACAATATAAGGCCATAAGTGTTCTCAATTATTAAAATAATATAGATACAAGCAATAAGTGCTTGTTTAGTGAGCATAAGTGCTCACCAAGTAATTTGAAGTGCTAGGGATATAAAAACACTTCTGAAACTGTTTGAACACTTCAGTTCTGAAACTGAAACTTATAATCTGCATTGGTGAGGACCATAATACATATACTGACGTACAATGCAATTAGAAAGTAGAAATTGGTACGTACTACTGAATATGGGCAAACCGGAAAACTATTTTCTACTTATGTTGCAAAGACAAACTAATTTTCTTAGGCCTAATATAATACATGTGTGCGCTATACAAATCCTAGGAATATTTAAGTTAGTTTTTAACTATTTTTTTCAGACTATAAAGAGAATAGTACAAAATTCTACTATCTAATTGCTTAGTTCATCAATATATGTACTATGGTGCACATAGTTACAAAAGTACAGTACTATCTAAACTGGAGACTGGTACTTCTGTTTAGTATTCTCTCCGTTTTGTGTTCATGGACTGTTGGCATTCGGCTTGTTTTCATTACTGTATTTTATTTTTCGTGACACGGTTTTCGGTGATATTTTGGCTTGTTTTTAATTATTCTTCCCACCAATTTTGTGCTTAGCGACCTTGTCCTGTATGGTAGTCCGGCTCCCTAGCCTACGGCACTTGGTCTCCCATCCGTATTACAGCCGCTTTAGACGTGGGGTGTTTTTTTCTATTACAGTATTAAAAAAAATAACAAACAACCCATGTGCGTCTTATACGTCGGCAAATGCAGTAGGTAGGGCTCCCCCCAGGTTCATTTCCGGGTGCCCTCGGGTTCCTCTGGTTATTCTTCTCTGCTTCCTCTGCGGTGGTTCGGGAGGCCATTGGTGCGTACCTCCTGCGAGACTTTATTTATGCCTCTGTGTTGGATTCAATTTTGTTTTGAGTTCAGTTCCTCTTTCCCTGATTGGAATGCATTCCGAGGTTCCGGTCTCTTCCTGGCTGGCAGCCTGCTATGATGACTGGTTGGTGTGGGCTCCTTGCTGGTCTGCTTGTCTGCTAGCCAGGGTTCTGGTTCTTTCCCAGCTTGCCGGGTTTGGGTTTCTGGTAATTTGGAGGAAGTCCCAGTTGGTTCTGTTTTGGGTTCGGACTTGGCTGCGCCTAGAGTGGGGTTATCGGAATGCGTCCGTTTCTCTCCCTCCTGCGACTTGCTCTGGTTGAAGTCCCACCTTCAGCTGTTTTTGAGGAGGACCCAGATCCATTGGTGGTTGCTCGAGCAGCTGTGCGGGAGCCTGACCTTTGCTTTACTGATTTTCCGCTGGGCTTGGTTTGGCTTCAGAGGCTGTTCTGATATCTTCAGAGCAGCCTTTTCACTGCTCTCGCATTTGCTGGGTTCGTTTCCCAGTGTCCTTGCACCAGTTGCTGCATCATTGACTTCCTCTTTGGGGTTTTGGAGTTCGATGCCGTGATGCCTTCCTTTTCCCTCGATGTGCTCAAGGCTGGCCAGGGGCGTTGGGGGCTGTTCTTCCTTCAAGCTCACAGCACGGTGCAGGTGTTTGCAGGGCAGGCGCTGTGGTAGATTCAACTTCCTCGGGGCTCTGTGTTCCAGCTCCATTCGGACTGCTTCCCTGTGGTTCATTGTCTCAACGGGAGGGGGGTGGGGGAAGGTCTCATTGGTCCGTGGCTCTTCAGAGCTGGCCGCTTCACGTGGCTCTTCTGATGCATTCTCGGGGTTTCGCTCTCTGCACTGTTCACATTCGGCCTCTGTGTTCAAGAGAGAACTCGACAATCACCTCCAAAGAATACCTGATCAACCAGGCTGTGATTCATATGTCAGGCTGCGAACAGCTGTGTCCAACAGCCTGGTTGACCATACGACCAACCGGGAGGTCTGGTCGGAGACCGGGCTATGGGGCTGTTAATCCACGGAAGCTAAACAAGGTAGGTAAGATAAGGTAAGCGTACAGGCACTTGTATGTGTATCAGTAAAAGTTTTGTACCTCCATTCAGTTTTATGCAAATTATTTACACAAATTTACCTGAGGGCACCTGACAGCTGGGTGGACAGTGCTTCAGATTCATAGTCCTGAGATTCCGGATTCAATCCCCGGGGAAGGCGGAGACAAATGGGCAAAATTTTTCTTTTTACCCTGATGCCCCTGTTATCTAGCAGTAAATAGGTACCTGGGAGTTAGACAGCTGCTACGGGGTGTTTCCTGGGGTGTGTAACAAAAAGGAGGCCTGGTCGAGGACGGGGACGCTAAGCCCCGAAATCATCTCAAGATAAGGGCCACTATTTATAATGGCTTCAATGAGGACAGGAAGCCAGTGATTTGTCGAAAATCCTCCCAATTGCCTTAATGATTTTGTCAAGCTGGATTTTGGAATTCAGCTTTGTTTTGGCATTTACTGCTTTGGCAGGTAGGTGATTCCATGGATTTATAACTATGGGTGAAAAAGCATCTCCTGGTTTCCATCCTTCATTGTGGCTTGTTGAGCTTGAGACTGTTGCTCCTTTATATTCCAATTTACATACAGATGAAGTCAAGCAAACATTTCAGGAACTCTCTTTCCTAGTGGTCATTTAATCTGCTATTTATCTTTTTCTTTGATGGCTATGCAACCCTTTCATACTCACTAGCGGTAAAAGATTGGGTCCGGTGTAGAACCTTCGGTAAGTAGATAAGGAGACAAGTGCTCTAGCTCCACCCTCCTGAACCTGGCCCTGTTCTCCAGCGTCCTGCGCCCCAGTGTAATTTCCTCCTCCTCTCTGAGCTGTGTGATGACATGTACCCACGATGGCTTCAGGTAGCTGCAAGACAGAGGAATGTTAGATGTTTAACAGCTGAATTGAACGGGAAATAGAGTTGTTTACAGCCAGTGTAGATCTTGGTGTTCTATTATTTCAGGGGTGAACCTTTTCCACCTACAATGCACACAAATAAACTTCACACACTGCCCTTCTCTCTCACCTGTAGTCACTGTAGGGGTACCCAATGATGTAGAGCTCTGTGTGGTAGAAGGTCATGCGGAAGAGTCCTCGGTGATGGGAGCGATGGTCCATGCCCCACACGCCCATACACTGGCATAATATCCAAGACAAGTGTTATTTTTATAAGATTATTATTGCCCTATTATAATTATTAATTACTAGCTGAGCTACCCATCAGTGCCCAGGTGAAGAACAAAGGCCGTCATTTTTACCACATAAAAAATTTGCATGAGAATTGATTGACATAATTTGGTGTGGGAGCACACGCAAGTGGACACATTTGGTGTGGGAGCACACGCAAGTGGACACATTTGGTGTGGGAGCACACGCAAGTGGACACATTTGGTGTGGGTGGACACGCGAGTGGACACATTTGGTGTGGGTGGACACGCGAGTGGACACATTTGGTGTGGGTGGACACGCGAGTGGACACATTTGGTCTGGGTGGACACGCAAGTGGACACATTTGGTCTGGGTGGACACGCAAGTGGACACATTTGGTCTGGATGGACACGCAAGTGGACACATTTGGTGTGGGAGCACACGCAAGTGGACACATTTGGTGTGGGAGCACACGCAAGTGGACACATTTGGTGTGGGAGCACGCGCAAGTGGACACATTTGGTGTGGGAGCACGCGCAAGTGGACACATTTGGTGTGGGAGCACACGCAAGTGGACACATTTGGTGTGGGAGCACACGCAAGTGGACACATTTGGTGTGGGAGCACACGCAAGTGGACACATTTGGTGTGGGTGGACACGCAAGTGGACACATTTGGTGTGGGTGGACACGCAAGTGGACACATTTGGTGTGGGTGGACACGCAAGTGGACACATTTGGTGTGGGAGCACACGCAAGTGGACACATTTGGTGTGGGAGCACACGCAAGTGGACACATTTGGTGTGGGAGCACACGCAAGTGGACACATTTGGTGTGGGTGGACACGCAAGTGGACACATTTGGTGTGGGTGGACACGCGAGTGGACACATTTGGTGTGGGTGGACACGCGAGTGGACACATTTGGTGTGGGTGGACACGCGAGTGGACACATTTGGTGTGGGTGGACACGCGAGTGGACACATTTGGTGTGGGTGGACACGTGGGTGGACACGCAAGTGGACACATTTGGTGTGGGTGGACACGCAAGTGGACACATTTGGTGTGGGTGGACACGCGAGTGGACACATTTGGTGTGGGTGGACACGCGAGTGGACACATTTGGTGTGGGTGGACACGCGAGTGGACACATTTGGTGTGGGTGGACACGCGAGTGGACACATTTGGTGTGGGTGGACACGCGAGTGGACACATTTGGTGTGGGTGGACACGCGAGTGGACACATTTGGTGTGGGAGCACACGCAAGTGGACACATTTGGTGTGGGTGCACACGCAAGTGGACACATTTGGTGTGGGAGCACACGCAAGTGGACACATTTGGTGTGGGAGGACACGCAAGTGGACACATTTGGTGTGGGTGGACACGCAAGTGGACACATTTGGTGTGGGTGGACACGCAAGTGGACACATTTGGTGTGGGTGGACACGCAAGTGGACACATTTGGTGTGGGTGCACACGCAAGTGGACACATTTGGTGTGGGTGGACACGCAAGTGGACACATTTGGTGTGGGTGGACACGCAAGTGGACACATTTGGTGTGGGTGGACACGCAAGTGGACACATTTGGTGTGGGTGGACACGCAAGTGGACACATTTGGTGTGGGTGGACACGCAAGTGGACACACATGGACAATATTAACCAAATAAGCCACACAACAAAAACAAGGACACAATAAGCCACACAACAAAAACAAGGACACATTTTGTCAGTGTCAGAGTGGCGAACAAAATTAAATGTACTTAAGAGGAAAAAACTGAAATGGTGGAGGCGGATTCTACATACATTTTCAAATATAGATATAACACAATATTGTAGGAAATGTGTACACTAGTAGATTGATTGATTGATTGATTGATTGATGAAGATTAAGCCACCCAAAAGGTGGCACGGGCATGAATAGCCCGTAAGTGGAGGCCTTTTTGAGCCATTACCAGTATCAAAAGATGATACTGAAGATCTGTGGAGGTCCGAATGCACCCTGCATGACGGGAGATGTCTCCCTTGTGAATGTGTTAAGATGAAGATGAAGCTACCCAAAAGGTGGCACGGGCATGAATAGCTCGTAAGTGGAGGCCTTTTTGAGCCATTACCAGTATCAAAAGATGATACTGGAGATCTGTGGAGGCGCAACTGCACCCTGCGTGACGGGAGATGTCTCCCGGACCAAGTGGCTACCCGGACTAGTAGATTGCAGACGAGGTACATAGGAGCCGAAGCTCAACCCCTGCAAGCCATTCAGCACCTCTCCTGTGCTGGGTGAGTCCACTACGGGTTTACCATAGCCCGTGGTAAATAAATAATAAATAAAATGTTTATTCAGGTAAGGTACATACATACAAGAGATTTTACAAAAATTGATAGATTTATAGATAGAGCTAGTACATACAATGCCTAAAGCCACTGTTACGCAAAGCGTGTCGGACAAGAGTGCACTTGGGACTTGGAACTTGTTCCGAGTAGCTGAATCTATAACAACAATAACCCCTGCAAGCACAGTTAGGTAAGCTGAGACACACAACACAGACACACTTACGCTGGCAAACTTCTTCCAGCCGTTGTGGTGATCTTTGCTCGTCATGGTGAGGAACACCACCACTGGACCCGTCTGCAACAACAAGCAACTTAACATGCAGAAAACTTTAAATCTCATAATGCTTCATTAATGATATTTGAAGAGCAAATATAACTCATTCAGTGCTGTAGTAACAATATATTAGGATCATACACAAGTCATGAGGTGCAAATTATATTATATATAATAGAATTGTTGTGTTGATGGTGGAGGTGGTGTTGATGGTGGAGGTGGTGTTGATGGTGGAGGTGGTGTTGATGGTGGAGGTGGTGTTGATGGTGGAGGTGGTGTTGATGGTGGAGGTGGTGTTGATGGTGGAGCCTGTGTTGATGGTGGAGCCTGTGTTGATGGTGGAGCCTGTGTTGATGGTGGAGCCTGTGTTGATGGTGGAGCCTGTGTTGATGGTGGAGCCTGTGTTGATGGTGGAGCCTGTGTTGATGGTGGAGCCTGTGTTGATGGTGGAGCCTGTGTTGATGGTGGAGCCTGTGTTGATGGTGGAGCCTGTGTTGATGGTGGAGCCTGTGTTGATGGTGGAGCCTGTGTTGATGGTGGAGCCTGTGTTGATGGTGGAGCCTGTGTTGATGGTGGAGCCTGTGTTGATGGTGGAGCCTGTGTTGATGGTGGAGCCTGTGTTGATGGTGGAGCCTGTGTTGATGGTGGAGCCGGTGTTGATGGTGGAGCCGGTGTTGATGGTGGAGCCGGTGTTGATGGTGGAGCCGGTGTTGATGGTGGAGCCGGTGTTGATGGTGGAGCCGGTGTTGATGGTGGAGCCGGTGTTGATGGTGGAGCCGGTGTTGATGGTGGAGCCGGTGTTGATGGTGGAGCCGGTGTTGATGGTGGAGCCGGTGTTGATGGTGGAGCCGGTGTTGATGGTGGAGCCGGTGTTGATGGTGGAGCCGGTGTTGATGGTGGAGCCGGTGTTGATGGTGGAGCCGGTGTTGATGGTGGAGCCGGTGTTGATGGTGGAGCCGGTGTTGATGGTGGAGCCGGTGTTGATGGTGGAGCCGGTGTTGATGGTGGAGGTGGTGTTGATGGTGGAGGTGGTGTTGGTGTTGGTGGTGTTGATGGTGGAGGTGGTGTTGATGGTGGTGGTGGTGTTGATGGTGGTGGTGGTGTTGACGGTGAAGACCTTAGCGACTCACCGTAAAGTTCCTGGGGAGATAAGCCTTACTGCAGGGATGCTTGATATTGTTAAGGAAGAACACGTTGTCGCCCTCGAGGGTCCGGTAGAGGTCCTCCTCGTACTCCATCAGCTGCAGCCTTGAGGACGAGACTCCGGGTCAGATAACGCGTGCAAATGACTGACAGCAAACGTAACAATGCCATCACGCTTGCAACAAAATTGGTTGGAACATGTAAGTGAAATACAACACGGGAGCTTAAAACGACCTGTCGTGGTATAGAGCTCCCGGCCCCATGACATGTGGAAGTGAATGACATGTGGAGTGTAGGGGAAGGCAACACACTGAGGTGATATGGACATGCTAGTAAGATGCATGAGAATAATTACTCTAGAAAGGTGTATTAAGGTGAAATAAGACACTTGTTACCAGAGACAGCCCATCAAGGCCCTTGTCACTAGAGACAGCCCATCATGGCCCTTGTCACTAGAGACAGCCCATCATGGCCCTTGTCACTAGAGACAGCCCATCAAGGCCCTTGTCACTAGAGACAGCCCATCATGGCCCTTGTCACCAGAGACAGCCCATCATGGCCCTTGTCACCAGAGACAGCCCATCATGGCCCTTGTCACCAGAGACAGCCCATCATGGCCCTTGTCACCAGAGACAGCCCATCATGGCCCTTGTCACCAGAGACAGCCCATCAAGGCCCTTGTCACTAGAGACAGCCCATCATGGCCCTTGTCACCAGAGACAGCCCATCATGGCCCTTGTCACCAGAGACAGCCCATCATGGCCCTTGTCACCAGAGACAGCCCATCAAGGCCCTTGTCACCAGAGACAGCCCATCATGGCCCTTGTCACCAGAGACAGCCCATCATGGCCCTTGTCACCAGAGACAGCCCATCATGGCCCTTGTCACTAGAGACAGCCCATCAAGGCCCTGACCATCTGGAATGCAGGCCCCCTAGGCTCAGTTCCTGAGTTATAGATCCTATATTATAGTAACAGATAGATCCTATATGTAGTAACAATTATATGATCTAACAGGTCCTATAGCCATCAGCCGTCACTATAGCACCAACCTATGAACATGGTGGAGACGAAGGGCGCGAGTAGCGGTGACAGGATGGGCGGTGAAGTAGGCGTGGGTCAAGACCCCTTTGATATGGGTGCCGGATATCCCGTTGTGGAAGGTGCGGGAGACATCAGGCACCACGCACTCCCGGCCGGCTCTGATCTGCGTGCTGCGAAGCCAGATGTCCCAGTCGTGCTTCTGTAGGAGAGAGGGAAGGAGTAGTAGCGTGAGGCTGGCAAGGGAGGCAGGATAGACGGGGGATTGACTGATATAGACAGCGGATAGAAGTGTGGGGAATTGCAGAAGAATTCGGGTTGACCACGGAGAGAAGAGTGACCAAAGATGGTGAGGGAGACAGAAGCTTATGAAATATCCTTGCGGGCTCACCATAGCCCGTGCTACTTGGAACTTTTTGTTCCAGGTAGCGAATCTTTAACAACAATAACATTATGAAATATCCAGGACATGAAGACAGACACATTGGGGAAGAGATGTCCAGAGACATGATAGAGGATATCAGGTTGCTGTGGGGTTCCATCCTGGACGGGGTCAGTTATTCGACCGTTGGGGGGTGGGGGCTCGATAAAAGCCTAACGTGTTTGAATACACTCTGGCTTCATGTCCCCCGACACAGTGAATTATATTGACATGAGGGATGGATAGTAAGCAATTATCAAAAGTATCAAAAGAAGGCACCAAGCCGGGGAGATTATGCAGCACTGAGTTAGAGGTAATAGGGCTACAAAAAGAATAGTCCGCCTGTTTTGGTATATTAGATTACTGGGTAAGCATTGCCCGGGTGAAGAACAGGGCTGCATCTCAATACACGCGATCTCCATCACCCAAACAACACTTCCATGACTAGTCTGCCTTGAACCCAAATTTCGTGGTTTATAAGGCAGCGGGGGTCTCCCTGGAGCCCACTGGGAGATGTTGATAGTGTCGTGAGAGACTCTTACATAAGCTTCAAACGCAGCTGCTGAAGTGAATCGAAACAATTATTGCTTAAGGCAAGGTGCGAGGGCTGGAACCCTATAAATGTTGTATTGCATTCGAAAAAACAATTGCATTTGTAATGTCCAGATCACCTTGCGGGAGCTCTGCCACTTCGGGTAGATCTCGTCGAAGAAGTTCCTGGTGAGCATCCAGCCGTACCCGGCGTGGGTCTCCACCCTGTACAGCCTGGAAGGGTGCCTGGCAGTGTGCAGCGCACCCAGGTCATTCCAGGCACTGATGCAGAAGAGGCTGGGGTCCGCGTCCAGGAGCCAAGAGGTCTGGTTGAAGTAACTATAAGAGTAAGAAGTCTTGCGTCAGAGGCGTTAGTGAATCAAAGCATGAAATATAGTTACAAGACAAACATTATACAGGTATAATTTAATAACAATTACGAACACATCTTAAGGAAAATGTGAACATTTAACATTATTGCAGACAAACAAATAACCAGCATGAGGTTATTGACTGTGTACCAGTGTGTCTTCTCTTTCTAATCTCGTCTCTGCTCTCGGCGAAGAGGAGACTGAGCACAGTTGAAGAACAGGTGGGAAACGTACAAGGTGTGAGTTATGTACATGGGATTCAATAGGAATGGATTGCACACGGGGTGTAAAAAGGTCATTAGGTGTTTGGTAGATGGGGAGGTCGTCTGGGTTACGTAATGCAATCTGGACTTATCCATGTCCTGAAGTTCTGATATCCCGACGACCTGGAAAAGCCTGAGATTAATAGTGACTTGAAGTTCTGACATTGCAGCTGCCTGCAGAGGTTGCAGCTTCCAATACCTGAAGAAGGTAACATTTCAATCAATGAAGAAGCTTCAGGAGTTCGGCCTTCGTTTCCTGTCTGGAACAAAATATTTGAAGTAGGTATTTAGTCTTGTAAATAAAATATACATTTTCCTGTATCTGAAGGCACTAATGGTTCCAATTTTCGGGATAAGTTGATGGTACCAGTTATTTGGAAAAAAACAAATGTTCTGGTTATCTGGAATGCCTGATTTATTCTATTTGGAAAATGGAATCTTTTGTATGCCAAAAAGAAAATCACTAGTTCAAAGAGCTGGAAAAGCCGGTATTTCTTGTTTGATGAAAAATACATTTATTCCATTACTTAAAAAGTATATGCGCCCAGTTAAGTTCCCAATAAGCTGAAGTACGTTGTTCCAGTAACCAGAAGAAGGCGACTGTTCCAGTAACCCGAAGAAGGCGACTGTTCCGGTAACCCGAAGAAGGCGACTGTTCCGGTAACCCGAAGAAGGCGACTGTTCCAGTAACCCGAAGAAGGCGACTGTTCCGGTAACCCGAAGAAGGCGACTGTTCCAGTAACCCGAAGAAGGCGACTGTTTCAGTAACCCGAAGAAGACAACTGTTCCAGTAACCCGAAGAAGACGACTGTTCCTGTAACCCAAAGAAGGCGACTGTTCCAGTAACCCGAAGAAGGCGACTGTTCCAGTAACCCGAAGAAGGCGACTGTTCCAGTAACCCGAAGAAGGCGACTGTTCCAGTAACCCGAAGAAGGCGACTGTTCCAGTAACCCGAAGAAGGTGACTGTTCCAGTAACCCGAAGAAGGTGACTGTTCCAGTAACCCGAAGAAGGTGACTGTTCCAGTAACCCGAAGAAGGTGACTGTTCCAGTAACCCGAAGAAGACGACTGTTTCAGTAACCCGAAATCACCAATTATTCCTATACTCCGTAAGAGACGATGGTGTTTCCAGTTACCTGAAGAAGTCCGGGGCGGCCAGTATGTCCTCCTCGAGGATAATGGCTCTGGAAGCGGCGGGAAAGGCGGCGAACACCGCCTGGAGAGCGAAGCGGTAGTGGAGGGAAATGCGCGCAGAGCTGCTGACGAAGCTCTCGCTCTCCATGTTGTGTATCTGGTAGTTGACCTGTTTGCGCAGGGAAGAGAAGAAGAGCAAGGATTAGGGAAATAAGACGTAGTATTGAGATAAAGAGAGAGAGGATTAAAGCAAAGATTGGATTAGACTCAAGAGAGAGAATTAAGGAAAAAGGTTGTACAAAAGAAAGGACGTACAAAAGAAGAGATGATTAGAGGCAAAGATAAGAGTAATGGAAAGTGGGGAAGCGAAGAAACTAGGGAAAGAAGATAACTAAGGAATAATGTGCACAACGAAAGGAGAGAAGGAATTAAAGACAGAAGTGAAGACTTTTTAGAGCATAAAACGATTAATAAAATAAAAAGAGATACAAAAGTGAAAAAAAACAAATGTAGGAAGAGGGTAAGTGGAAGAAGAAGAAGAGGTACAAGATGATACCGTCAACAGAAGAATCATAAGTCTTACGAAAACATAAACGCATAGACAATAGGAGATCCTGATACAGGGTGTTGAGGACACTGAAAACATATCTGAGAAACAAAAGAAAGTGGGTTTGGAAAAGGAGGAGAGGACTCAATTCTCCGTGAGACAGAAGAAAATCAGGAAGACCCACGAAAATTAGCGGATTACTATTATTATTTTTATTCTCGTTAATAAGTTTGTAACATATTTTTCACTAGAAAATATATCAAAAAGAGACAATGTATACACAAGAGTTCTTACATTCTAGTATAGCCAAATCGCTTATAAACAACCAGGTACCCATTTTACTGCTGGGTGAACAGAGGCTACAGTTGAGGATTGGCGCCCAGTCAATCCTCCCCGGCCAGGATAAGAACCCAAGCCCAAGCGCTCGCGAAGCGCCGGGTGAGAGTCTTACCACTGTGCCACGGGGACTGTGGCTTGGTGTAGCGTGCATGTGTAGAGTGTAGCACACCTTAAGGTGTCAAGGGTGGTGTACCATGAGTGTAGGCGGTACTGTACCGTGTCACGATCATCTACATTGTACCTACTACACTGTACCTGCCACACTGTACCTGATACACTCTAGATTGTACAGGAGAGTGTAGCATATATGAAGATGCAGAAGGCAGTGTGCAATATTTGCTGGAGTAGAGTAGAATGTACCATACCTGCAGGTGTGGAGAGTAGTGCACCATACCTGTAGGTGTGGAGAGTAGTGTACCATACCTGTAGGTGTGGAGAGTAGTGTACCATACCTGCAGGTGTGGAGAGTAGTGCACCATACCTGCAGGTGTGGAGAGTAGTGTACCATACCTGTAGGTGTGGAGAGTAGTGTACCATACCTGTAGGTGTGGAGAGTAGTGTACCATACCTGCAGGTGTGGAGAGTAGTGCACCATACCTGCAGGTGTGGAGAGTAGTGCACCATACCTGCAGGTGTGGAGAGTAGTGCACCATACCTGCAGGTGTGGAGAGTAGTGCACCATACCTGCAGGTGTGGAGAGTAGTGTACCATACCTGTAGGAGGGTCAGAAGCTGAACCATCTGGTTGTTGTTGCCGTCAATGAGCACCAAGACCCGCCCTCTGTCTCCCCCCTCCTGCCTCAGCACCGTCACCAGGCACCTGTAGAGCAACACACACCTGCTACACCTGTAGAGCAACACACACCTGCTACACCTGTAGAGCAACACACACCTGCTACACCTGTAGAGCAACACACACCTGCTACACCTGTAGAGCAACACACACCTGCTACACCTGTAGATCAACACACACCTGCTACACCTGTTCCATTCAAACTCCACTTGTTTCAAACCTACCTTGCTGTTACACCTGTTCCATACCTACTCTCATCTGTTCCACACCTGCTCTCATTTGCTCCACACCTGCTCTCATCTGTTCCATACCTGCTCTCATCTGTTCCATACCTGCTCTCATCTGCTCCATACCTGCTACAGCTGTTCCACACCTGTCTTCCCCTTTTCCACACCTGCTACACCGGTTCCAAACCTTCCCTACTCTCCCACATATTCATAAACGTTTAATAACATTAATTCATATCTAAAGAACAAATTGAAGAACATTGAGAACATTTTCTGCAACACCAAGAACACAATAACCCGCCTCAGGCGATATCATGGTGCTCGTGCAACACTGTCTGAAGAACACTGTCTGAAGAACACTTGATAGGGCTCATAACATGCTGCATAACCTCAGAACAAGATTTGAGGCGTGAAGAACCTCGTGGAATGTGGGAGAACAGAATGTAAAGTGTGGGAGAACAGAATTTAAAGTGTGGAGAACAAAATATAAATTGTGAAGAACAGCTCACCTGTAGAGTGCCTGGGGCCTGGAGCTGGCGATGACGGCTACGGGAACATCCTCAATAACACTGTTCTTTAACTGTAAGAACAATAGTTTAAAAATAACATTAACCTTCTCCTACCTTCATGAAGAACTCCCTTTTATTTGAGCCTTTGTATTTGTTGCTACAAAAAATATATATATATTAATTTCAGTCTTATGCAGAAATAACAATGTTCTGATGAAGAACAAGGGAAGGGAATTATTAGGGGGGGAAAGTGCCAAGCCATTACGACTATATAGCACTGGGAAGGGATGGCATGATAAGGATTTGGGATGGCATGATAAGGATTTGGGATGGGACGGTTGGGGGGGGGGGCAAAACAAGCTAAAATCTTTCCCTCAATGATAAATATTTTTTGATTAATAGGAATAATTAAAATGATAACCAATTGATGAAATAGATAGCTTTTTTATTTTTCCCCCATAACACAACACAAGAATTAAGAACCTATTCTTCCTTCGGCGCACAAAACAGAAGAAAACAAAATACATTTTCAAATTCAAAATTCAAATTCAAATTTGAATTTTGCTACACCCGTTTTGCTACACACTACACTACATTTGTACAGATAGAGCTAGTACATACAATACCTAAAGCCACTACAACACGCATATATTCGGGCAAATTGTCTTCAACTCAAGGGAAGAACGGGACCCCACCTACCTGTAAGGTCGGGTAGGTCAGGGGAGCCGGATGGTCGCAGCTACACAGGTCTCCGTAACCGTCAAACATCCGGCAGAACCTGGCTCGCTCGCCTTCCTTGCCTCTTCGGTCCCTCCAGCAGTCTGTGGGGGAGATGTGGGGAGGCTGGAGCCACAGGTGTGTGTGGGGGGAGGCTGGAGCCACAGGTGTGTGTGGGGGAGGCTGGAGCCACAGGTGTGTGTGTGGGGGAGGCTGGAGCCACAGGTGTGTGTGGGGGAGGTTGGAGCCACAGGTGTGTGTGGGGGAGGTTGGAGCCACAGGTGTGTGTGGGGGAGGCTGGAGCCACAGGTGTGTGTGGGGGAGGCTGGAGCCACAGGTGTGTGTGTGGGGGAGGCTGGAGCCACAGGTGTGTGTGTGGGGGAGGCTGGAGCCACAGGTGTGTGTGGGGGAGGCTGGAGCCACAGGTGTGTGTGGGGGAGGCTGGAGCCACAGGTGTGTGTGGGGGAGGCTGAAGCCACAGGTGTGTGTGGGGAGACTGAAGCCACAGGTGTGTGTGGGGAGACTGAAGCCACAGGTGTGTGTGGGGAGACTGAAGCCACAGGTGTGTGTGGGGAGGCTGGAGCCACAGGTGTGTGTAGGGAGGCTGGAGCCACAGGTGTGTGTAGGGAGGCTGGAGCCACAGGTGTGTGTAGGGAGGCTGGAGCCACAGGTGTGTGTAGGGAGGCTGGAGCCACAGGTGTGTGTAGGGAGGCTGGAGCCACAGGTGTGTGTAGGGAGGCTGGAGCCACAGGTGTGTGTAGGGAGGCTGGAGCCACAGGTGTGTGTAGGGAGGCTGGAGCCACAGGTGTGTGTAGGGAGGCTGGAGCCACAGGTGTGTGTAGGGAGGCTGGAGCCACAGGTGTGTGTAGGGAGGCTGGAGCCACAGGTGTGTGTAGGGAGGCTGGAGCCACAGGTGTGTGTAGGGAGGCTGGAGCCACAGGTGTGTGTAGGGAGGCTGGAGCCACAGGTGTGTGTAGGGAGGCTGGAGCCACAGGTGTGTGTAGGGAGGCTGGAGCCACAGGTATGTGTAGGGAGGCTGGAGCCACAGGTATGGGAAAGCTATACCTGTGTTTCAGCAAAAAAAAAAAAAAAAAAAAAAAAAAAAAACTGTTTACATATTAAACCAACGATTTGTAATACAATAAAGGTATATCTTGAGCATAATCTCTGTTTAGGACACAAAAAAATATCCCTTACCAGGTTGCACGTAGACTATTACTGGAACCGTAATATGCTTTTAGACCATTACAAATATCTAGATACCTATCCAGGTGGTTTGAGAGAAGGGGGGGAGGGTGGAGGTTTCATGGTAATGAATTTGGACAGGTTGGCTGAAGACTTGGGTCATATGGGCCCCGGCGTCAACCTTAAAAATCCGTATATTGTCCTGGACATTGTATGACTGAACACAGTATACCCATTTATTATATATATATATATATATATATATATATATATATATATATATATATATATATATCTATTCTTCACAGCGAAGGATCACTCACCTTGGTTAACTAGCGGCAGTGTGACCTCCAGGTGTACAGGAGAGGCGAAGACGTCGCCATTTTCCTCTATCAAGTCAAACAAGCCCTGATGTGTGGAGGTCCTGGGAGAGTTGAGCCACTCGCCAGGGGAGGTCCCTGACCGGTCAACAAGCGCCTCCCCCAAGGAGCGCCCCCAGGACATGAGGACCCATGCCATGAAACCCCTGAAGGGCAGACGGTGCGCCCTGAGGGACCCCAGCTCCTGCAGCAGCTGTCTCACCCCTCTAGGCATGTTGAGACCCGCATCAGTCTGGTGGGAAACAACTGCAATATTAATCTCCGTGATCTGCGTACTAGTCACTAAGTGAGGAAAAAAAATCTTCATATATTAATTTGTATATTAAACAACTGCTCAAGGTTCGACAAAGTACAAATAGCACTATTAAATCAACGCGTCATCTTAAAATAACGTCGCTTTTCGCTCGTACACGCACTATGGCCAAAAATGGACGCAATTTTAAATGAAATCGGCTCACGAAAGTGACATACTGACCCGTTTTCTGTTTGAGTCCTCCGGCTTACTCGGTGTTAGGTACTCGGTACTTTTCTTACTCGGTGAGAAAAGTGTTAGGAGAGGAAACTTTCAATTAACGGTATAGCAGAAGCAAACTCACACAGCAAACAAAATTCAATTATATACCAAGAACCAAATTTTATAGTAATTAATTGTTGATTTTTGTTGTGGGGGTCGCTTGTCCAATCTGCTAAAATAATTAACGAGAATAGATATAAATACTCTGAATCAAATCAGAAACCCCGGACAGTGTGACTTGAGCCATAACAGAGTCTAAACCGTTAGGTCGACAAGGCGTGGATCTTTGGTTTCAGCAGAAAAAAAAAATACAAAGTATATAAATAAATTACATTAGAATTCAATCACGATCCTTTAAGACATTTGGGTAAGAGTTTTGAGGTCAACACCTAGAAGGATTTGAAAACTAACCCTTATAAATGTTGATAAACAAGTATTTTAATAGGATAAACAAGAACTTGCCGAAAAAACTGCTATAAATATGTTATACGTTTACACAAACATCTAATGCAAGTTCAAATATGTTTATTGAGATAAGAAAATACATCTCAAAGGAATAGAGTAGCTTAGGCTATTCCTATCCCCCCCCCCCTGTTTAAGATTCGCTACTTGGAACAAAAAGTTCCAAGTAGCACGGGCTATGGTGAGCCCGTAGTAAACTTCCCTGGCACAGGAATGGGGCTGTAACTGTGTCCTATTCCCCTGAAACCACCTACTTTAACAGCGAATATCATCACTCTGTCCCTGGAGACGGAGGCCAGCAGGGAGGGCAGACCCAAGCTGTCTGCGTACTTGTGAACGTTGAACTTCCTGTTGTGTTCAGAGGAACAGTGTTTACCATTATAAAGTCACAAACACCTTTGTATTATTATAACACTAAATGATTCACTATAACACCCCCCCCCCACCTATTAAGTAAAACACCTATCTGTTCATTCTTTTTCTGACACTTAACCTGTTCATTATAACACCTAACCTGTTCATTATAACACCTAACCTGTTCACTATAACACCTAACCTGTTCATTATCACACCTAACATGTTCATTATAACACCTAACCTGTTCATTATCACACTACCGTCGTATTGGTTCACCAGAACAAAATACAGCCCGGCGTTCGCAACTTCATCCGTGCCGTTCGCCGCCCCATCGTCGACCTCCACAACCTGGATAAAGAGACCAGTATAAGGCTTACTGCTTATAAATAAGCAATAAGTATAAGGCTTATACTGATATAAATATATATCAGTATAAGGCTTATTGCTTACGTCAGCGAGGCTTAGAGTGACCGTCTTCATGGTTTAAGGAGGGCATGAATGGGTTTGGTTGTTCAACACAATATAATTGTGTTGACAGATGAGATAAAGATAATTAGGCTCCAACTTATGAACTTCAACACTTTAATAAATAATAATTTATACTTCCATTATATAATTATACTTTTATTAAGCCTTAACTTGGATTTTGTTTGCAACTTTTAGCCAGAGAAGGCAGACGAAATTAATCCCCAGTTTTATGAAGACTGAAAGCAATGAGGCTTCAATCCCTTGAGTGGCGCGCAGTGGTCGATATGATTGATTTATTTACTCATATATAAGAAGATACAATGAATTGTTACATTAGGGGAAAAGATAAGGTTACATTAGGTTAAGGTCTGGTTTTACTACGTTTGGTTGTGTTAAGACAGTGCATTATTCTCAAACATATATCTGAAATATGAAACCTGAATTATTTCACAAGTTTTGTCCGAAACGTTACATTGTATGGCTACCCTGTACCTACTATTGTCCCTCTTTCTTATGGTCCTCTATTCACATTATTGTGAATAAAGTATAATTATTATAATTATAAAGGTGAGGCCCAGGAGCTGGAACCCCATACCGCTTATAACCTTTCTTGGATCAAATGGGAAAAACCATGCTAAGTTTGCCCGAAATCCGTTCCAACAGTGTCCGAATACATACCAGAGATGTAGTTTCAGATTTATATATATGTGTAGATAAATAGAGCAACATAACTGCGCGACAACTCACCACATTTTGGTTAACAGCCACAGTTACTCGCGTCCTGCTGGAAGTGACCGTCACTGCAAGATACCCTTCGCTCTTCCAGTCAGTCTCCTGATGGGCACCACGTGGGAGGCTCCGCTGGTCTGATTCCACTGAGGGAACAGAGTGCTGGCCAAGTGGAGTGGCGACGGAGGACTGGAGCACCTGACTGGCGACGGAGGACTGGCCCACCTGACTGGCGACGGAGGGCTGGCCCACCTGACTGGCGACGGAGGGCTGGCCCACCTGACTGGCGACGGAGGGCTGGCCCACCTGACTGGCGACGGAGGGCTGGCCCACCTGACTGGCGACGGAGGACTGGCCCACCTGACTGGCGACGGAGGACTGGCCCACCTGACTGGCGACGGAGGACTGGCCCACCTGACTGGCGACGGAGGACTGGCCCACCTGACTGGCGACGGAGGACTGGCCCACCTGACTGGCGACGGAGGACTGGCCCACCTGACTGGCGACGGAGGACTGGCCCACCTGACTGGCGACGGAGGACTGGCCCACCTGACTGGCGACGGAGGACTGGCCCACCTGACTGGCGACGGAGGACTGGCCCACCTGACTGGCGACGGAGGACTGGCCCACCTGACTGGCGACGGAGGACTGGCCCACCTGACTGGCGACGGAGGACTGGCCCACCTGACTGGCGACGGAGGACTGGCCCACCTGACTGGCGACGGAGGACTGGCCCACCTGACTGGCGACGGAGGACTGGCCCACCTGACTGGCGACGGAGGGCTGGCCCACCTGACTGGCGACGGAGGGCTGGCCCACCTGACTGGCGACGGAGGGCTGGCCCACCTGACTGGCGACGGAGGGCTGGCCCACCTGACTGGCGACGGAGGGCTGGCCCACCTGACTGGCGACGGAGGGCTGGCCCACCTGACTGGCGACGGAGGGCTGGCCCACCTGACTGGCGACGGAGGGCTGGCCCACCTGACTGGCGACGGAGGGCTGGCCCACCTGACTGGCGACGGAGGGCTGGCCCACCTGACTGGCGACGGAGGGCTGGCCCACCTGACTGGCGACGGAGGGCTGGCCCACCAGACTGGCCACAGAGGACTGGCCTAGCAGAGTGGCACGGAGAATGATGAGGGTAAGGCAAATTGACATTACCTGCAGTTCATTATGATGTTAGGTAAGTAAAAAAAACTGTTAAATAAGCATTAAGAGTTAGAGCTATATATAGTCCAGCCCACAGTAATGCGTGCCCTTCATGTCGAGGCTGTGTGTGGCAGGTAAAATTGAATTACAACTTTGTGTTAGAGCAAATTAACACATTTAGCTATTTGTTTTTATGACCAGTTTCGTCTTCTAGGATACTTACAAATGTAAAAGGTTTTTATTTTATGATAAAAATTATACATGTGACCTTTAAAGAAATTATATCTGTAAACTAAAATAATGTGGCCAACACTTACTTAGTATAATTATAAGCAACAGCAAGTTCTCCCATAGCCAAAACCGGCTCTCCATCTGTCAATAATAATAATAATAATTATTATTATAATAATAATAATAAATGCTCGCTAAATGCTAAAAATAAATAAATAGGAAAAAGCTACTCTGATATAGTTATGACCTATATCCGTAAAGGTCTATATAACAAATTCCTAACATGTTAGGCATGTCTCCTAACAGCCAGTTCCCTCTGCAGCACAGTTCCAAGTCGGCACTGAGCACCAGACTTAGCCACGAGTTCACAAGAGGTTGTAGCTGTCTATTATAAGGAAACGCGGTATCAATAAAACAGTATATAGACCAATATCCTTATCAGGTGTTGGTTTACACAGGGAGGTGTATTGATGGCTTCAATATCCCGCCTTCGTTTTAAAGACCTTTGCCAAACAAACCCAAATCAGATTTTGGAGCGATCTTTGATCAAATCTATTTTGAGAGACGATAGCGATATTGTTAAGATTTTCGTATTAAGTAACAGCCAATTTGCTTTCACACATTTAATCAAACCTATTCTATTACAATGGATAAATTACACCATCTATTTCTTGTAGCTCTATTTGAACTCACTAGCATAATTAATTCCCGTTTTCGGGGGCAGCAAGCCTATTAGGCGTGCCCAGGATGCAGCCTCACGACACTTGTCTTAACTCTCAGAGTACCTATTTGCTGCCAGGTGAAAAGGGCCATCAGATGCAAGGAAACATTGGCCGAACATCTCGTCTAGCCCGGGAACCGAACCCGTGACCATACGGTTGTGAGCATACTATATAGTCAATAGGACCATTTTTAACTTATATATATACAGCGGAACTAATTTATATGTAGCCTAGTTACATAATTGCGAGCTTTGCACAAAATAAAGTTTGTTAAATTTGTCCCAATTTTTTTCCACATTTCAGACCAATATGTCTATTGGACTGTGTTAATATTGTTGAAATAAATGTTTCTGGTGTATATAACTTATAGTTATTACTGTTATACAAGTCAATGGGAGGAAAATACGTACTGTAGCGCAGTAATAATAGGCTCGCCCTACGCCTCACAAGCTAATGTAGCCAGGTTCGAGTCCAGGGCAGGGAAGAGTCGACTGGGCACCGTTCCTTAACCGTTCACTGCTGTTCACCCAGCGGTAATCGTTCACTGCTGTTCACCCAGCAGTAGCCGTTCACTGCTTTTCACCCAGCAGTAGCCGTTCACTGCTGTTCACCCAGCAGTAGCCGTTCACCGCTGTTAACCCAGCAGTAGCTGTTCACCCAGCAGTAGCCGTTCACTGCTCTTCACCCAGCAGTAGCTGTTCACCCAGCAGTAGCCGTTCACTGCTCTTCACCCAGCAGTACCCGTTCACCGGTGTTCACCCAGCAGTACCCGTTCACCGCTGTTCACCCAGCAGTAACCGTTCACCGCTGTTCACCCAGCAGTAACCGTTCACCGGTGTTCACCCAGCAGTAACCGTTCACTGCTGTTCACCCAGCAGTAGCTGTTCACCCAGCAGTAGCCGTTCACCGCTCTTCACCCAGCAGTAACCGTTCACTGCTGTTCACCCAGCAGTAACCGAGGACCTGCAGGTAACCAGACCTATACAGTTCCTGTCCCCAGGGGAAAACTAGTAAGATGAAGTTTAACATGACAAGGGACAATTCTAAGCCTGTTAACAGAGAGTCAGAATTTGTTTACGCTTCTATTACAAAAAAATAAAACCCTGCAGCCTCCCTCACCCGACACGCTGGCAACACTGCTTCTCTACTTTCGTCTATAATTCCTTGCGCAGTGAATGTTATGACTGTTTTTTCTGCCTCTTGCATCACTCTTTACGGTAAATTGTGAAAACCACCGATTATATCAGAGGAGAAGGAAGTTTGGAGTAGGTTTCACGAAGAACACTGAGAGGGTAACTGCCAACTTCCATCTCTCGCAACCCAACTTCCGCGACTCTACAGGAAAATGTAACCAAATTTTATTCCATGCTTACTTTTGAGTATGATTTTTGTGAATTTTTGTTACTAATAAGCGATAGCTAGCAAAAGCGTTTATATATATATATATATATATACAATATTTGCTTAACCTTGTCAATCTCGGGTGAATATAGACCCTCTTTAGGGCAACCATATTTACCTGTATATGGCTTTACGTCTGGCACACCAACTCCTAAATTTCGTACCGCAGCCTAAATTAACCATAAATCTACGAGAACCATAATAATAATATTATATTTATAAATAAATACAGAGCATCAGATTACGGTGGTTAATTACTTGGTAGATAGAGTATTTATATTTTTTATAAACCCACTAATTGCGTCCATATAAAATATATTACCATCCTCAGGAATGGTTCATTACACGCGGGCAAGAATTCACAGGATGGGTATGAATGAGGTGCATAATAACTGATCCTGGTTATACGGGACATAATAAATGCACTAAACTTAAAGCAAACTATAGGTGGGTTGTGAACATCACCGCGGTATGTCTTTCGTTTGGCATTTTATCGCATTCAATTCCATACCGATGTAACAGGGTGAGAATAGCTTGAGCTACCTCATCCCTTTGTGTGTATTTTACCTCAATAAACTTATTTCAATTTCAATTTCCATACCGACGTAGGGCATGTGACTAGTTTGACTGACAAGTTTATACCTGGGCAGAACTCCATAATATACGTGTATTTACCTGAGGAGCACTATCTCTCTATTGGCCTTGACAGGGACAGGAAGCCGGCGGCTTGTCAAAGCAACCCCCCCCCCCCTTCTCTCATTTTTCCGAATGATTTTTTTGGTTTTCGAACTAATCCGCTGCTTATAAAATTCCTGAAGTTGTCCATATGCACTCTATACAACATGAATGTACTTAATTGCTGCAATAACAGTTATATCAATCAATATATGGAGAGCGTAATAACGGAAAGATTAGCGCCTCTGGCGGCCAGAAGGTTAACTGTGCTGTAGTTTGACAGTTGGGACATGTTAAGGTCAGCCAGGGGCGGGTTCCCGCTCCGGCCTCACACGTCATAAGGAAAGGGGGGGGGATAGAAATAGCCTAAGCTACTCTATCCCTTGTTGGGATCGAACTGTTGACAACCCAACACATTTAATTTAGGATTATTCTGAATGTTTATCCTAATGCTTCGTTGTACTACAACGGGGTACATGAATCTGAACAGGCGTCAGCCGGACCTGTTGTCAGGTGCGACACTTCGTGCTGAGGTCTGACAAAGGACAAGAAAATAAGATGGTATAAAACTTCATGGATATATTGTGATATATCTCTAATCACCTTATATACAATATTTTACATGTGTAATATTATATATATATATATATATATATATATATATATATATATATATATATATATATATATATATATAATGTGTGTGCATTGTACACAAGTACAGTTAAATATATATAGAGAGAGATACTACGACCATGCTACGGTCGTCTCTTGTCCGATTGATCTTCCCACTTATAAATCTTCTACTTTCCTGCAATTTGTACCGCTATCAGGAAAATCAGCGCGTTACCTCCATGCCGACCTCTACATCTCAAAGCTGTTATCTTCCATAACTTTCAAGAACGTCGACCATGCCTCGAGGTCCTCTTCCTTCATGAGGGTGGAGCACACTTAACAGGTGGGTCCGTTGGTCACACATCCAAACGCGACGACAGCCTGTTGACTCAATGGAGGGGAGTAGATGTCTGTCTTTCCACATGCTCCTGCCAGCACACGTTACCTCGCCCGGTGGTTCTGATTGGCTAACAGAAATTCCCGCCACCGGACGAGCCATACCGTGCTGACCGTTAACGACCTCCATGGTTGTTAACCTCGTTCTTCCTGTAATAATGAACGTATGACTTAAATAATCGTACCTTTATGTGATGAAATAACACGATACGATATATCGTAACACCCTTTGAGATGTATTTCTTTCGTCTCAATAAACATACATGAACTTGAACGTCATAAGGTAAACACGCGGGCAGCTGGAGGTGACCAGCACGGTGCCAATGTATTAACCGTGAGTACAATCAGTAGGAGATGAAGCCATAATTGTTTAGTAAATCGATATTTAGGAAGTCGCGTGAATGCACTATTACGTTATTTGTTTTATGAATTTAAGGCCAAACTAGCGGTGTGCGTGAGGTGGGAGCCACAGGTCTTGACGAGTGTAGCCGCTAGTTAGTCATTAAGGCTCTTGTGATGGCCTTAATAGTCATGCCCATGGCTAGTCTTAAGCCCAACACCATATTTTGATTCTATGATATCTATGATGTTATGATGTCCGGGTTAAGTAAGGTAGTGTAGCAACAGGGTGGCTATGGTCGGTGCCGCTCAGACTCTTCCCGTTTTATTTCTGCTAGATACTGTTTGTTGTAGACCACGGCAATGAAGACATTGTGGTTACCTCTCCTGATTTACTTCTAGATCTGTCTTCTCAGTGGTTGTGAGAATACAGAGAATGAGCAGTGGATACATCCAGAATGTTCACAACTTCAGAATCAGTCGGAAAGTAGGTTTCCTTGTGGTTGGAGGTAACAGGTAGCGTACGTTGCAGTTGCTGGTAGTTCAATGGCATTGCCGAAGTGGGTGTTCTTGGAGGATCACGACGTGTTGGAGGGAGGCCGAGGTTGCAGGAGCAAGAAGTTCATAAGGTATTGCAATGGCCGATAGCCTGGTGAACGTTTCCAAACAGGCTATAGTCTGTGGCCGCCGTTTTCTCAGCGAGGCTGATGGTGCCAAGGACGGCTTCCCCAGGGGCCAGGTAGAGGATGGAAATTCAAATTCAAATGTTTATTCAGGTAAAGTACATACATACAAGGTGTGATAAAAACATTGATGGATTTATAGATAGAGCTAGTACATACAATGCCTAAATTCACTATTACGCAAAGCATTTCGGGTAGGAAAAACACTAAAGACTAAAACTTAATAGGTTTCTTAATAGGAACGCTGACGTTTACATGTTGTGGCCACTCTGGGTGTGGTGGAGACTGTACTTGTCTCATTTTTTTTATT